GTGCAGTTGAAAACAACTTTCGTAGCAGGGTTATTATACGCCTCATGGATGCTTCCGAGCTTTCGTCGGATGAACCGCACGCCAAACTCTTCTCTTAGTCTGTTGTACAGATACAGGCAGTGAGCTGGTGCGTTGACTGTCAAAGTTGTGAATGCACATCCGAACTTGACGCCTTCGGGAAGCTCTTGTGCAGATAGTGCTCGGAACTGGGACCCATTAGACCTGTTCTGTAGTCAATGACCTTAATGTTGGCTCACGTCATCCAGATAGTCGGCCATAGCCTTGATCTTGTCATGCGGGACGTTATCATCCCAAAACTCAATCGACGGCGTCCTCTTGACGAAAGACTTATCAGAGTCTTCTGCAGCTAGCTTTTTGAGGTGTGCATAGCCGTGGCGATCCCATTTTATCGCGTTGGCATCAGTACCAGAAATGGCGGAAAAGTTGCAGCCAGCCCTGGTCTGTTAGTACATAGCACGGCTTGAAAGAGCGAGAGACTTACCAAGGAGATGTGTATGATGGCGAAGTGTCGCCGGGGAGGTATTCGGCTATGACTGTGATGTTCTTTCCATAGCCTTGTTGGGAGAGAACGAGAGCGACGTCGAGGCCAATGATTCCCGCCCTTGGTTGGATCCTTGTCAGTCAGAGCTCAGAGTTTTGGGAAGGCGACTTACCCGACGATGACAATACTATCAGACGTCATTCTCTATCTTGAGATATAAAATCGATAGGCAAGTCTCAACTGGAATCGTGATTAGAGTGAGGAATTTACTTCTGTAAGGAGGGCGCTCGAGATTTATCTTTAGGTTACTGATCTTTTCACGATGCCGACTGATAGCCGCGGACAAGTCCGGTTTCGCCTAGCTTCGGCCAACCCTTGTTCATCTCCATCGGCGTAGCATATGATTGGTGGCGTTGGCACAGTTGACCGCGGGAAACATCCCCACGGAGAGATTGTTGGATCTGGAGATACGAATCGTACGATGACTCAATAATTATCAACGGCAACTAGCGAGATTGGTTGTAATAAAGAAGAAAAGAAGGCAACTAAGCGAATCACACAGTTCACTCTAATGTATCCTCAGTATCATCCTTGGCGCTGTAGGGTAGTCGATCGCACCGGGGTCCAAGCAAATAAGACTTTAATTCAGAACCCTTCAATGATCAATGGTTTACAAATCGTTCACAATGTAATGCAACCATGAGATCGCGTGATCTATGAACTTGTCTCATGGACACTTCTTAGTAGCTCGGCCGTATCCTCAATGAACTCAAAAGCCTTGGCCAATCCCCTTTCTGGATGGTTGTAGTGCGCAAAAGCATGAGGGCAACCAGCATAGCGCTTCATAGTAACCGCGTTTCCTCCCTCCTCCAATAATTGCCCATAGTACTCTCCTTCATCTCTTTCCAGATCAAACTCTGCGGTCACAATATGCGCCCGGGGAAGGTTTTTGAAGTTTGGAGCAATTACTGGTGTGAGGATCCACTCATTGTTCAGCTTTTTCTCAAGCTCGTCTATGGTGTTCCATCAGTATTACTTTCTCGTTGGACTATCGGTGGTTATGCTTACCAGCATCCTCGCTGACGAAATATTTTAAGAACCATTGTTCTCGCCCGAGAGGTCCCCATGGAACGTCCTTCAGTTGCAGTACACTCTCATATGGACAGTTCTCTGCAGTGAGTTGTTTTACCCTGGAGCTACAGTAGCGCATATCTGTGGCTGGGACAATCATGAGCTGCAATTTGATGTCGATGCCCTCGTCGCGAGCAAAGTGGCCCAGAACAGCAGTCATGTGACCACCTGCAGAAAGACCACCGAGTGAGACACTCTTCGGATTAATGTTAAGCTCAGTCGCGTTATTTATGACCTGTATACAATTAGAAAAGTCCTTCATAAGATATGGCTTGTGTTACCCATTTCACAGCATCCCAGCAGTCATATATGGCCGTTGGATACTTATGCTCCGGGCCCATGCGATAATCAACATCAATGACCTTGATGGATGCCTTGTTGCACATGTGCCGACACCATGCGGCTTCAGATTGAAGGCCCCCAAGAACCCAACCTCCCCCATGAAAGTTCAGATGCACAGGAAACGGCCCAAGTCCTTCCGGAGTATAGATCCTCACCGTGATGAAGCCTTCTGGTTTCGTCACTGGGATTTGTCTATCCTGAACATGAAAGACTTCAGGGCCTTTGTACGTTGGGTATGTGAAGCTGAACTTTGCTGGATTTAGGCGATATTCCTCAATGGTGACTTCATCAGCTCGAATCATGGAACTTCCATGCGTGTTCCATAGTTTCCGCCATTCTGGGTCAAGACCTGGGTATTCATCTGGCCGTATCTCCAAACGCTTCAGGCTTGGGAATGAGGCCGTTACCTCTTCAATTGCTGTCGTAGTATAAGACATGGCCAAGATAACAAAAAATAATAGTAGAAAATCAATAGATTTCACTAGATAAATTCCATTACGACTCTCTTTTTCAAGAATACTTATTTTATCTCCCGTCTAAACCGCCTCCATCATCGGCGTCATTCCTGATTGGTGGCGTTCTGAACGCCGATCAGCCACGCTATCTCCCCCGATAGCGCCAGATAGGCCGTCAAACGCCGCCTATCAGAACTCACAGCGACGACCCCGCGTTATCTCCCAGCAGGGTTCCCAGCAGAATGGGTCTGTCGACCTGGGGTAAGTTTCTCCAACTCATGATGTTTATATACCGGGCGTTGCATCCCGAGAAATGAAGAATCCACCATCATTCGAGAGTCGAATCATCTCTTTGTTACCTCGACTGAATTCGGAAATATGACGACTGAAGTTAACATGGAGAAGAAGATTGAGAGCAATGCTGGCGATGCTAAGAGCATTGCGGGACGGGAGGAGCAGTGGCAAGGTCTGAGGAGGGTTCCCGACAAGTTGCCCAAGATCGCGTTGTTGATCCTAGCTGTCGAGGTAAGGCCAAAGACCCATGAAAGATTGAGAGACGGGGAATTGAAGTGGCTGACTCCATGTAGCTCGGTGAGCGATTTACCTATTTTGGTCTCTCTGGACCTATCCAGAATTACATCAAGTTTGTCAACATCATGAAACTTCACCTCTTGTGATACTAACAGTGTTAAGCAACCCATACGACCCCAACTCAGATCTGCCAGGTGCACTTGGAAAGGGTCAAGCTGTCGCAACAGCCCTCGGCAACTTCTTCAAGTTTTGGGCATACGCTTCAACAGTCATTGGTGCCATAGTCGCTGGTAAGCCTCTTACTCAAACTCACTTGACAGCTCTGTTTTATTGATGATACCCAGACCAGTATCTTGGTAAATTCCGAGCCATCTGCTGCGCATGCGTCATCTATGTCATCGGCCTCGTCATTCTCGTTTCGACTTCAACACCCACAGCCCTCCTTCACAATGCTGGTCTAGGAGGTCTTATCGCTGCTATGATCACTATTGGTCTGGGAACTGGCGGAATCAAGGCCAATGTTACGCCCATGTGTGCTGAGCAGTATCAGCATTCGCATCCCGTTCTCAAGACACTCAAGTCAGGAGAAGAGGTCATCGTTGATCCAGAGCTCACTGTGCAGAGGCTCTTCATGTGGTAAGACAGGTTTGCTCGGTCTTGGATGTGTACACGCTAATAGATGTCAGGTTTTACTGGGTCGTCAACATTGGAGCTCTTTCACCGCTCATCACAGTCAACGTAGAGGCTCACCATTCTTTCTGGCTGGCGTACTTGGTCCCATTAATGTGAGTCTAATGGCTTTGACCCAGACATACCTCCAAAGTCTAACCTTTTCAAACAGTGCCATTCTAATTTCCGCTGCTGTCTTCATCTCAGGCCGAAACAAGTATATCCGTGTTCCCCCAGTTGGCTCAGCTATTCTCGATGCCTGCCGGACAACCAGCATCGCCATCAAGGAGAAGGGTTTCCATAATGCACGACCGTCAGTTCTGAGAGCCACAGGCCACAACGAAAGGTATCCATTGGCCAGTCAAGAGAGATACACTGATGAGTATGTCGGAGATGTGCAGCGCGGACTCAAAAGCTGCAAGGTATGTGGCCTGTCTCATGACCTTCAAGGTGAATATTGACGGATACGTATAGATGTTCCTGTTCTTCCCGTTCTACTTCATATGTTGGAACCAGATGTGGAACAACCTCATTTCCCAAGCTGGCACCATGGCTCTTCATGGAACACCAAATGATCTTCTGCAGAACCTGGACCCTATCGCTCTTTGTTTCTTCGTTCCATTTCTGGATCGTAAGTAATCGCTTGAAAAATCCTCATTTATTACTCACAGGACACTTTAGTGATTGTATACCCCCTCCTGCGAAAGTACAGAATCGACTTTGACCCCGTAACCCGCATCTTCATGGGTTTCATGTTCGCCTCGATCTCAATGGCTTATGCATGCGTCCTCCAGCATTATATCTACAAATCACCACCAAACAGCATCCACGTTTGGATCCAAGCTCCATCATATATCCTCGTGGCTTTGTCTGAAGCTTTTGTTATCATCACAGGTCTCGAGTTAGCCTTTACTCAAGCCCCCAAGAAGTAAGCTTAAATATTCCTTGCAAATTGATGCGTGAACTGACCAAGACCTTCCAGCCTCCGATCTGTCATCTCAGCTCTGTTCTGGCTGACCATCGCTGTTGCTGCCGCGATCTGCATTGCCCTCGGCGCAGTTTCTCAGGACCCATATCTTGTGTGGATGTATGGAGCTGTGGGAATTTCTGGATTCATTGCTGGCTGCGCATTTTACGCTTGCTTCTACAAAGGGCGGAAGCAACATCTTTCCCGAGATGAGATTGTTATCGAAGGCAGTTTAGGGAACTAGAATTTATAAGAGTGTATAGATGAATACCTTAAAATGATAGCTGCTTTAAAACCAAGGCTCAAGACTATACAAAGATTCCAACTATTATTAAATTCTTCAAAGTAGTAAAATAACGCTAGCGATTTATTTAGCTGCCGCTTAATTTCTTATGCGGCCTGACTAAGACTTCGTAAGAAGATTTCCCTCATCATGAAGAACTACTGTATCCAGAGGAGACGAAACCTGGGTTATTGTTTCAATAGACCGCGTGATGAAGGGACCATCGCTCCCAGAGCTCCTGATACCATGTCCATTTGACCGCAACCTATGCAGCACCGCTCGTGTAAGCTGGCGTGTATGAGGCATGCAAGATACCGTGATTCCTACACATAGCTCGATGTAAGACCAAAAGATGACATCGTTCCCGTTTTGGGCTAACATAATATGTCAGTACATAAAAGCAGGAAGGGATTGGTTTGTTCTTACTTGACTTGCTTATATCGGTAATGTACTCTACCATTTTATATAGCTTGAGAGCACAAACAATAGTCAAGCTGAATACAACACGTTAGCGGTTTCTACTATGGTACCAACTTATCTTTACTCACAATATGCCAACACTAAACATTGCTATCACGCCTAGCTTCTTACTGATCTTGAGCCCCAATTTGTACAACTGAGAAATCGGTAAGATAAGCATCCAGATATCCAGGACTAGATTCAAACAAGCCTGCACCATCGGTGGTGACGACATGTAATGCATACCCTGGCCGATCGTCTTGTCTTCCCATGCTTTCCATATATCCAAGAGCACGGGTGCTTGTATCAAAGTGAGCACAACGAATGTCAGTCCGAACAGGGCATTGCATGCCGCAGTCCACTTGACCACTCTCCGAAAGGTTTCATCTGGGAAGATCTGAAGATACAGAAGTAAAATGGAGGCTTTTATAAATGTGAGGACAATGGGATAGAGTAGTGCCAATGCAAAGAAATACTGAGTCTTGTTAGAATCACGAACTAAGAACCGAAGTTTAGTACTTACTCTGAAAAAAGTTCCTACTTGGCGATGTGAGAGGTTTTCAAACTCTTTGCCTAAACCCTGTTCTAGCACTGTTGATGATGGGTGAGAAATATCCTATGACAGCCTCGGTTTCCACTAACATAATTGGTAGAAGACGCAAACAGGACTCAATAGGGCCTGGAAACAATCAGTGAAAACTCTGGTCTAGTGAAATATATTGCTCTTACCACTGATACTGAAATAAGTGTATCGTCTATGCCCCAAAGAGTAGGCCCTAGGATTTTGCATGTAACTCGTAGGATGTAAAAGACAACGGCTAGCGTCGTCATGATTATGCCAGTGACTTGGAACTCGATGTATTGGTCCATCGGAGGAATACCGCATGCCTTTTTGGAAATCCGAGTAAACTCTGTGATATTAATGTTAATAGGCTGTAGCTCATGAAATGCTGCCCGAATGTGAAGTCGTTTATTACCCATCGTTTCACCAAAAAGACATCGTTTTGCCACGCAATCCCCTAGTACCCTGGCAAACGCTTTATCATGGCATAGTTCGGCTTGAGTTTTGAGCGAAAACGCCGGGTCGCTGAAACTCTCGAGAGCGCATTTGACCTAGGTTATCCGTTAACGACAGATAGAGACACAACAAGAGGGAGAATATGAACTAACACCGCACTCAGGTGCATCGCTTATTGACCTACTTGACTGAGCGAAAGCACCACAGAATAGGTAAACCCAGATACAGAGAGAACGAAAACCGCGCATGCGACGAGCCTTGGACATTTCGGCAGATGTTGGCTTGTTTAAACGAAATTCCGATCGCAAAAGAGAGTCAGAAAAAAGAAAGAAAGACTGGGACTGTGTTTCATATTTTAACATCTTGCAGTTCGTGACAAATGCTCCGAATGGTAACGCCATGGCTTTGTAGAGTAAGCCATTGAAAGCCGGAATTGGTAACGCGCCAGGAGTCGAGATCTGAATCGTGGCTTGATGGCGGACAGGAACTGGTTCGATCAATCATAAGTCTGTATAAAAAGGTTTGTCTTTACCAACAATGTCTAGTGTGTACAAAGCCGGGCCAATATGTAGAGACAGGCGTAGAAATTCGTCATGCCATTCCGGTCAACAGAGGCGTCCAGATCAACCAGCGCCCGCTGCACGGTCAGATAAACTTGAAACCTGTCACAGTAGGTCTTGAAGCACTAACATGTCATGTTATTGCTCAATAAAAGGTTTACGGAATACGGGGCGTTGACATGGAGAGCCGTTGAATTAGAATACGCCGTGCAGATTGACCCAGAATGTTTCTCCCAAGTCCCAACAGTACCTAGCTCCAACGCTGGACTCGCGTGCTGCTTCGAGGAAGTGGAACTGAATAGATTTATATGCTTTAAAGTACTGTTAATAATTGAAAGTAGCCTAGAGCAGTTCAAAGTAGTATAAACTAAGGCAGGGAGATTGGCCGTTTCGTTTATAGATCCTTTCAAAACAGTAACAGACCGTCGGTGGTGAAAGTGTGACCTAATCTTATGACCTAGAAAAGACTCTATCTTCTCTTGGCCGGATTAAGCTCTTAGCTATAGGTCTTAGCGGTAAATAATACTTCTAGCTTATAATTTAAATATTATATTAAAGTATCTAACTAATTACTATAATATAAGGCTAATAAAAGGAAAACCTAAATAATAACTCTTTAGTTAGCCTTAAAGGTATATAAAAATATACCTTTAATTTATTAATTAAAAAAAGTTAACTTAATACTATAAATACCTTTAATCTTTAAGATAGTAGCTTTTATATTAATAAGATTAATCTTTAATTAATATAAACTTTATTAAATAGTAAGTATTAATAATTATATTAATAAAGTTATAATTATATTTTAAGCTATATTAATATATAGAGAGACTTTATAAAGTAATTATATTTATAAACCCCTTAAAAAATACTATAAAGCTATTATAAAGTTTATTTTTATATAGAACTTTTATAAATTTAATAATAAATTCTTTATTTAATTAGCTCTTTTTAATTATAAAATTATTACTTTTATAATAATTTTTAATAAATTTCTTATAGAGGTTATTAAAGTTATTTAATAAAAAAGAAATATATTAAAGAAGCTAAAAAAACTAAAAAGATTTAATATAGCTATATAGTTAATTTAAGGAAATAAGGCTTAAATTATATTTATATTTAAAGTATAAATAGTAATTTATTAAAATAGATTTCTTATAGATATAATATATAGCTATTGGATTTATTAAAAAATACTAATATATAAAAAAAGCTTAATTAAAGTAAAGAAAGTTTTATAATTATATATATATTAATATTACTAAAAATAAGGTTAAAGTAAAGGTTTAAGGAAATTAAAAGGTTATAGCGGTATTAAGTTTATAAGTTAATTATAAGGTTAGAAAATATACTTTAGGTTTAATATAATAGCTAGAAAAGACTTAAATTCTAATCAAGTCAGTAAAGAATCGCAAAGCAATTATCGAAGCTAATGAAATTGGCTCTGTTTGCGCCTCCGCAGATAATTCTAGAACGAATATCAACCCACTCTTAATTATGATCTATCAGGAACCCTCTACCCGGGATGAAAATCTGGTTTTATAAAGCGAAAGTGGATTCAAGCGTCAGACGTATTCTGTTACGTTCAAGGCCTGATTACTGTATCTGACTGTAAATCAAGATGGACGGATCGAACCCTTGCTCCTGCTTCAGATCATCGTTTACATCTCACGACTTGAACAAATCCATCACCATGCACTCTGACTGGGTACAAATCACCTGGATCCCAAACAGTCCCTCAGCTAACGATAACAGACTCTCATTAACCTCCTCCTCGCGTCTTCGGCTCTATCCGCCTTGGGCGGCAAGTGTAATGCTCCACGCGAAGCCGGCGAGAACAACAACTGCCTGGGAGGTTCCTACAGCGACTGTGTAGCGAGGAACAACCAGCTGTGCACGGGCGACTGTTTTGGCCAGCCTGCTGGTGGAGCTGGTGCCCCATGTTACACTGGCTACACCACTAGGAACCAGCAGTACTGCGCTGGCTACTGCATGAAGATTAGCAACTGTGATGACTGCCTAAAAAGTCTTAAGGAAATGGGCGCTGCGGGATCTGATGAGCACCACAAGGAGACTTGCAACCAGGAAGGTAAGAGGTGTCCCAGAACCCGTCAAGAGTTTGACTTTGCTAACGTTGCTGCAGGTGACTCATACTACTGCAACTGTGACTCTTAGTCATCGCGAGGTACTCTGGTAGACTAGGTTTCACGTGTGACTACCTACTCATGAGGTACTTGCATGCTCTTGTTGACTAGATTCAGAGCTTGCAACAAATATCAAGCCCGCACTCTTAAGTTCTTAGATTTGAACTTAACATGCTACTTGGCCGGTTCCTGGCCAAAAGGTTAGAATTTGGTGTAGAAGCTAATACGAAGAACCGTGAATGGTGAAGAAAAACGACACCGTACTAACTAAGTTCATTGTCCTGGGTTTATACCTCAGCCAAATGTATCAACCGCCAATACCAGATCCAGTTAACAGTTTAGACATTATGTCAGAGTGCTTGACCAATTACCATAGCATCACTATACCTAGAAACTTTGTTATGATACTCTACTAACCAAAGCCATGGCCCGACACCGTAGCTTTAAATGTTTGCGCACGCTGAATATTATTTTAAAGACAGGATGCCCCTCAGTAGGTCAACACACGGAACTCTCCTAGTAACGAGATATCTTTGGCTTCTCATCACATTGTGATCTCCATTAACCTGACCAAACTTCACCTTCCGTCCAGCAAGAAACACCGATAAAATGGTCCACTGGCACTCGTTACCTGCCGAGATCCGCTGCATGATCTTGGAGACCCTGAGAGCACACAAAGGGACCGCACACTTCGCTTCCGTCTTGAACGAATGGCGAACCTTCATTGAACAGAGGACATTTTCTCACATCAGACTTCACCCCGAGTGTCTCGACCACCTCGAACAGCTCAACGACCACTATAGGGGGCAGATTAGGCATCTCTGGCTCAATATAAAGCTCGACGGATATACCTGTCGATCATGCCGAAAGAGAGAGTCAATGACATTGTCATACTCCATTGCAAGAATCCTGAGAGAAGCCATCACTAGGCTGTTCTCCGTCTTGACAACTTGGAGGGAGCCTTTGACTCTGGAACTTAATGTTTACTGTCCGAGCGACTCGCAGCACTGGTTCAAGAATAGTTACTTCGGTGCTCCTGGCGAGGATAAATTCGAGTGTCAAACGCCTAGCGATCCCATTCACGATCCCGATCACGGGTGGTTTGAAGGTACTATCACTAGAGCGCCACCAGACGATGCTCTACGACGCCCCTTTGGACTATCTGAGTTGAACTTCCGGGAGGGTCTCCCTTTAGTCAATGCCGTGACTAAATTTGTCTTACGCCGCCAGTGTCGTCAGCAGCTCAACCCTCCCATTTTACGGTATCTTTGGTCAAAGTTACCAAACCTAGAGGAGATCAGCTACGAACCGTGGCAATGGCATATGAACGTAGTACAGCAAGTCTCGGATATAGGTAAGTAATGGAGAAAAGTTAACGATGTTACAGCGCTGACAGAATAAATCACAGACTTTGTCAGAACGATCCACCACATCCCAGCAAGCGTTAACAAAGTCACTATCTTCGAGGATTTCAACGAGAGCTTTCTGGAATTGTATGCTCTTGGTAGAGGCATTTTATCGTACCTAAATCCAGAACGAGTCAGACTTCCTTTTCGCGTCCTGGGCGCGGTATTTGCCATGCGAAGCCAGAGGCTTGAGTATCTGTCCGTCGCTTTTATGATAGATGCTCAGCATTTCTTCGACGGGTGCCTACCAAGTTGGAGATGGCCTCGGCTAAAAACCGTCACATTGACAGCCCGGGGTATCGCCAAGGATAGCGTCCGTCAGACGAACGAGCTCTTCCAAAATGCCGCCCAAGTCGCACTCAACATGCCTGAGCTTCAGACATTGACTATATGGCACGGCGAAAGAAGAGAAGCTTGTGCTTTTACGTATCGTCGAGCTCATGGTTCGATATGCTGGCAAGGCACACGAGATGTGAGGCTGGAGGTGAAGACTCTTGAGGCTTGGGAGAGAGTAGCTGTCACATACACTGGGAGAGTACTCACAGTTGACAAAAAGCTGTTCATGGAGGACATCACGTCTCATGGGGATGCCGTTCATCATTTGGGTCTACATCATGTCGTCGACAGAGTGTCGCTACAGCAAATACGAATTGAGAACCGAGTCTCTTGGCTTGGAGCACCTTGAATCCAAATGGCTTATTAGTGTTAGGTTCTCTCGGCTGGATTAAGCTCTCAGCCACAGGTCTCAGCGGTAAATAACACTTCTAGCTCACAACTTAATAGTGTTAAATTTTGGCTGCAGCAGTTAGTCTCGAGTTCGGTGACGTCACTATCGCGAACAGATGCACTTTATGTAGTTATTAATAAGTGCACCCAAGGAAACATACTAATCTATTTATAAACCTAAAAAGATATAGATGGTATTGTGTATTTCTTGAATATGCCAGATTTATATTCCAGCATGAATGCTTCCCAGTCAGGTACTCTTATAGCCTCTTCCGCCGCCTACAGACTATGAACGCCAATGAAAACCAATGATATTGTCCTAAGAAGCGGTTGATTTGAGGTCCCCGAGGCCGAGGTCTGAAAACTTTGGGACCAGGTGGGTGGGCTGCTTAGTATTGGGATGCCGGTTTGTTTGCATCCGCCATATACAAAATTGAGAACATGGTGATGGTATCTTGGCCTCTTACCACATGGAGGAAGGAAATTGCTGAACTAATAAGGACTGGACTAAAGGTTCGTAAATTCTGTCTGTCATTTGGAAGAATGGCCCTAAGCTTTCGCTCTCAGTCAAAGTCCTCAATTACTAGGTCCTCGAAGTTCTCTCCGCTTATTTAAGCTCCTAGCCACATGCATTAACTGCAAGCAACAATTCTACCTCGCAAGTACCTAGAAACATGTATGAGAAACGTACTTCACTATTATCGCTGCCACATACGCTAGATAATGCATCTCACAACGAGCACGATACTCTACTTGAGGCTCCCAGAAGTCTGCTATAGAAATAGGTTAAGTCACACGACCTGAAAGACTTGTCTTTTTTTAATTAGTAAATTAAGTTAAATTCATTTATTATGAACTTATATTTATAATATTAGAATTAGGTCTACATTTAGCTATTATAAGAAATAACTATAAGTATTAAATTAAGTTAATTAATAAGTTAAGAATATATTTCTCTTCATCATAATAATTAAAGCTATAGTTACTACTATAAGCTTGAGAAAAAGAATTTATATAATTTAATTCTCAAAAAGGAAAAAACTATAAACTATTACAATATAAGCTAGAAGAATAACTATAGCTTTACATATTGTTTAAAATAATAGAGTGTTATTAAATGCATTGTCTGTTAAGCAGGTAATGCCTACTATTAAGAAAGTAAATATAGTAGTGCTGGATCACTGGATCAGTAGATCAGCAAGGCGATCTCTGGTCTGCCAGCGCGGTAGCTTTAGCTTCTTACTACGCCTCCTTTACATTGTGTGCTCAGCTCCTCAAATCCCGTTCTTCGCGCTGAAGAATTCATTCATACCGTCAAAGACGAGCCGGCTACCTAGGCTTTGTCGCCTGTGTCCTTTTCCTTCTTTTGCGTGATGACGCGTTTCATAGAGAACGACTCCTGGTTGTTAACTGCAGCTTGGTCGGCTTTCTTATCACCATCAGCCGGGTTGACACTTCCGGCGAAGATGTTCATGGTCAAAAGCGCGGTCGGTGTTCCTCTGTCGATAAGCTGGACGTTTGCAAGGGAGATTGGAATTTGGGGTTCGGAGACCTGTGGAGTTACGTTTATGGTCTGGGTCGTTGTGGTTTCGGACGTATCCTCCACGGTCACGTACGTGACGGTGCCAATAAGAACGACTCTACTGGTCTGTCCGTTCTTCGGCGTGACTTCCCAGAGAGTGTCCTCAAGGGAGAATTCTCCCTGTGCACCGAGTTCCGCATTCGGGATGCTAATTGTTCCTTGCGTGACTTGCTGAGCTTTTGGATTCAGTAGAAATTCTGATGGGGCCAAATTGCCACCCAGTGCACTGCCTCCATAGATAGCCGCTGGATCCGAAGACACATTCACGACTGTAACAAAGAGTTGAATCTCGTCATAGAGGTAGTCGGCCATGGTTGTCTAGATATTATCAGAGTATATGTTAGACGATGGCACAAGATCATGTAGTGTTTACAACTCACTCTGCGTGTGTGGACGAGCTAAAGGCTTTGGATCAGGTAGAGAAAATCCTGAAAATGCGTCTTGATATCAATGGTATTCAGTCAGCATATACACTTTTCGAAATGGACAGACTGTCATACCGAGATTTCGTTTGTACAGCTAAGTGTTGACGGTAGCTTTAGTGAAAACAAGAGCGGAGAGACGTGAAATAAATAGCACATCCAGTTTCTCCGCATCAAGCGCAGCAAAAAAGGCAACTTCAAATAATGCCAACTTTAGGACACTCAGCACGCCACAGCACGCCACTTAAGCCGTGGTCAAGCCTATTCGAGTCACAAGTTGTGAGACATGTAGTACCGCCGCCCCTGAAGATTTAACAGTGTGCCTGACGTTGAGTGTCAAAGCCACCGCAAGGGTAGGGCGTTGTGGAAGGTAGTAACGTTACTGAGAGCGGCGGTGAACAAATGACTTAGGCTCAGCCAGCCACAGCGTGACTGCAGTGGTTGCTCACATTCTTAAGCTCTTTACATAATGTTAAGTCTTTCAATTCAGCTCTCCACAAACCGATATCACATTCCACTAATGCGTGATAGGCGGTTGGCACAGAGCCACACCGTGGTATTCGCAGCTGAACTCGAGCAATATTTGACTAAAGCGGATGTGGCACGAAATTTCAAGCTAGAGCGCGGGGAACTTTGGAATGATCCGGCCGCGTGCGGTCTACGAGAATTTGTCTCATCACGGTCATTTAGCGCCTAAATTTAATCTTTCTACCTGTGACACGTCGAAACCGTGAGTATTACAGTGGGGGCGCGAAAGTACGGCATATTTTACATGGGGATTTCAACCAAAATGTGTCGCAGCTTTTTTCTCCCCACTGTACACCAGCATTCTTCAAGACTCGTATGAGGGGTTCAGGGCAGCTTAGGCACCATAAGCACGAGAACATGAGGAGGAAAAGAAACAACAGGCTCTACATTGGCTCATAACGCTTGCATTGACAGTGCACCTTAGGAGAAGATCGTGTTCCTATGCGAGAGGTGAGGATGCTATATTGTGATGGATCCTACTTGGAAGATGATACAAATGACCTATGACTTGTCCGGATTATTGACGCAATGGACCGAGTTCACTGTGTCCAGGTGAAGATCGTTAACGTCTCTTGATACATAAATGCTAGAGCCTTTGCAGTTCTTCTTCCTGGGAAAGATTGGCATCAGTAAGTTAGATGCATACCAATAGTAATCTTACTCATATAAGTAGCAGAACGTGCTGCGACGAAGGTGGATGCTGTTAACCTTGAACTTGCTGCTAGAGAATTAGTGAAGCCGTATTCGATTGTTAAGACAGAACATACCTGGATCCGACATTGCCGCACCCGTAGCCATGAACATCTTCGTGTGATCCTTTGAGGTTCTTCTGATTATAGACCCTCGCCTGCCAAGGGATAAGTCATTACTTAGGCGCCAACCAGTCAATGTGAAAGAAACTTACGGTGATCACATCTGTCGCAGCAGATGCGACAGCGAGGTAGGAAATAAAGGCAATAATCTGCATCGTTGTTATGTAAAGTAGCACGACTGGTAAAGTAGCACGACTGGTGAGAAAGCTTGAAAGGTTCACCAACAAGCATGATGAGAAAAAGGAATATGGTGAGGCCATAAAAACATTTATGAGGTTTTTATGCAAGGGTACTGGAAGTCGGCAGCGAAAAAGGAGCCATGGGTCGCGGCAAATAGCTGCCGAGCATCTAATCATGTTAACGGAAGCAAAGAACAGGCGCTGTGGCTGAAGAGGATCTGCCAGGCTAGCCTTATTACGCATAAGCTCATGGTTATCTATCAGGTCAATACTACGCTGTTCCCGTCGTGCATGCCTGAAACGCGCTGTTGCTTATGAGATTATGCTGGGGTTCATTTACCATCGTCTTCGCAGCGGCAACATTCCGCATAACTACAGTTCACTTAACGAAATTTGAGTATGAATATCGTGGTTAAGTTAAAGACTCGGAAAGCTTTGCATCTCTTGGTATCGTTTATTCTTTATCCAGACTTCGCTAATCTACGCTTTGTCAAGTCGCGAGAATTTACCGCCTATACTGGGGAAGAGGGCTAGGCTCACCTACGTCCTCGAGCTGCTCCTCAATAAAATGATTTAAAAGACAATGATGTTAAGACCGGAAATGCTATTTCCAGGCCTATTTGTCCGAATTAAAATATTTGAATTTACGGAACAGACATTGCATGCAAGGAGATCTCGCGCGGCTCAATCACGATCATGCCCGCACTTCCTACAGGAGCCATCTCTTTACTGCATTCTCATTGCAATTAGTAGACATAGCCAAATAAAATGCTTCAAAGAACTTTTGCAACTGTGTCTTTGATGTTTTGATTATTGATATTCCTGTTATCTCGCTGCAACCAGATTCGCGCTCTAAGCTGTTTACCGCTAAAAACAGCATAAAAGAAGAATACAGGTCTATACTTGTTTTCATAATTAAGGGAAATAATAGTTCTATAGTAGGATAAGACTCATATAAGCTTAGGAATAAGCTTATAGTGGCAGCTCGGACTGCAATAGCAGAATTTAAATCGCAATTGGCGGACGCCCTAGGTTAACTAATCCCGGTAGCTAAGACTAACTACACTTACGAGCTCCACGCGATGGTAGCGTTGGTATATACGACTGTCAAGAGAATAGTGGCAAGGGCCAAGCTGACGATACGGTGATATTGCTGAGCGGCATGGTTCCTGAAGTACCAGACAGACCAATTCAGTAATCATCAGCTATTGGGAAAAATCTGGAATGCTCTATCTTGCTGTCTCACCTGTTTGTAGGACACGAATAAAGACGCCTTGCCGTATCCTCAGGGGGCAATAAAACACCAGACTTATTGGTGGGTGTCAAAATAAACTTAGTAAAGCTTCCCCTAAGTTTAGACTGAATTTACCTAAGTATTTTTTATCATTTAGGGTTAGGGTCCTGAGTTTTCTTTCCTCCCTAGCGTATCAACTTTCGCGTTAGTATCAGCCAGCCACTTCTGGGCCTCGAACCGATTATGAACGCCAAAGCTCACAGCCGTCGAGTTGCCCCTCCCACATCTGACTTGCATATCACGCCTCGATCAGATTCGCGGGCCAGTAGGATATGATTCCGCATTAGAGAAACCTAAGTAGCCAATAATTATTGTTGGTCTGCACAATCCTTCACTGATAATGATCTTATCACATTGCTGATTTTCGTACTTCTTCCTATCAGCTACTGATCCCCGCAAGTCTAGGCCCGGGCCTTTTGCCGCTATTGATCTGGCCCACCTTTGGGGCTAGACCGTCGATGTGCGAGAATGATCAAGCTGAAAACAGGCAGTTATTGTGGCAATTGAATGGGAAAATGGGCCATGAATATAAATGCAATGTGTCTCTCAGCTTAAACCTACCACTAGCTGTGCTCAATAGTCAAAGGACCACCTGAATTCGTTCTTCAATCGACTAGAGCATATACAATCACGATGTCGACAGCCACGCAGACTCCACCGTCTGAAAGGACACTGCAAGAAAAGATCGAGCACCTCGGTGATCTCGTGAGAGATCCCAAATCGGACTTGGGCGCCGATGAGTTGCCACATCTTCCCGAGCTCATTGATGATTGGTACAACACCGATGTGGATGTCACAAAGGAAGAGTTCCATCGACGAATTTTAGGAGTCTTCAAAGATTCCAAGCATGAGCAGGTATACAATGGCGTTATGGCTCAATTGCCTGATGAGACGCGAAAGGTTCTTGAGGCTTTCATCGATGGCGATAAGACCGCTGATGAAGCTGGACAAGCTATTAAGGAGGTTGCACCTTTGGAGATTGGAGCGTCAAGTGCCAGCTCTAACTTTCAGACATTCTCTATGATGGCGCAGCAGGTGACTCCTCCCAGCAAAACCAAGGTTCGTATTCTCTTTCAATAGTTGTGCGCTCAATATCTAACACATACAGGGCAAGGAAACCAAGGACTTGACCTTTCAGAATTGGGGCCGCACCGTCAAGAATACGCCCACGGTCACGTATTACCCCGAAACAGTCGCCGAGATCATCGAGATTGTTCGTGATGCTGTTGCCAAGAACAAAGGCATTCGTGTTTCCGGCTTCCGTAAGCTTCTAGTCTTGCCAATCGCCCTATCAACTGACCGTATCCAGGGCACTCATGGGCACCCGTGTTTGGGAGGAGCAACAAGGCTGGCCAGTCTACCAATGGCGATGTGTTGATCTCTACCTTGACTGAGACCAACGCAAGTCGGTTGCCCAATCTCACCTCGGTTCCTACCAACCTCTTCCAGCCCAAGGACACGGAACTCAACGCGATCAACGTAATCACGGACCCCAAGTTTGTAGGAGCTCCGGCTCTGAAGAATGGCAGGAAGTATGTCCAGGTCGGAACGGCGACCACGAATGAAAAGTTCCGACGATGGTGCATCAACACGGGAAATGTTACTCTGCCCATGAACATTATTGAGGTCGAGATAACCTTTGGCGGTAGCAACGCTACAATTTGGTGAGTTCTCAAGTGGAGCCTTTGAAGCTCAGAGCTAACGCCCGTAGTCACGGCGCGGGCATCAACAACCCAACGTTGAGCGACCTTGTCCGACGAATCGACTACATCGATGTCAACGGCAAAGAACAGTTCGTCAACATGTCCGATCCTACGCTTCTCAAGGCCGCAAGTGGCTGTTTCGGTCTTCTCGGTGTCGTCACTTACATCACCTTTGAATGCGACGCCATGTGCACCGCTGTCATGCGTCCAGTCAAACTTGACGTTATCGACGCTATCCCGCCGCCGCCCGAAATGAAGGACTCGGACATCCCTGCTCCCCTTCGCCAAAAGCGCACCCAAGCTGAAAAGGATGCTAATGTCCGCGAGTTTGAGCGTCGTGCGAATGAGGACTTTTATGCAGAGTGGTTCTGGTTTCCTTACTCGCAGCAGGTCTGGGTTAATACTTGGAAGACTGATACTGATACCAAGAACGTGGTCAACTATCCCAGTAACGCAAAGACTTTGTATCAAGTTGCCAGCACCGCCATTATGAACATGGCTCAAGAGATTGGAAAACATATCCATGCTTTGCAAGTTGCGCCTCAGACGCAGACCTCACTCCTCTGTAGGTTATTGATCATGAACTTCGCGGAGAGAAAAGCTAACACGACGCAACAGCCTGGCTCGCGGTGAAGAATTTTGACGATGTTAAAGGAACCAACAAATCCATCAGAACCTTGCTGCCTAATGCCCTTCATTTCCAACGCGGCGTTCAGAATATCCGAGTGCGCAATTTGGAGGTTGAGATGGCCGTAAGTCTTTTGATCTTTGGTCGAACTAATAACTAATGTGACCATCAGCTTGACTCAAAGAAGGGCAAACCCAATGAGAGAGACTACACCAATGTGAGACGTGCTTGGTGGGACGTCATCAAGACATGCTACGCCAACGCCAAAACATCTCCTATGCGCATGCCCATGGAGATGCGCATAATGGGTTCCAGCGAAGTCACTCTCGCGCCACAGCGAGGCAACAAGCTCGGAACATGCGCCATCGGCATTCTGACTCTAGAGGCTGTATCCGACATCTGGGTTCCTTATGCGCAACAGGTCCTCGACAAGTGGACGAGCTACAAGACGAACGAAGGCAAACCCGTGGTGGTGAAGCCTCATTGGGCTAAGGAATGGTATATGTACAAGGTTGGCGGTAAGCCTTGGGTGGAGAAGCTGGTCAAGGAGGATTACAAGGAGGAGATTGCAGAGTTTCAGGCGCTGATGTCTGCTATTGGTAAGAAGCATGGTTGGACGCTGGGAGATATCAAGAGGACGTTTTCGAACGATGTTCTTGATAATACCTTCCTGGGCGGCGTTGCTACCTCTCAGCCACAGCAGGGTGTGAAGGCAGCGAAGGTAGTTCAGGTTCAGGTGCATGAAGTTCCTGCGGATGTAGTCTAATAGGTATATGTTTAAGCAGCAGCCATCAGATCATGAATAAGGTACTACAATCCATATTTTCGAACGGTGCCTGATGAAGCAATAGACCTAGGTCAACCTACTACGTCCGATTCGATCCTGGCATACAGGGTTGAGGGATTAGTCAGCGCCCAATACCACCTGGCCTGATTCTAGCATCGTCAGCACAAAGGTTTTCAACACTGCCCGCCCAAGCATGTCACTAAGACCTGGCTCTCAGGACCTAGTATCTATCCGTATCCATGTTTTCTTATGACAGCGCAAGCACAGGAGGCGGGCTCGGCCCAACGCAGATCCGTCTCCTCCATCTACTTCCAGGAAAAGACAACAATCGGATTGAATGTCGACTCGAAGTTGTCGCATTCGAAGAAAACCCAGTGTATGAGGCTCTTTCGTACTGCTGGGGTGATAGCACTCAGCTTCAGGAGATAAAATGCAACGGTGAGGCATTTAAAGTCACCGAAAGTCTGTTCTGTGCACTGCAGCACTTGAGGGACGAGCATGTGGAGCGGACACTATGGATCGACGCCATTTGTATCAACCAGAATGATCTGGAGGAGCGGCAATCTCAGGTCAAACTAATGACAGACATATATACCAAATCAGACATGGTAGTTATCTGGCTAGGTCCCGATCCCGCCTCCGATGGAGTCAGCTACTTGTCCGAAATGCTGCAGACGATTCCAAATCTTCCCGGCCCTCAGTTAAGCAAGAGACAGAGAACGTTTTTCGAGATGAACGTATTTGATGCTGATCGCTGGCATCAAGATGAGGACAGGAATCGCTCAAAAGTCCCGGATCATATGAAGAAGGATTTCATTATACCTAAAGAGGTCGCAAAGGGCGCAATCGCTGTATTGACAAGACCATGGTGGTCAAGGATGTGGACCGTCCAGGAGATGGTTCTAGCTCCCAGTGCGATCATCATGTGCGGCCACTTAGCTGCTCCAGCATCAGATGTCCGACGGGCGTGCGCTGATGTTCTAATGCACACAGTCAGCGACGCCTTTGACACTGGCGATGATGATGATCTTCTGAATTTTGGAGACCTGTTTGAAGATCCTAATGGCACAATATACATGGCCACAATGCGACTACATAGTAGTGTCAGTGCGAAAATGGAGCTTGGAAAGCTGCTCCGGTTCCTTAGATGGTTGAAAGCCAAAGATCCAAGGGACAAGGTATATGGCTCTTTGGGTATTGCCGCGTCAACATATGGCATTGAGCCTGACTATACTATTTCCACCGCCGAATGCTACACACGTACGACCTTCAATATCATAACTGGTAGCCGATCGCTGGATATTTTCAGTGCTCTACGAAGGCCATCTTGCATAGAGACTACCTTGGCGAGCCTGCCATCGTGGGTTCCTGACTGGAGTTATGACTTCTCTAGTGTTCCAGACAACGAAAAGGGACCCTCGGCTATCAACAATCCTATCATGAGAGAAAATGTTCGTACCCCAATGATGCTAGAAATGGCGGATTCATTTCCTGAGTGGACGGCGTCCGGATCCAACATGCCCTTCACTGCAGGGCTTTCAAGCGATGGCAAAACATTGATACTCAGAGGTATGATCCTGGATGAGTTAAGTTGCGTTGGGGACAAGCTCGAATACCCCTGGCCAGGACCTGAACTACAGTCTGAGAACGTGGTCAAGGAGGCGATTCACGATTTCAAGAGAAACTGGAGAATCTATGGGTCTATTGGAGCTGCCATGGATACTATAAAAGGTTGGCAAGATCTGGCCTTCAAGAATAACAATGTTCAAACAACATCCGGAGAAACCCAAATGGACGCTTTCCTCACAACATTGCTGAGCAACCGGATTCGTCTCAGTGCTGATAGAAGAAAAGTCTTGGACTATCTTGAAGAGAGCATAGGAACTAGCTTCAAGATGAGCAGTAGCGGTACTGTTATGAATCAGCTTCATCTTCCAAACGTGGCACCGAAAATATATCACAAACTACTGGGATTCGGAAAGATATGTAGTATCGATGACAGCGAAATTCTCTCATTTGGGAAGTCCTTCACTGACGTGCAACTGGCCTTTGACCAGAGAATGGCAACGACAAGATCGGGATATCTCTGCATGCTTCCTTGGCCTGCGCGAGTTGGGGATCGCATTGCGCTACTTCGAGGTGGAAGGACACCGTATGTGTTGCGGAAGGCGGGGGATAAATGGAAAATTATCGGGGACTGCTATGTTCATGGCGTCATGTCTGGCGAGGCATGGAGTGATGAAAAGTGTGTTGATATTGAGATTATTTGATCAAAGGGTAAAGACTCGGAGAGGAAGCCTTTATGTGGTACCATGAGTGGACAAGGAGGGCAAAATGAAGTGCTGGAGGCTGCATACAATGATGATGTTGTCTGATGGATGCCGTGCTAGCGATGGGAGACGGTTAGAGGGCGGTTGATGAATCATGAGACAGAAGAAATCTCCAACCGGGCAGCAGCCTTGTCGCTGTGTTCTAGGTTCTCTCGGCCGGATTAAGCTCTCAGCCACAGGTCTCAGCGGCAAATAACACTTCTGTTGCTGTGTTCTCCTCCATATCTCGAGTTGATCGCTAGGTAACTAGGCAACCTAGAGAGATACACACAATGGAATAGGAGTTGGTAGATGGATATATAAGACTGATTTAGACAGTGAACCTTTCGGAATGCAATGTGCTTCGTATCCTAGACAAGGCAGAGTTTACTTTGTGAGCCCATCTGGCCTTGAGAAGTTGAGAAACCTTCAAGCGGACGTATCTCAACGTTGCCATTCACTGTCATCTGAGACCCCAGGCGTAACCTGATTGAGACGCTGAGTCACACGCCACGAGACCATGCAGTGAGCATTTATGCGTGATGAAGTCAGGGACAATATGAACAAGAAACCAGCCAGAAATATACACATGAGTCAGTCTGCTGTCGTGAAACGTGGCCATCAGAGCCGAGTATCCATGCAGCGATGCCATGATTCTCTGTCCCAAGATATAAATCGCCGGACTTCGCCATGAACTCATTGTGTTTGTAATGACATTGACATACCCCGGACTGACTTCAAAATGCTCGATCTCTGGATCTTCCTTCTCGCCGTTCTTGTCTGGCGTCTCCACGTCTCGTACAGCCACTTCTCCAAAGTTCCACATGGTATACCGTGGTCACCACGCGGACGATTTACTCCGTATCTCGTTACACAAATCGCTGGGATCTGGAACATTCCGAGCGTCATGGAAAAGGCTTATCAAGATGTGTGCTAGACAAAAAATCGTTTACTCCTCATACTAACGTTTGTAGTAAAACAAAAAAGGTTCCGTTTGCGTGATTGCTCTACCGTTTAGTCGTCCAGAGGTTCTGTTGCCCCAGAGTCTCATTCGGTGGATGACTACACAGAGTGACAAGATGCTTAGTCCGATTCCTGTGCAACATGAGGTCGTTGGTGCCGAGTACGCCTTTCTGAACTCGTCGGTTCAGAAGGACTCTGCGGTCTACGATAGTCTTCGTGTGCAGCTAAGTCGACACCTTCCAAGAATGATCCCCAGAATTAGAGACGAATTGGCTGCATCGATAGACAGTACGTTTGGATTGGATACAGAGTGGAGTGAAGTTTGCATCTACACTCTTGTACGGGGAGTGACTGTAAGGATCACCGTTTGGTTGGTGCTTGGCGGCATACTCAGTAAGCAAGCATCCATACTGCAAAGGTTCGCAACTCACAATCACTATGCACCGATGACGAGCTCGTTGAGAACCTGTCCAAGTTCTCGACCAGTGTCATACCCAGTGCAATCGCTCTATCGTTGTTTCCCCCACTCCTCAAACCCTTCACTTCCCGACTCACATCGATCTTCAACCACATCTACATGAGAAGAGCCCTGAAGATCCTCAGTCCACACATAGAGAGGAGAATCATCGCCGTCGAAAACGGACTTTTAAAGGACCTCCCACAAGACGATGTGCTTAATTGGCATATCCACGAAGCACTACGCAAAAAAGAACCTCGCTTTGAGATGGCCGACGTCATTGCTTGTCGCGTATTTGCCACAGTGTTTGCAGCACTGGAATCAACAACACTGACGATGACATATGCTCTCTTCAACGTTTGCGCAAGCAATCCTTCCACGCAGGTTTGGCAAGCTTTGGAGGAGGAAGCGCTTGCTGTTTTCCCCACAAACCTGGATGAAACAAGTTTGAATGTCCTGTATGTTGCGGACAGCGTTATCAAGGAAACACTTCGGCTTAATACTGCGATCAAAGCACTTTCAGTGGAGGTCATGCACGAAGATGGTCCGAAGATCAAGGATCGTATGATCCATCTCCCTCAAGGCGCCCGCGTGAGTATCTCTGCTTGGGGAATCCATCATGACCAGGACATTTATCCTAATGCATACGCATTCGACCCATTTCGATTCGTACCGTTACACAACGGTGAGGGCATTCAGGACACGAATTCTCTCGTAACACCTTCAGAAATTTACGTTCCGTTTGGGCTTGGGAAGCATTCTTGTCCCGGGCGACAGTTTGCGGCTGTTGTTACGAAGGTGTTTGTTGCATATTTGGCGGTGAATTATGATTTAGAGGAAGTCCATGAGAAGCCTCGTTTCCTAAGTTTGGGACATCTCCCTGTACCTCCTGTGAGGGCAAAGCTGAGAGTCCGAAGGAAACCAAGTGAGTAGAACTTCGAGCTCACAATCGAGTTTGGCACTTCCCTGCATTGTGAATGTTTCTCGCTTGCTTGCGTTTTCTCATCGGCGATTGTGGATGTGATGCTAGTGACAGCAAGAGAACTTATAATTAAGATCCTGAGAGGCAAAACGACTTGGGTAAACTTGATCTATGATAGGATATCTTGAGGCTATCCGAGTTTGACGCCCTAAGCTTTGGTGCTTCTTGGGGGATGAGGGCAATGCTTCCCGTGGAAGCTTGATCCCTAGAAGCGACAAATTGTAGGCAATCTCTGCTCGAACCAAGTCCACTTGTGGAGAGGCTTGCCTGCAGCTTTTTCTTTGCGCTATTAACAATAAAGCAATTCGGAGAATTGTTTGTTGTGGCAAGGCCCATGCAGTTTGAGTGATGAGTGAGCCTCCTGCTGGCACATCGCTTGTCGATCCTCCTGATAGGCTGACTCAACACAAAGGCAAACGCGGTCAATCATGTAAGTGAGCGATGGACCAGACTTGAAATATCTTACAAGATTTTGTTTCTTTCCTTTCTCTCTCTTTTCCTTCTACATCCCTCGACATACTTGCACTAGTAACTGTTACACCACTCAACTACATCTCTGCGTACCGCAGCATCTTTACAAAATGTCATTTTACAAGGGGAAATACCGTGTCTCCAGTAGGGACGTCAAACAAGGTCAGTCGCTATTCCTCTCCATCGGGCCGTACGCTAACTCTGCATCTTAGTTCTAGGAAAGCCAACGGTCATCGGCATCTACGGCCTTCCTGGCTCCGGAAAGTCTGACGTTCTCAAATACTTGCGCCAGGAACTCGGCGAGGAAGACTTCGCGTTCTTCAAAGGCTCTGAAATTATTGCGTCCCTCGTCCCTGGAGGTCTTGACGAGTTTCAGACACTCACTGAGGACGAGAAATATGAATGGCTTATCAAAGCCATCAACCACGTTAAGGACGAGGCCATAACCAGCCGTCGAGTAGCTGTGGTGACTGTGTATTTTAGTTTCTGGTCCAAGGAGAGCGATATGCCTCAAGCGGTCCTCAGAGAGGGTGACTTGGGGACGTTCACGCATATCATCTATCTGAGACCTGAGGTGCAAACCGTTATGTCAAATATCGAGAGCGACAAGAAGGACCGATCCTACATGTCCCATTTGACGGTGGAGAACTTGGATGATTGGCACCGCCGTGAAATCTCGGCGATGCAAGACAACTGTGGGGATAATATTCCTTTTGCTATCATTCACTCGCCCCTGGCCCGGAGCGTCCTAAACCTTGTTCGGAAGTTTAAAAAGCCGCCTACTGCTGAAGAAAACATCTCCGAGGTGACGAAGCGACTTGACGAGATCGTCGCTCTTCACGACACTAAAGAGCTCCAGACATTCCTCGTCTTTGACGCTGACAAGACACTGTCGGCTGAAGATGGCAGCCTTCTCCTTTGGGATGAGGTGCAGGGGGACAACTTCGGAGGCGGTGGCAATCTCCTAAGATATCTCTACGGTGGTGCAATGGGGTACTCGGATGATGCATTCCGCGAGACTACCGTGATGCTGGAAGACAAGTGTAATGATGAGGAATTCGAAGGTCATTGCAACACGGTCTCAGCACGCGTCTCTCTGCGCCCTGAGTTCTTCTCTCTCTTGCGCGTCGTCGCAGAGATGAAACACATCGGCGCTGTTGTTGTGACTTGTGGAGTTGGACGTGTTTGGACCAAGGTTTTGGAGCACCATGGCCTTGCAGACAGTGTGAAGGTGATTGGCGGTGGGAGGTTCTCGGACGGATATACCGTCACTCCTGGAGTTAAAGCCGCTGTTGTGTCGCACCTCAGAGATGCTCATGAGCTCTACGTATGGGCCTTTGGTGATAGTCCTTTGGATATCACCATGCTTTGGGAAGCGGACCAAGCTTCTGTTGTTGTTGGTGACGAGAAGATCAGAAGCACAACTATGGATGAAAAGTTGGATAAGGTTATCCGGGATGATCACCTGCGAGCCCGACAGATTCTTTTGCCTAGTACAGCATCGCCTAGACTTGACACCAGCACTCTCCCCGTTGTCCGCATGGACGAAGACTTCATCAACTCGATCATCGATCGCCGCCCGGACCGCCAGGCGCTCAAGATCTTCGCCGCCACCGACAAAGCTGCCGCCAAACTTCTCATGTCGCCCATGCGCGACGCCGCAGTATTTGGTCCAGTGCTACGACAAGCACACGCTAATGTCGGGCGATATCTCGCCACCGAGTATGTATCCGAGCTCATTGGTCTTGAGGACTACGCCATCCCACACGTGCAGGGCCACAAGACAACCGGGTACTATCTGCGCAACGAAGCTACTACTTCGATCATCGCTTTGATGCGCGGTGGTGAACCGATGGCATTCGGCGTCAGCGAAGTTTTCCCACAAGCCATGTTCATTCATGCGTCTACCGCTGGAGACGTGAAGATGCATCATGTTCAGGGACAGACGAACGTGATTTTGGTGGATTCCGTGGTCAACAGCGGCAAGAGCGTGATAGAGTTCATCAAACGCGTTGTGCGTCTTGAGCCCAACATCAGCATTACAGTCGTGGCAGGTGTAGTTCCGGCTGAGGCCATCGCCGAAGATCATCTATTCGCCAAGGTGATGAGACGACACGGCGCTGGATTGGTTGCGCTTCGAGTTTCGGAGAACAAATTCACGGGAACCAAGACGACCAACACTGGGGATCGGCTCTTCAACACGACTCATTTGGCTTAGGCTTCTACAGCGCCATGACGCCGTGGTTATCCCAGATGGCGTTAGAAATAGGCAGTAGTAGTTGATGATGTCATATGAAATTGAAGAATATTTGGCATTATCTAATTGAAAGGCAATTGATAGGCGATGCAGTTCTTCCACTTCCATGACCCATCGCCAGCTTCTACCCAAAAGACTTAACCCTCATTGTTACAGTTCGTGCAGTAATCCATAACAACCTTACAAGAGTTCGACAACTCAATGTGTCCACACATCCAAATGTTGTCATTCTTCTTGGCGTTCTCACGTCTGCATCCAAAGTTAGTAAACAATTCAACTTCAACCAGCTAGGGAAAAGGAACTTACGCTTCCTTGATGAGTTTACCGCTCATTCCAATACCATAGTCGTCACAGCTAAACTTGGCAATACAAGCAGCCTGTCCCATAGACATGACCATAAGAAGACCCTTCTTGGAGCGGCTGTAGCGCGTAGTGTACCCAGTGTAGATAGTATCATCTTGGAATTCACCAATGGCGCGGTCACATGCGTCGCCGAGACCAGACTTGGAGAGTCCATCGCTCGTGCCACACTGCCCGGAACCATCGTTGTCGACGTGGGTCTGCGTAGGGACCGGTGTAGCGATGGTCTTCACCTCACCAATGCCGTTAGAGAAGGTAGCAGTGACATCCTTGTACACCTGTCCATATGCAAGAGTGTAAGCAGTCCAGGCGAGGACAGTTCCATCAATGGTCTTGGTGAGGGGTTCGTTGATGGGTGCTTGTGTGGGAGGGGGAGCTTCGGTCGCGGGATCGACCTTGGAGGGATATTCGGTGTACGCTTCGCATTTGTTGTCGATGAGTGTAGCTGTCGCGATGTATTGCTTGCCCGAGACGGTGGTGGAGCATTGGCAGTAGGCTGATGTGACGCGGGGACCGCCGTAGATACCGCAGGGGTAGTATGTGCGCACTGGGGCGGTGGTGAGTTCCTCAGTTGAGCCGGAAGTGATAGTGTTGGTGGTTTGGTCGGCTGGACGGGTTGTTGTGAGTAGGGTGCTAGGCCTTGTGGTAGCGGGTACTGAAGTGTCAGTCTCATCAGCCTTGGAGGTCTCTTCAGTCTTGACGGTTTGATCAGCGGTGCTGGTCTCATCGGCAGGCTTGGTAGAGGTCTCTTGGACAGAAGTCTCAGCCGCGGTAGTCGACTCAGGAGCTTGGTTGGAGGTAGTCCCATCAGCGGCTTCAGTCGATGTGGGCACGTCAGAAGTGCCAGTCTCGGCCGGGCCAGCAGAGGTGTCACTGCCAGTAGCGCCATCACCACTCGTGGGAGGCAGAGCGATCGAAGTCTTGGGCTGGGTATCTGAAGCAGCAGGAATACTGGTAGTCTCCCTCATCTTGCAAGATCCGGTAGTCTCAGTCGTCTCGGCAGAAGTAGTAGTCTCAGCCTCAGTGGAGGTAGGCTTCTCGGTGGTACTGGCCTCCGTCTTGCTCTCCTCCGTCTTGGACTCTTCTTCTTCAGTCTTAGACTCGTCATCATCGTCATCATCCTCTTCTTCACTCTGATCCTTCAGATCATTGCTGTTATTGGTAAGAGTGCTCACGATGGGAGTGACACCCTCGACAATGCCACCAGTGATCTTGCCAGTAACATCCTCAAGGTTGGAGACGACACAGGATAGAGTGTTGATAACGTTGGAGACAATGTCGAGAAGTCCGCGCCGTCGCTTACCGGGACAACCGCCAGACTTATTACCACCAAGATCCTTGATAGCGCCCTTGACACCATCGATCAGGCTGTTAACCTTGTTTAACGTGTCAGTCTTGAGGCCATCAGGGTTGTTTGTCCAAGCGACGATGATAGGGATGATGTCGTCGACTTTGGAGTTATACTCTGAGGCAGTGACCTGAGCCTGAGAAGCAGCAGCAGTGGCTTCTTGGGGAGGAGCAGTGACGGGTGCTGAAGGGGCATCGCTTGGCTTGTCGCTTGGTTCAGAAGCCTTCTCAGTTGTGCTGGGGATGTTGTTGACGGGGGCGGTAGTGCTAGGCGCATCGACATTGTCGGTTGTGGTTTCGGGAGGGGGAACCTCAGCGCTGGTCTCTGTGTTGGGAGGGGGGATGGCATCGGAGGTAGTGGTATCTGCAGGCGCTGGTGGTTGGGTAGTGGTCGTCTCAGGACCTGGGGCAGGAAGATCAGTGGTAGTATCGACAGGCTCGATCGCATTGCTTGTAGTTTCAGTGCCAACCGGAACAGCAGTGTTTGTGGTGGTGTCGACAACCGGAGGAGGGATATCGCTCGTAGTCTGTGTTCCAGCAGGAGGAAGATCAGTGTTGGTGGTCGTACCAACTGGCTCAACAGCTTCGTTGGTGGTAGCTGTCTCAGTACCAGCAGGAGGGGGAACCTCGGTACTAGCACCAGGAGTGCCAACGACGTTGGTTTCTGTACCGGCGGGAGGAATCCAGTTTGACGTAGTCTGGTCATCCGTCGTGGTAGGGATAGGGTTCACGACAGGAGCGTCAGTGCTGCTCAACACATCCACGATCGCTGATGTCTCAGTACCAACAGGCGCAATTTCAGCGCTGGTGGTGCCATCAACAGCCTGGCCAATAGTGGTAGGAGGTTCAACTACTGGAGCAGCATTGGTAGTTGTGTCAACTACAATAGCGTCATTGTTGGATGAAGTCTCAGTGTTGATGACAACGATATCTGAGCTTGTAGTAGGGAGAACGTCAATGGGCGCGACGGCGCTGGTGGTGGTAGAAATGAAGGTATCAGTGGTAGTGGTATCAGTGTTGACGTCTCTCTCATTAAGCTGATAGATTCTAGTATAATTAGTCCATAGTACTAAGCTCTAGCGACAGTATACTCACTGGTAAGGAACGGCAGAAGCAATCTTGGCTCCGAAAGACAAAAGAAGGAAACCAATGCCAATTGGCATGGGAGAGTCTGTAGGGCGCAACATAATGAATGAAGAAGCTAACCCAACCAAGGTTTGCGATACTAAAACAACTGACAAAAGAGTGTCTGTAGGAAACAAAAGACTTTAAGTAAAGCCAAGTACAATAAAGGACTTATTTACAGACATTTACATACAAGCCTCAGCATCAACAGGATGACTTGACATGGATTGTAAGCCATCCCCATAATTCTAAATTACAGGGCCGATCCTTCAGAAGAAACTTCCGAAGGATCTCAGCAAGACACGCTGCTTACACTAGCGCATCGAAATTTGACTCCAGATGCAGAAATAGACTGCGCGGCATCGCATCTGCCGAGAGTGTTACGACGCAGCGTGAGATGGTATAATTTAAGAACTCCTTAATCTCCATCCTTCGGAATCCTTAACTACAGGGCTGTGAGGCTCCATCCCGTGCGCTTATCGGGGGCTGTTAGTGGGTGGCCCCAGTGGTGTTCTAGGGCTGAGCTGACTCCACTGTTTGAACAAGCAAGGGAGTTGTGGAATGGCTTGCTCCCATTGGTATGATCGGGCTGTAAATAAGGCTATCACCTTGTAATTTTTTATTCTGTAGGGATTTATTTATCTCAAGCGTTGGATTCGAGCAATATGTCATCGTTGCATTAGGATTCAGTGCATGTAATCATCAAGGCAGATTGACGATCCCAATACCGCCCCCATTCTGCCCAATGCCATTATCTATGATTCACCATCTCAACCCTCAAGGCCCTCTGCGGGACGTGCAAAAGCTCAGCCCCCAATCTCAACACGTTTCAACTAAAATCTCATCCAGACCCCAACTTTGATCCTCCAGACACGGCAAACACGGGAAGATCTAACTTAGAGCCCCGTCTCACCACTCAAGCCTCCCGCAGAATGTCTCAGTAACCCGCCTGAATCTTCGGCTCACGAGTCATCAACACGCTATAACTCCACCCACATACCGTCAGCTCAGCCCTGTTTCATCGGTAGTGGAACATGTCAGCACAGGGATCTCCATAATCGCTCCTGTTTCAAGTACAATAGAATTTAGATGAACTAATTAAACAGATTACGCCAAGGATTCAGCATGCATCCTCCGAAAAACACGGCATGTTTTTATCTTGTAAGTCACTACCAAAGTTCTGAAATGTCCGTTAAATAAATGCACCCACCCAACATTTTATACAGCCCTAGTAGCACGTCGTCGGTATTCCTCCTACACTCTTTTGGATAGTCATTCTCTTCAGCGACAATGCTTTTCTCAAGTCGCTTCACTTTTGCCCTCGGGGCTTTACTCTCTTTTATCACCAGCGCCAGCGCTGTTTCTGGCGAAGGCAGCTTCCCTGATTTCATCTCAAACTGGGCCCTCTTCCGAAGATGGGAGGACATCACTGGTTCCATCCCCGTCTTTGACGTTCCCAGCATGGATGACCTGATTGTCGGCGACTGGGTCAACTCTGAGAAGAAGTTGACCTGGGAGTGCTACACGCTCACCAAGGACAGCCTCGTCGCCAATAGCTTGACTGTCATCATCGACAAAGCTACCCTGACTTGGACCGATTCTGAGAACCAGCCGCAGCAGCAGACTGTTGTTAGTAAGCGCAGTGGTATCAAGTCTGGCGATGGCAACGCCATTATGTACGGCGCTCGTCTTCAGAAGGCCCTTGACCATCCTAACATTCTTCCCATCAACCATATTGTTTACGGCAAGGGTGGTGTGAAGGACTATGGTTTCGCCATCATGCCTTACGTTCAGGAGGGCTCTGTGGCTGATAACCTCGCTAGCCTGACTGATGTGAACGGTGCTTTCAAACAGATGCTCGCTGCTGTTGCTGCTGTCTCCGCCGCGGGCATTATTCACCGTGATCTCAAGCCCGAGAACTTTCTTAAGGATGGAGATACCATTAAGCTCATGGACTTTGACCAGTCACGAGACATTGGTACTACTGTTCAAATGGATGTCGGCACCCCTTCATACACCGCACCAGGTAGGACATCCAGTTCCAAGACTTCGACCCCAAACTGACATTTCTCTAGAAATTATCATTGGCAGAGACTACACCACAAAGGCTGATACTTTTTCTCTGGCCATGAGCTTCCTCGTCATGTCTGTTCCTGACCTGCGAAACTCTGATGACCGATTCCAGCTGTGGAAGGATCTCATTGAGCCTCCCAACACAAGCTACGAGCGTGTCACGGCTGATAAGACTGAGGAGATCCTCCGGGGGAGAAACTATGGTGTTTTCAACGGCAACGATGGTCTGCTAAAGGTCATTGCCAAGGCTATGTGCAGTGAGAGTGAAGGGCGCTACACTCCTGCTGAGTTTGAGACTGCTTTTAACGGAGCTACATAATTTCCAGATTCGCCAGGAGAAGGGTGAGGTTATGAATATTTTGGGTCAAGCTAGTTGAGACATTTAGACTTTCTATGCATCCTCACATTGGTGATCATTCCATAATCACAATTCGCCGTCTCTTTTTCTTTTCTTCACGTTCAGTGCACACATACGACCCTGCATCTGTGAGATAAAATCCTCGTGATCGAGGCTATCTCGCTACTTTACAATCCAACCAGAATGGTAACCAGTTTTTATTCACAATCAAGGATAATAGCACTACAATGAAGATGTCTATGTAGGCGACTACATTTCCTCACTCCTTGCTAGCCGTTAACGAGTCAGCCGCTTCCTTCAGGCGTCCAACAGTAACATCCTTCTGCGACTGCACTTCAAGCTGCAAATCATTAGCCAAGGTCATCACAACAGACCCAAGACCTACCGTAGCCACATTCTTGATGTCCGCTTTCTCAGCATACCAAGTCAAATCCCTCCTCACACGGTGCTGAACACGTGCGTTCTTCGTTGATGCTGTAGCAGGGAAACGTGTCCAGATCAAGATGACAGCAGAGCCAGGATGGCGATAAAACGCAAACTTCTTTATTCCGGGAGCGTCAAAGTATGCAGCAAGATCTTCGGGTGCTACATTCTTGATGTGATCCTCGAACTCGATGGTGTCCTCTTCGTGATCGACTACCTGAATTTTGGTAAGTTTGGCTCTGAGGATGCAAGATGGTCTTACAATCTTCAACAGGTCATTATCCTGGAGTTGGGGTAAAACTGCTGTGCTGCGGGCATCGAGGAGATAATCTGGCTCTGTTCTGGGTTGGTCTGTCGTCCCAGGTAGATTGATGGTTTGGCACTCTTTTGATCCGGATGACATATTGAAGTCTGTTATTTTTGTCTTGTGTCTTGATCTGAGATGGTGCTGTTGAAGTTGTAAGAAAGTACGCTGACGTCTAGAGTTCCGGGTGCCTGAATGCATGCTAGACCAGGTACTGAAACAGCGATTAGTCATAGGGGATAGCCACTAAAATCAGCGACAGGCTAAGTGAGTCCTACAGCGCACGCGCCATCACATATAGGACTTGATCACGCATTATAGCGTCGAGAAGACGCAGCCCATCTTATAGGTCTATCTCCAACCGTAACATAAACTCTAACATGGTGACCTTATCTTTATCGTCTTACTCAAAGCTTCATCCCCTATCTATTTAATCGCTCGACATGTTATGTAGATATTCTGACCAATATTCGGCCTACCTACCCTATAATTAACTGTTTACTCTTTCGGATTATTATTTCATTCACCGAATTGGGTCAGAATCCTCTTTGGGGTTTTTCTGAATCTCTCACTGACTGGCGACTAGTTAATTCAAACTTGTTTTTATGCTTAAATTAGTTTGACTTCAATCGCCTGTTTTAGTCTGGCTCAGTTCAGACAGAGGGGATGAAAATGACGCACAGGGACCTCAATAATTCTCTACTCTTGGAACAATCGAACAAAATTAGACATTTGATCCCTTCTTGCTTAAATAGTGCGTTGCGTATCATATTCTCCTGAGAATCTTATTCTAGTTCATATATACATCATGAAGTCATACAAATTCGCTCATCATCTAAGAAGCATACTCAAAAATGTCCTTGATCTCCTCAATGGACAGCTTCTTCTCCAGAGCAAGTTGGAGCTGGATTCTAGACTTGGAAGGATTCAAGTATCCAGCTCCAATACCGAAAGGTCGCTCATCCACGTATCCCCAGGCAGTGCGTCGGCTGACGACGACAGGAATCTCAGTCTCGTTGAGAACCTTCTTGATCTCCTCAACAGCCTTGTCGGGCCAACCTCCAGCGCCAAGACCAGCGAGAACAATACCCTCAGCACCGTTCTCAATAGCTTCTTGGAAAAGCTTAGGGTCAGTCTCTTGATGACCATACAGGACGTCAACTTGAGGAAGAGCAGTCTTTGTTGAGCTGGTGCTGATATTGAAGTAGTGATGACCGAGAGGTCGAGTAGCGGGGTACCAGAAGATAGGCTCGACGTTCTCGAAGGAGCCGAGATAGCCTTGATCCTCGGCCTTGAATGTGTCGAGGGAATTGGCGTTTGTCTTGATGGTGTATCGTGCAGAAGCAATCTTATCGTTGAGAACGATCATGGCTCCTCGACCCATAGCGCTCTTGCTGCTAGCCAGTCTGACGGCAGAGAGGAGGTTGAGAGGGCCATCAGCGGAGAGAGCAGTAGCAGGGCGCATAGAGCCCACCAAAACAACAGGCTTCTCACTCTTGACGGTAAGATCCAAGAAGAAAGATGATTCCTCAAGGGTATCAGTGCCATGAGTCACAACAACACCCTGCATATGATCACTATCAAGATCATCCTGAATGCGATGCGCCAAAGTGGTCAGAATAGTAGAGTTGATGTCTCCACTATCAACATTGGCGATCTGCACGCCCCGAACATTGGAGACGTTGCATAATTGGGGAACAGCGTCGATCAAAGTCTTGATGCCCAAAGCACCAGCCTTGTAGCCCGTAGTCTGATCAGAAGACCCAGCTGAACCGGCGATTGTGCCGCCGGTGGCGTAGATGGTGATGTTGGGAAGACTGGCGTTGTAGCACTCAAAGTCGCTGACTGCGCGGGTGAGGAGCTGGGGTATCTCGGGGAGAGGCGAAGCGAGGGCCGAGCCTACAAGGGTTGTGAGAGCGAGCAGGGATTGAAGAGAGGGCGACATGTTGGGCGGTCAGGACAAGACTATCAACGATATAAGACAACTGCCTAGAGAACAGAGAAAGAAGAACATGACGGCGGGGAATTTGGGCATCTTTTATAGTCGTGATATCTTGGTAGCTTGGTGTCTTGGTATGTCCAACGTGGGTATCTTAACCTGACCGAGGATATGCGTGTAACCCACCGTGTTACCTTATCATTAGTTAACAGGTCCCGTCGGATCGGCTCTCTAGTTCGAGGATAGTAAGATAGCCAAGAGCAAGTAAGGTGAGGGTAGAAGGTTCTCGCCGTGCGCCCTAATTACGTACGACGATAGGTGATCGGCCAAGGATTACGGGTTTCTTTTCTGCCAAGCTTCTAGTCTGGGTTATTATCGTTCGGCCTCTAATGCTGACATGCCGATGCAGACGCGGGGAAGACAGCCACTGCCAGCAATTGGCTTGATCGTGGTAATTATTTCTACATCTAGGATAGATAGAGTCTGTCTCATCTACCAATAGATCGGTTCAAAGATGTAGATATTAATTAAGTTGACATGCTTTGCCAAGTGATAGACGACATGTAACGGCCCATTTAGGCATAGCCTGTAAGCGGGGTGTAGCAGTTCCTAATAACGAACCAGCCTCTCCAATCCCCACGAACTCAAAATCCACTTTCTCTCTTTTCTCCGTTGGTTCTTGACTCAGTCACTCTCTTGTCCCCTTGAACACTTGAGTTACATGCCTACCTATCGCTTGCGGGAATTTTTCGTTTTATTTTTCTTATCTTTCCGTTACCTCATCCCAAGGAAACTTACTCCCGTTGCGGTAAACCCTCGACCCACGCACGTGCGCGATTATCGCATCCTTTATCTCTCCCACTGTACGGAGTACACTCACTGCCTTACCTAGATAGACACAGCACGCACAGTAGAGACGTGTCTTATCTGAGGCTAACCTAACCTATGCCTGACGATGATGTCCCCCCCGCCAAGCGGACGCAGGTACCTAGAGCCTGTCAGCGCTGCAAGACGCTCCGCCGAGGCTGTAACGAGTATCGGCCCTGCAGGCGATGTGTGGATGCAGGTCTAGGAGATCGCTGCATTGGACAGTCCGGCGCTCCGAGCATTCTCCAGCCCATCCACGGCCATTACTCGGTACCCTCAAATGCACCTGTCGCCGCGCTGCATCGTCTCATTGAGCTTGTACCGGCTCAGGTGCTCGATCATTGCGTCGAGCGCTTCTTTGCTCGGCTCTACCCTACTATTCCCATCCTGACTCGCGATTATGTCGTGCTCCTGCGATCGGCGTCATCGTCGGCGACGCCTGAATGGAGACTTGAGGCTTACTCTGTGCTTGTCGCCATGTGCGCGCAGGTACTCCTCCAGACTGAAGAGCCGGAGAATTTACTGTCGCAAGGCATCATCGCTGAGAATAATGCGACATATGGTTCAATGATCGTGGACCAAGTCGTCACCGTCCACCAATCCACCCCCCGCACAATGAAACCAACCCTCAACCAATGCCTCCTCGCATTCTTCCTCTACGCCTGCCAAGCGCGTCTCTCGCACCACAGCCAGACATTTCTCTTCCTGCGCGAAGCAACAACCCTATTCTGTCTTTTGCGCATCGAGGACATGGACCATTCCGCAAAGGCGTTAGCACACCGACTATTCTGGGTCCTGGTCGTATCAGAGCGATCTCACGCCATCCGATATCGCCGCCCCATCACATTACAAATAACCGACGAGGCCCCAGAAATCGACCTCAACGATCCTTCGCTTTCTGGCTTCTGGAGTCTTTCGGCTCTTTTCAGACCCATTGATACGTCGTTTGTTGCGCTGCTGAATCAGGAGCGTTTTGCCATCTCACCGCCTCTTTCGTCGCTGGATTTCGTGGAGACGGCTGTTAATACGGCTATCAAGCCTGACTTGCAGCTTCATGAGACGCAGAAAGCAAATTTGAGGATAACGCAGCTATGGTTGCGGATGATTGTGTGGAAATTGCGCCTTCGATTAGGTCATCTCAGCGAAAATGCACATCAGCATAGTCTCACTTATCAATACCCTCTAGTCGTTGCCAAAGATCTCACGCTCTCAACACGAGATCTTTCCATCGATAGTATAAAGATTCATGGCATCGGAGTAACAGAGAAGCTTTACGACATTGTCTCGGCGGTTGTTGACGTCCTGGCTCGTGTGCCAGTCACGCCTTCAAGTCCTCAAGGCCTGGCGATGGGCACGTCACCTGAAGACGATTTACTATATATCCGGAACCTCATAACTAAACTGCCGGGAGGTGCATCCACTTATGAGCCGCTTCTAGAAAAGCACATACAACAGGCACTGCCGAGTCCCGGGCCTAGCGTGGCCCACAGTAGTCCACCAATATCGAGAGTAAATTCATAATAAACAATCTGTACATCAAGCTATTCAATACTATATACCCACATTACTATCATACAACTCGTTTCTTTTGATCCTATCAATACCGACACATGATTCCAGTGCCTACTGCAACTCCTTCTCGTTCAACTTCTTGTCGGAAGAAACGGAGTGCGAGTAAGGATCGATATGCGTCTTGGCAAACTTTCTCGCGGGGACCTTCTTCTCAAAGAGAACATCCAACTCAGCATAAGTACGATCCTTAGGTTCGGGAAGTCTGAAGAACACCCAGATAGCAGAGAGGAGACAGGTCCCAGCCCAGAAGTAGGCGGTGCGAGCTCCCCAGTTCCACGCCGATGATGATAGCTGATAGTTGGTCATGACGTTTACAAAGATGTTGCTAGCATTGTAAGCAGCTCGAGCCATGACGATGGTCTTGGCCTTGAGTCGGGTCGATGAGAGCTCGGAGATGAGAGAGTATGTGACGGGGCCAACGGTGAAGTCGTAGACAAATGTGAAGAGAATGAGCATGCCGCCAATAGCCCAGACTGAGGAGTTGTCTTTGGAGAAGGAGAGGGAGCCGACGATGATGAGGATGAGAAGTTGAGAGCATAAACCTGAGAAGTGAATCGTGCGTCGACCAACCCTGGACATCAAGAACCAAGAACCCATGGTACCAACCATTCCAAGAGCATATTGACCCATGGACAGAGAGAAGGAGTTGCTGGCATCCATGCCGGCTTGTGTGAGGAAGTAGGAGAAGTAACCCATAAGGTTCTGTCCACCAAGGGTCTGCACAAGCCAGATACCAACAACAATCTCAGTTCGGCGAAGATCAACACCCTTGAAGCAGTCTCTGTAGGTAGTTCCCTCTTTCAAGTTCTTCTCCATCTCATTTGTATGCTCAATCATGGCAATCGTCTCGTCGGCGTTAAAGTTGGGTTGCTGGGGCGAAGTGAGTCTCAGAAGCGACTTCTTGGCTGCAGCTCGGTTGCCCTTCCTAACATACCACCAAGGTGATCTATCACAACATTAGCTCAACACTCCTCGCCCTGATGATGTGACACAACTTACTCTGGAGCAAAAATAACACCTGCCAGGATAGGCACGGGCCAAACCCACTGCACACCAAAAGGGATGCGATAAGCCCACTCATCTCCGCGCCCAACGGAACCTTTGTTCACAGCAGCTGCAAAGAACTGGCCAATTACCCAGCACATGTTGATGAACGTCGTGAGGTAAGGTCGCAGAACAACCGGTGCTACTTCGGATGCATATGCAGGAGTAACGCTTTGGAACGCGCCCCATGGGATACCTTGCATCGTTACATTAGCGAATGGCACAGGTAGTGGCATGATATGATAACTTACCGCAGAGGACTTCGCCGAGCACGAGGATCTTGACGTTGGGAGCAAAGAAGAGAACAAAGACAAAGGCGATCATGAGGACGAGGGAGCCGATGGTAGTCATCTTGTAGCCGTATCTGTCAGACGTCCAACCCGCGATGATGAGACCAATGATCTCACCGGCGCGAGCACCGTTGGATAAACCAGATTGCCACGCAGGAGAAACAGCATATTTCTCCTTCTCAGCATTCCAGGAGCCAAACTTCTCGTTAAACACAGGAGAGGCGTACAAATTGCCAAGTAAAGCAAGGTCATAGCCTTCCATGATGAGCGTCGTCGACAAAAGAACAGACCAGCCGATGGCCTTGGGGTAAGTCTTGATAGCTTGCCAGAGGGTCATATGATGCTCAGCCTCGGCAGCGACTTTGGCCTCTGAAGCAAGAGCCTCAGGGCTTACGGTCTCGTCATGCTGAGCGTCGATACTCTTCTCGGGATAAGAAGCCATGGTGAAGATGGAGGATTGGGATAAAGTGAAGAGATGGGATGCTGGGGATTCGGAAAAGAGGAAGGATAGTCGGTCCTTTATGTACTTTCGCGGAGCCGATGCTCGCTACGCCTGAACCCGACAGCTCGGATGATGATTTTTCTTTTTTTCGCCCAAGCTTAACTTAGAAAAAACTCCCCAGAAACAGGTCCTGTACATCATCTGGTATGAAGCATGGGGAAACCTGGGGCACGGGGGAATTGAGTGTGTGGGGTGATTTTCAAGAAATGGGATTGGGGCACGAGTCTTTTGCACAGGAGACTCCGCGGGCTAGCGGAACTTCCACTCGTCGGAATTTGCTTCACTGCAGTAATTGGTTGTTTCGGGACTAGAGATCAATAGTGCGGAACGACTCCGATGGTGGGAGCGCTAAAGGCGGAGTCTCCGCTGGTCACACACGAGCTTGGGTTTTTAAGGTGACGTCGTAGGGTAGATTGTTGGGGTGAGAGACAGCCTCGGCTGATCATTTACGAGTTGGCGATGGATGTTGCACTCGATTGTTTGAGCGGAGAGTCCGTTATGCGGCGTTGATCACAGAAAGGATCTGATCTCCACATTCAACGGAGTGATGTCGGCCGATAAGATGGGTAAATAATAAACACCTCGTCTTCCCCTCTCAACAATAATCCTATGACCACTCGTTCCCATCTCACCATCCTCTTTTATTTTCGTCCGCCTCTCAAATCATCACAGCCAACATGGGCTCTATCATCTGGGATGATGAGCGCCAATACATAGGCAAACAGCCCTGGTGGAAAGCCGCCTCCTTCTATCAGGTCTACCCAGCCAGCTTCAAAGACTCCAACAACGATGGCTGGGGCGATTTACCCGGTCTCATCTCCAAGCTCGATTATCTAAGCGATCTTGGCATTGACGTCGTATGGGTATCCCCCATTTTCGAAAGCCCGCAGAAGGACATGGGCTATGATGTTTCAGATTATCAGAAAATCTACGAACCCTATGGCAGCGTTGAAGATGTCGATATTCTCGTCAAAGAATGCCATGCTCGTGGTCTCAAGATCATTCTCGATCTTGTTGTGAATCACACCTCGATAGAGCATGAGTGGTTCAAAGAATCGAGATCGTCAAAGGATAATCCGAAGAGGGATTGGTATATCTGGAAACCAGCGCGGTATGATGAGAACGGCGTGAGACATCCCCCTACGAATTGGAGAGGGTATTTTGCATGCTCGACGTGGACTTGGGATGAACATACCCAGGAATATTATCTTCATCTTTACGCGCCTGATCAGCCTGATTTGAATTGGGATAATGATGAGTGTCGAGAGGCGATTTACGAGAACACCATGCGCTTTTGGCTTGATCGTGGTGTTGATGGGTTCCGCATCGATACCGTCAATAAGTACTCCAAGAGGAGAGATTTCGTCGACGCGCCTATCACGGATCCTGCGTCGCCTCATCAGCCTGCACCTGAAATGTGGTGTAACGGACCGCGCATTCATGAGTTTATTCACGAGATGTACGAGAAAGTACTTGGTCCTTACAACGCTGTTTCAGTGGGTGAGCTTTCAAACACGCCTAATCCTTCACAAGTCATTCCCTATGTATCAGCCGCTGCGAAAGAGTTGGACATGGTGTTTGAGTTCTCCATGATACGACTTGGCAATGGAAACGGCTTCGGTGACAAGTATATCTACCAGCCATTCCCACTGTCTAAGCTGAAAGCGTTTGTACACAAGTGGCAGAGCTTTATTGAGGGCACAGATGCGTGGGCAACAGCCTTCTGCGAGAATCACGACAATGGTCGTGCGGTGGATCGTTTCGGTGACGCGTCAACACCAGAATGGTGGTTAAAGTCAGCCAAAACTTTGGCAATCTGGCAAACAACGCTCACGGGCACTTTATTCCTGTATCAAGGACAAGAAATTGGCATGACCAACATGCCAAGGTCATGGGGAATTGAAGAGTACAAGGATATCGAGAGCAGTAACTTTTACGCCGAAGCCGTCGCGTCGGGCGATGAGAAGCGCGTTAGAGACACGATGCACGGTCTTCAAATCATGGCGCGCGATCATTCGCGTATTCCCTTCCAATGGGATGATTCACCCAACGCGGGTTTCGCTGACGCGTCGGCGAAGCCATGGATGAGAGTCCACGATGACTACCGCGATATCAACGTCGCCAAGCAAGTCAAGGATCCCAACTCCATTCTCAGCTTCTACAAAGCCATGCTCCGCCTTCGAAAACAGTATCAAGATGTCTTCGTCTTCGGATCCTTCAAACTTCTTGACCCAGAGGATGAATCGTTGTTTAGCTATGTGAAAGAGAGTATTGTACCCGTCAAGGGACGAAATTCTGAGAAGAGAAAGGCTGTTGTTGTGCTGAACATGAGTCGTGAGGATCGACTTGGTCCGGATGTTCCTACAGTGTTGGGTTGCGCGCATGAGGATGTTAGGTTGATGGCGTATACGAGGGAATCTGCCAGTAGATTGAAGGCTGGACGGCCGATGCTTGCGGGTTGGGAGAGTCGGGTTTATGTTAACTTTGAGTTGGATTAGGCGTTATTGGGTACTTGATATAGATAATCAGGAGAACTGCAACTTAATCAGATTCATTGGTAGATCGTTCGGCCTCGTTTCTGTTCCTCAATGCTTCACTATATGAGTTTGATCCATTCAGCCTTCAACTGCCCATCTACATCAGCAGCAAGTTTCTCGAGGATTTCTCCATGCATCAAATCATAGACATAACACTCCCCGATAACCAAATACCCATCCCCATTCGGCCTCAACACAAACGGAACTTCCGCACCCAACAGTACACAGAGCTTATCCCCAATCTTCGTATCAAAAGGCCCAACTCCAAAGTCCTTCGACGCCGTCTTGAACACCCTATAAGGCTCGCGAACAGGTTCTAAGGCGCTGATATATCTGCGGGCGTTTCCACCTTCAACAATCGCATTGAGATGTTGAGCCTGCGTCATCCTGTCGCCTTCTGGCTCAATAACATCTTGCAGCGCAATAAGATCGCTGATGACCCAGTGGTCACTTCCTGAGAGTACCAGGGCAGCGAGGTCAGCAAGCTGCGCAGTCTCATCATCAACAGGATATGCTCTCCCGTCCCCGCCGCACGTTAAAGTCATGGCGCATTTTCTCCACGCTTCCTTGCTCCACCGCGGCTGACTTAGAAGTCCCTGGCGGCCTCTTCGACGGGTGAAGGACCAACTATCGCGGGACATTTGTATGGACAAGACGTCATCGATGATTATGCCCTTGAGGACCAGCTCTCCTGCTTTGTTTACGGGGTGGAGTTCTATCGTAGCATCAGATGCACATTGGAAACCTGGGTTCTGCTGGGTCGGTAGCAGTGTCCATCGGCGGTGCGCATGCCAGATTGGCACCCACGATGGCCCCGGAGGGTCACCGGGTCCAAGTGTCCCAGCTCCCGAAAGAAACGTTAAAGGTGAGTCTGCGCCGAGCATGAGCCTCGCGACATCCTCGTAAACCATCTGTGGCGTCGTTATCTCTCGATAATCTGGGACGATCTTCGTGGCTATCAAATCCGTCGTTTCAATCCCTAACAGGCCATAGATCTTATCTTTGGATTCTTTGCTCTGGAAGTGTCGCGTGGCTTGGAGTAATTGAGCGAATGAGAATTCTAGTCGCGGAAGACACTTCTGAGAAACCGACAGTCGATACATGAGATAACTGTTCATTGCTCCTGCAGGAACCACGTCTCTCCTAAAGCCACTGGGCGACAGCTCGGTTTTGTGGACAACTATAGCTGCTGCGAGTCCGACCCATTCCCATGGAATCTGGTATGAGCCGAGTTGTACAAGGGCGTGCTTAGCGAGGACAACCTCTTGCAAGACCCAAATGCGGGAGAACCAACGCCGACGGAAGAGCTGCATTATCTCAAAATCGCATCTTCCTCCACCGTCGACCCTAGCATGATGTACGATGGATTGGCCATCTTCAGAGATGCCGAGGTAAGTGGCTTCAAGAGTCTTTTGGCCAGCCTGAGCGAGCCACTCATTAACAACGGAACATACTCCCGAAAAAACATCTGAGATAGACGATAGTGATCTTTCAAGAACTGTCTTTCCACAACAGCACCGGTCTGTCTCCTCACCCAACCAGATGATAACCTGCCAGGCGCTGCTGAATATCTTTCCCATCAAAGCTACCTGCTGGCCTCTTTCTTCAACGTCTTCCTGATTGATACAGATGGCATCCGCCCATACCACTCTACTGGTATTACTTCTCCGAAGCTCTCGTAGCGCGATGTACAGGTTCCCAGAGATAACCATAGAATGACTCGTACAGTTGGCGATAATCTCAATCTTTCGGTCACTAGAAGAGTCTGGCTCACCCCAAGTATAAGATAGAGCTTCGAATGTGGCCTCGCTTTCGTTCAAGGCGCATACATGCAGCTTGCATTGAAGGATGTCGCTATCTCCTGGGAGTATCTCAAGTAGCCTGAATGCATTACCCCCAGGCAGGTGACGATAAACTCCACTGCTTGCCCGGGCTGAAAAGCCTGAATCGACGAGAGGATTGAGAGGGCGCAGCAGGACTTGTGGGATGGTAGCATACGAGAACTCAATCTTATCTGCGTTGTGTTCTTGTTCTAAGTCTGCGAACATAGGTAGATGGACATGTGTACTACTGTTAACAATAAAGACTTGAGGCCATTCCTGCAATCCCCGGGGTCGAACAAGAGGGTAGAACTTTAGATATCATCAGCCAGTAAACTTTCAAGGTAGGTAATGGAAGTATCGTCGGCATGCTTCCGCAATGGCTGATGGGATACATATCAAACTATGAAGAAGTTTATGGGGGAGGAGTTGACCTACCCCGTCCGGTGCAGAACTAGGGACGCGTCCAGAAGGGACTTTGAGACTAGAGCAATGATCTTCCGAGTGGAACATGGGGGACTCGCCCTCAGCTTTGCGTTTCGACGCCCGCATTAGAGAATGGACCGCCGAAGGTGACGATGGAAGAAATGCAGAGTGATTTGCCTCAAAGTTAAATAGCTCGTGTTCTGTGTTTTAAATGAGCTCTTGAGAAACCCCTCACTGAATGACCCAACCCACGCTGCGGCCCGACGCAGCCACTCAGCTGACCGTCTTTGTACAGGGTTTGCTCAGCCGCAACTTTGCAGGGCAGTCAAATCAGCATCAAGGATTAAAGAAGCCAACAAGCGAGGGACAATGATCAAGTTTCTGCGTCTGAGATATTTTGTAAAATTCTTTATCTAAACGCTACAGCTCGTCATGAGCTTTGTTCCCATTGAATGCGCTGACTCCATGACTTCCTTCCTGAGAGACAAAACTATCTAACTCTTCTAGCGTCAACATCTCAGTAAAGTTGCCTTTGAAAGACACAATCTCATTTGTGCCAGCACGATACAATCTGATGGAAGGATACGAGTCAATCTCAATTGGTACATCATTCGCATCGACGTTAATCGTAGCCAGAGCAGCTTTGTCGGAAAGCCCAAGCTCTGCGTACTTGGAACCAAGCTGGTTCAGCACAGCGTGTAAACTATTCAATTTGTTAGCACTGGCAAAGCGTAGATACAGAGTCAACTTACTCGATACAGTATTGACACCACGGTACGTAGAACTCAACCAAGACATCCTTAGACGTGTCAAAAACCAAGTCGTCAAAATTACTGCCCACCAACTTTGTCAAGAAAGGCTGTGAAGTCGACTCCTCGGGCACTGGCTCTGACTTGATGCTAGGTGTTAATGAGCCAGCCAGGTAAGCAGCTACATGCTTAGTGATCCTATTGGCGTTGAACACCTTTTCAGACATGGGATACGCTCTACCGTGTTGATTTGCAATGGCGAAACCACGCTTGATGTCTTTGCTGAGATGCATCTGCTCGCATCTCTTGGGGTAATCTGCCGCAAGGACCGTCACGAAGGAAAGCTGGTCCTTGTACTTCTTAGCAAGAGAAGCCAGAGACTTGACAAGCTCAGCGCGATCGTCGCGGTTGTTGAAGAATATCTGGGCCAGTGGTTTCTCCCCCTTGAAAGATCAGTCGATGTAAGCCTTGAGGGAAAGGATGCTCACCTTCATCGCTTCTTCATGAACGATGGGATCATATTCGCGAATCAGCGGCTGGGTTGCATCGTGCAAAAAGGCCTCGACACTCGTGACGGTGAAAGGCCCGCGGTAGTAAACTGGGTCCTCTTCCTCTTGAGTATAAACAGCAATGGAAGGACCCTTGCTGTCTTTCTCAAGGCCATAAACAGAACCAAAACTGTAATGCGCTCTCCATTTCTCAGCGACAGCGTCAAAGGTCTTGCGCTCAAGCTGATTGTCCGAACCAAGAAAGGCAATGACTGCCACTCGAGATGACCTCGCGAAATCGAGACGGTTCTCTTCGGTAAGATCTACAACGGGAGAACCCGATTGCCGCTCGATATATTTGACAACCCTGCAGCGACGATCAGTGATCCACAAGCAATTTCACAGAAGCTATGAAACCCACGATGACGCGTCTAAACCTTCTTTGTAAGTGACCAGCTTTTTGTTGCCGGTTGTAAACTTCAACGTGGGGACTGTGAAGACCTGAGAGTCATCGCACACGGTTGGTTCGTCGTTGCAGTTGACAGAAGCAATGGCAGTGTTTGTGAGTGCTGGCGACGCCCTGTCCAGAACTGCTTGAACTCTATCACACTCCTTGCAGCCGTCTGCTTTGAACAGAATCAACGCAGGTCTCGAAGACACCAACACGCTGAACTCCGTTTTACTGAGTTTGACGGCTTGTGCGTGTGCAGCAAGAGCAACGAGTGATAACAAAGTTGATGAACGCATGATGGCAAAACGAAAGATGAAAGAAATGGATTACTCGTTGGAGGGCAGTTGTCAGACAACTAAAAATTCATCATATCAACACTTATCAAGTATTCCAAACCCCACCACTACTCAAGTTAGTCTATTTTATTAGCCCACATCGTCATGCCTCTAGCTTATCATGAGACCCAATCTCGCATAACCATCCTTTAATTTCAGCGCCCCCCAAAGGGCTTAGTCCATCCCAACACAACTGCCGAAGTGCCCCATGCACGACGTCGGCCGAGCCGCCGTAGGGCACAGAGTAAACCATGCCAATTTCTAGAATGTTTTATCGAATGATGGATCCCTCACCAGTAGAAATAGGAAGGTGAGCTGAAGTTTAAAAAAGACACTGAGTCATGTCCATTGGAGAATAGTGTATCTATCCATTAGCTCCACTCACAGTATGAACCTTATATACGAAAAGAGATGCGGTGACTAGTAAGCGATGAAACCTGAGTCGTGGAAAAATATGAAACCTAGGCCACGAGTTTTGGTAACATGGGTCCTGAGAGAATAGTTCTAGAAGACTTGTTCCAATTGAGGATATTCGTGTGGAAATTGTGTAAACCTTCCTATCAGGGTGTTTCGTGAAGTCATGTTATCTCTTTAGCACAAACTTTGAGGACCATCTCCCTCCAGCTTCTTAGTTAGGCCAGGTACATGATCAAGAAAAGCTTAGCCTATAGTTCGAATGACGGATGACTATCATTGAGAATCTATTTGCTATCTTATACACGGAAAAATGGCGATACAGTCGCGAGAGAGGTTGATATGGTGTAGAACAGTATATATAGAACATTTAATCCCACAGATATCTCAACATCCTCATCACAGCCTCACTTCAAACATTCCAAGTCCTTCAAGTCTTCCATCATGAAGTTCACTTCCACTTCTCTTGCGCTTCTCGCAAGCATTCCCCTCGTCTTCTCTCTTCCCACTGAAGCTCAGCCACCAACTTTGAAGCTCGAGAAGCCTCAGGGTTTCGACAAGATCCAGAAAGCTGATCCCGACCACTGGCTCCAAGCCGTCAAGGAAGAAGCAGCCCGCCAAGAAGCCGCCGCTGCTTCTACCTTCAACGAGACTGAAGCTCTCGAAGCCAGAGCCAGCTGGATCTACCAAGTTCACGGCATGTACACCGACAACCTCGTCAACGTCGGTGACGTCGACACCTTCTACATGCTCTGGACGCGCATGTACGACTCCAGTGACGACAAGGGCGGTCTCTCGGATATCACCCGCGGCGCATGGAGCAAGTTCTGCAACGGCCCCAGCGCTGGTAACGGCGTCGTCACACGATTCATCCTCGATGGCCAGTGGGGAGCTGTGGGCCGTCTAAGCGGCTGGTCGATGCGCGACGCCCTGATCCACTCTATGTGGCAGACCGCCGATGGAATTGGCAAGAAGAACGGGTACACCGTTTACAACAACTGCTACGGCTTCACCTGGCAGGAGGGCAAGCCGGGTAAAACTAACTCGGCATGCGGAGGACGATCCGGCAAGGCTTGTCCGCATAACTCCGACTGCCCGTTGGAGGGAATGGAGTGCACTGGCCTCAAGTGGGGAACTTGGATGCCCAGCATTATCCGCATGAATGTCTACAACCGTGATGGATCTCTTCGTGCCGATGCGTACCAGGCCAGAATTTCTTCTCAGGCTCCTGGCTCTGGTGGTTGCTCCAAGGCCCAGACTATTTCTGCCTATGTTGCCGACTTTATCCCCATTGTTGGACCCTACTTTGCTACTGGTATCCGTATCAACTGCTTGTACCAGAGCTAAGTTTGCTCGCTGAAGGCGTATCTTGGCGTCGTTGACGAAGTGGTCAAGGGGTCACAAGGTTGGATCAAATCACTCTTGTGGTTCGGGGGCGTGCACGGGGCTGTGGTTTAGTGTGCAGTCGACCTCTGTCATTCTTTGTACATAGTTATTTTAGCTCATGAATCTATTCTCCCAGATGGTAGCTGATCTTCACTGCCTGATAGCCGTGACATAAAGTGCTTGGGAATCTTGCTGAGAAGTGATGTAGTGAATGAAGATTTGGTTCAAAGTCCCTTAATATAAAACAAGACGTTGTGAAGTGGAAGTCAGAGTTTGGAGAGAAGGATGCCACCGCGTATCAGCACTTTTTGACGAAGAAAGATATGCCTGACTATGAGTGTCTTGAAAAGAGGAAGCTAAGCTACCAAAACGCTATGTGAGAGGATCCATGACCCATGTGTGTTCGTCAATACCATTACCCCGTCAATCCTTAGTTATCCAGAGGTAGAATCTGAAACAACTCAGCACTCGGGCTAGGCAAAGGCCCCTTCATGCCCAAAGCCTTAGTCATGTTGTCCACACCGATAACCCAACCTGGGGAATCCTCCTGCCTAATAGTAAACCTGTCGGAACCTGGCGCTGCAGGCTTGATAAACCAATTCCACTGAACGGGGATTTTGAGCCCATGTCCTTTAACGACGAACCTGGCACTGTTGTAGCCACCACCTGCGGTCACGATGCCCAAGTAATCGCCTGTTTCAATCTCTTGAAGCCAGTAGGCAGAGCCGCTGAAAGAATCGAGTGACTCCCTGCCCGACGCCGGTATCAGGTACCATTTCTGCCACCCGCCACTTGCAATGGGGATGGGAGTGGAGGGAATAAGGTGCGACACCTTTCCAAGTCCCGATCCATCGCCAGTCGCAAACCAGATTGGCAATTTCATCTCCCCCTCGACTTCCATCAGACTGTTGTAAAGGTCGATGGTAGCCTTGCCGACGGATGACTCGAAAAGCTGTTGCTGCTTCTCCAGGTATCCGAGGTGACGGGCGGTAGTCTTTTCTCCTTCAGAGAAGTGAACCTTGGGGGATTTTGTCGCCATCTCTAGAAACTCAATTCCCCGACCGACCACGGCCCAGTAGCTGTAGACCTGTACTTCTAGTTAGCTTCACATACGCAGTCATAGCCTTATGAGCTGTTACTTACCAAAGCTCTGCATCGAAGGTAGAAAATTCGGAATTCTTCCGAGTTGTCAAAGGCACGCTGTGCAAGTTGCTGTAAGAATGAATTCTTTCCCTCCTCACCCAAAAAGCTGTTGATTTGTTCCAGACTCTCGGGAACCTCCTTCACAGCCTCCTTGAGACGATTATCCAATCGCTTCTGGAGATCACGCATTTTCTCCTGGCGTTTCTCAAGATCCGCGATCTCGGAGTCACGAACAACAGTCTCGAAAATGTCAATAATGCCGTTGTAGAGACTATCAATCTTTGTCAAATGACTCTTCAGGGAGTCACTTCGAAGCTGAAGAATGCTATCGGCCAATTGGCTAGCAAGGTTGTCAATGGACTTCTTGACATCGCGAATGAGGCCAATGGCTTCTTTAAGGTCCTTCTTGACATCTGCGATCTCGTTTTTGATGTTGCCTTCATCGCTGCCAAAGAACTCCTCAAAGCCCTTCTCAAAAGCCTTGGCGCCAGCTGCTCCTGCAATACCACAGGCAAACTTTACCAGAAGCTTAGTGCCGATCTTTTCCGCCAATGCTGACATGTTGTAGACTTGCTGGAGTGTCCAAGAATGATAGGTAGAAGATAGAATTGATAAGGTAGTTGAGAAAGTGATATGGGTGGAAGTTGATGAGGAATTATCTTCTTGACTGAGGGGATCTCGTTCTTTATAGAGAATTCGTGTTTTGGTTCCATTGCTAACCCGTAGATTACCTCATGCATTCGGCCGAAAACAGAAGAGGGAGCCAGTAATGTGACCTAGATGTATGGTGTTGTGGCTGGCTGGTTGATACAATGCCCCATAACTTGGCAATAAAGACAGGTCGAGGCCTATTCAGCTGTCATCCTCCATCCTTTGTATATCTCTGGGGTAGATGACACAATCCAAGTTGACCAGTCATTGATCAGTTTGAGGCGGAAGAGCCCCGCGCAGCAATTCCGATTTATTTTTAAACTGTCACGCAAGCCACTAAATATCCCCAACGGGCAGACAAGGCTAACCAGATTAACGGCCAACAGTCAATAGTCTGTCCCAACTCGGAGCAATATTCTCCACTAGCGTCAATAATTGGCCCTTGAAAGGATAAGGGTCCAAAACTATTGAATTTTCGTGCATAGCTGAAAACAAATCTGGACAACATGAATATACTTACGGAGTAGCCGGCCGGCTGAGTATTTTTCTCTAAACTCCAAAGTCCCATTAACGGCTTTGCTTCGACTTTGGCCGATGTTCACCGCTTCATAAATGTAACCTCATCCAGGGATGCTCTACACTTTGATCATTGTTATGTTTAGTAATCCTTACTCCTATATAGACAGCTTCTAGGATAAGTATACTTCTTTCTCATGACAAACCTCATCCCGAAAAGTGGAGGACCCCAAAACTCTGACCACAGCAACTGGGCGATTCCAGGTGGTTACAGGATTGACCTAGCGTCAAGAGGTGCACACTTGCATGACAGACAAACCTGATGGCCAGAATACTTCTCAACGGTTCCCTTATCAGCTTCCTGGCCAGCATGTCGCTTGGCAACTAGACCCTCTTGAACTCCAAGTAAAACGCCTTTGTAGTGAATGCCTGTCCCATCACGCGATCAAACTCCTGCTGTGCACCTTCCTGTCCAAACTTGAGCTTGAGTCTGAAAGGCCATTTCTCAATGATGGTGTTTTTGTCCTTGATCCCGACCTGAAGATACTCTGGGAACTTGTGGAACTCGAGATTGTGTGCAATCCTATAACTGTTAGACACAAAAGACGAATGTAGAGACTTGTCCAATTACTCACCTGTCATAGATATGGTCATAGGTGCGAATCAGCTCTGAAGCATACTGCCATTTGACGATCTCTACATCCCATGCGCAAGTAGGCGGGCGACGCATTGGAAGATAGTCTGAGAGGACAGCCATTGTTTCATTCTGGGCTCTCTCGTTCTGAGTCCCGGCTCGATGATCTTCTTTTGTCATGGCGTTCTCGATGGCGACCTCGAATCGTGTGATGAGGGTTGCGTGGGGATTGTCGGACAATGATCGAAGCAAAGGTGACATGACAAGGACCGTGAGATGGGGCCCTAAATGGACAGAGTCCGAGATGTTGGAAACCTGGAAGATGTAAGTTTACAACTGTATGAAATTCTTCGTGTCTTACCTCGGTGCGGTCAAACGACCCCTCTTCAAGCTGGTCAAGAAGCTTAGTAGCTTCGATGTTGAGTAGCTGAAAGCTGATGTTGGTGTTCGCAACACGCGACATGAAGGACTTGAGCACAGAACGAAGATGGGTGAAGAGTTTGCCATAGATGTCGGAAGTCGCCGGTCCATTGTCAGTTTCCTCAAGGTCTTTCGGAGACCATCCGTCGCGTGGATCCAAACCACCCGGGATTGGCCAGTGGAATGGAGGCTGGAAGAACGTTCTGAAGATGTTAGCTTCGAGCTGAGCCCTATAAAACTGCGACTTACGGGTTCGGGATGGAAAACTCGCTGCGTTGAGCTCCAAACGGCTGAAGGACTCCGTCCTCGCGATACCGTTGCTGGGGGACGCGATGAGAGGGAATCGCGCACAGATAATGACGCTCAAGGAAGTCGAAGTGGGACTCTGGCAGCGTCACAGCCTTGCGAATCTGGTTCGCTCGCTCCATGGTCAAGCCCTCGGGGATGGTCGCATAGGATAAGAGTTTATCCCAAGCGGCCTTGGTGAGGACAAGTCGAAGGGAACGCTTTCCAAAAGTCCAAGTCTTGCCTAAGACGCGATCGGCAGGCTTGCTCTTGATCTTGTCGCAGACGGTCTGGATGAGAGGACGGATGTGATCCTCAAGGATGGTGTGGTCGGACTTGCGGATAGAGCTCGAGTACCAGATATGGATGATGCAGTCGATCGCTTCATTCTCATCACCAGCCGTGAATGCGATGAGGAGAATGATAGCATTTCGCGCGACAATGGCAAAGTCGATGTCATTCATGGTGATGTCGATGGGCTGATCCCAGCCAGGAGGAAGTTGAGCAATCGTCTTGACGACATTTCGCATGTCGCCAGAGGCTGTGAAGACCAAACGTTAGTCGTGGAGCTACCAAAGCAACGCAAAAGAAAGAAAGAATCAATACCGGCAAAGAGAAGAGAAAGTTTCCCTTTGTAGGGCTCTCCTTCGTTCGCATCAAGCTTGAGAACGTCAAGGGCCGGGAGGCTGCCCCAGAGCCAACTGTCTCCCCCGAACGAGGAGCTTGTCGGAACTTCGTTATTGGGCACGAAGCTAGGAGTTCTCTTCTGCACAACCCACTCAGGTTTCCAATCTTCGCTGTTCATGGGCGATTTGCAGTGGACTTTGTGGAGAGGCCAGTGGGCTTTCTGACATTCGGAGCTGCAGTACTGCAAGACGTGAGCGCGGTGCAAAGGAGTGTGAGGAGAGGAGCGTCGGAGGCAGCCCGATTAGATACTCACGACAACAAGACAACAGTTGGCGCAGCCGGACTTGCCAGCGTTTTGACAACCGGTGCCGTCCGGGCTGCAGTTTGCGCAGGGCAGTGAGGGTGTCGCCATGGTGCCTGATATCGACTTTGGTGACTGGTGCAGAAAAGGAAGAGAAGAAAAGGCGAATGCCCAAGAGAAGAAAACATGGAATCCTTAGTTGGGTTGGAGCCTGGGGCAGGATCGAGGATTCACAGGGTGTTTGCTGGAGCTTGCAAGTACTGGCTGGCACTGTCAAGGCGGATACCTTCATATCGCGACCTTGCTGATTTCTTAACAGTAGCTAGGGGAGGAAAGGAAAGATAGGACTTCAATCCTAAATAATAAAAACACTTAGGTAATATAGCCTAAGCCTAGGATATCTTTATTAAGTTTAGGATACCTTTGCTAAGTTTATTTTGACACCCTATATCAAGGTCTCATGTTTTCTTGGCCTTTGAGGAGTGGCCACGACAAAATAAGTCGAGCCTACCTGGTCACTATATCGTTTGATCCACTACAGCATTAGTGCTGGGATGCCATTGATATCCAAACGTAAAAAAAACCTACACCCCGGCAAGTATCCGGAAATATTGCAGTTCCTCGGACGCCTGCCTTGCAGTAATCCATGATCTCGACTGACTGCCTTGATATGCTAGTCGTTGATAATTTGGGATTGGGATTCCTCACAAAGAGTTTACATATTTCGGTGAAAAATCCTTGTTTGAATCACTGGCAATAGAAAAGAAGGCTGCTGGCAAGCCTCAGAAGCATCAATCCCCTGACGCTGGGTCTCCTTGACACATCCTCGTGGGTTTGTTGTGCGCAAGCATCAGTGTAAGTTTTGAGCACTACCAGCAACGGATCGTGCAAAATTCATAGATACATGAGTGCAATTGCCAAACTACATATCAAATAGTTGCAGTCATAGTCACTGTGACAGCCTTCACTGAGGCACTCTGACAGTGCCCTTCATGACCTCAACCGCCTTTCCACTAAGATGAACACTCTTTACCTTTCTCTCCCCAGCTCCACCAGTCTCGACTTCAACATCCACAACAATCAGACTCTCCCGCCCCATCTCAACGCCCTGCGTGATATTGAACCTGATCGAATTCGCAGAAAGCTTGTGCAACGCCAAATAACACGACAACGCGCACGCAGCACTTCCAGTTGCTGGATCCTCCATATTGCGCTTGACAAGTCTCGTACGAAGATTTTGCATATGCTTTCCGTCAGATGATGTCTCCCCGTCTAGTAGAGTGTAGTAGTAGCGCCTTGAGTCAAAGTCGTGTTTCCAGCCGTCATCCTGCAAGTTGCCGTCGATGTAACCCATTGCTCCGACCCTGGCGGCCCCAAGTATCTCCAAATATGGGAGTTCAACGAGCGCAAAAGTCATTCCATTGACGATGCTGAACAGCGGTGCGCCTTCATCAGCGGCAGCGACTTTGGCCAGTTGATCATCCCAACCAGCTTCAATCTCATGCTTTGGCACGCGCTCTTTATGAAGTTTTACATCATGCGGAATTAAAGCACGCGCAGAACCGTTTTCGAACTGGAGATCAAGTCTGCCCGCCTTTGCAATCATACTCTTGACACCTTGAGGCTGGAGAAAGAGAGCTGTGCCGATAGTCGGATGCCCCGCAAATGGCAATTCGAACTGCGGAGTAAAGATGTCAATCTTCCTCTGATCTGTTTCGTCGCGCTTCTCAACATCATGAACAAAGACAGTCTCAGAGAGGTTGAACTCGCGGGCGATGCGTTGCTTTTGGGATTGGGTGAGGGGAGCCTGTTGGCTTGGTGGGGGTATCGTCACTACTGCCAAAGGATTGCCCTCAAAGGCGGTGGTGGTGAAAACATCAAGAGTGGTGAATTGGAGACTCATTTTTGCGCCTATGATTTGTTTTCGATGTTAAAGATATTAATGCCTGGTAATTGGAAGAATATGTGAATGGGCTTTTTGTACTCAGCCAATTGGGCGTGTGAGTCAGAGGGAGCTTCAGTCGTAATACGATGACTAATTCAGCCGAGCACAAGTCAACAACATCGGCACGTATACACCGAGAGCATTAATTCTGAGCAATTTCAATTCCTGGCTAGAAAAAGAGCAGAGGTAGCCTGGCATTATCCGAGAGCATAATGCTAAGAAAAAACTCTGCAATTCCTGTGAATTTGCTCAGTAGCAGCATGTCCTGTATGTCTATGCTACTAATTTCGAGCGCATCCCGCATCAAGAGCTGAGTTTCGATACCGTGTCCTTCAAGGTGCGCACCTCGCGTTCCATGTTTCTGAGCTCAAACTCGTGCGACTTTTGTAGCTGCCTTGCCACTCTCATCCAGTTATACCCCCAGCAGAAACCGAGCAGCATGAGGACAAAGCCAGCCACAGCGCCGATGGCGATGCCTGCCACCTGAGGACCTGTCAACCCAGACTTTTTGCTCGGTTTGACTTTTTTGCGGGTTTTGCGGTCTTTGCGGGAGGGTTTCGCAGTGGCTGTAGAGTCAGGTTGGGGCTTTTTGGTAGATTGCGAGGTGGGTGATTTTCGTACCAAGCTTGTTGTTCCTGAAGCCGCGGGGAGGTGTTTCTTGGAACTATCCGGCATACTGACATTGAAGTATGCGGACTTTTCATATACTGGCCTTCCGAACAATTCCCTTACTTGGAATTGGAACCTGTAAACAGCGTCTTCACCATTCTTCAGATAGTTGTTGATGTCATACTGAGCCGTCCAGGAATAGGTATTTGCTTTCTTTGTCACTGTAAGATCACATTAGTATAACTCTCGCAAAACTACAGAGTGGAATTCTATCATACATTGCAGCGTGTCCGCTTTTGGCCCAATGTTACCTTCCGCGGGATTCACCTGCACGGCAGTCACGTTTGCAACGGTTGAACCACCCGAAAGCTTGACCCTGATGGTCTCACCGTGTCTGTAGCGATCGTTGTTGGTGAAAACTTGAAGCCCGTCATCGAATAAGCCGAATGGCGGGGGGTGGACGAATCTCGCGGGCTCACGGGGGGGCGAAGTGAGTGGCCCTCTTTGACAAGCTGCTAGGCTGGCGAGTGAGGCTACCAAAAGGAACACCCAATTCAGGTGCATGATGGGTGTTGTAGACTGAAGTCAAGATGTGGGGAGTTATGTGTTACCTATCCAAACCTGTGGACTTGGAGTGGTGCAAGAGATTTGATGGTATGGATGAAAGGGATTCATGTAAGGGCGAGAGACGCCTATTTATCATAATTGAGCACTCTTGTCTGAGAGTCTGAATCAGCACTCAGAGTTTGGTGGCTGACGTCGGCATGGATTTCCAAGTAGGCCAGAAAGAATATGCGCCAGTCATTGATGCCGCCACCGACAACTCTAGAAGCTGAACAGCCGGGCCCAGAGTCCAGCGGCGTGAGCGATGCTAAGACGATATCATATTAGACTTTGAAAACACTCACGATCCCAAGCATGTAGCACGTCAGTCACTTGAATACTATCAGCCAATGAGCCATGACCCCGCACACTGATGTGATATCATCCAATGAGGGTAATGTGTTGCTTTTTCAACAGGTCAGATTTGTATAGCCACAAAATGTCTATGCTTACGATTGCCGAGCAAGACGAGTATTCGCAAGCCTTTTCTGTGGACCAGGCTTTGATGCGAATACTGAAACCAATGTGAACGGTCATTCTGGAATGGCACATAAACCTAAAGGATAGAAATCCCGAGTTATCCAAGCATAAACGCCCTGAGGGTTGCGGCAAGATTTATTGGTCATCATCAAAGCTTTTGAGTTGATGCTTGTATCATCAGGTCCTCATTCGTCACCTGTGTTCGCAGCCTAAAGCTTAACCATATTGGCAGCAGTCAACTACATAGCCAAAGTTTAGCTGACCCCTCAATTTCTCGCGAGGCCTTGAATGTCCGTAGCTTATCTCAGCATGACCAAGCTTCCCCGCCTATTCGTCATCTCTAGTTTCTGATTCAATTTCTCCCTGTCAAGGTGCTTCATGCAGCCCTGGTGGACTTCTGGCATATCCTGCAGGATACAGCTCAACCACCGGGTCGCCAGGTAGCTCAGCCTTTGTCTCGGAATAGTTAACCTGCCCTTGATGACTCTGAGAAACCATTGACGCGTCCGTGTTTCTTTTACTTCGTCCCAATCTTCTCCAGATCAACCATCCGATAGCACCCAGAAGTATCAGACCACCGATGGTGCCCCCAACCGCAGCACCTGCGGTTTCGCCCTTGGTCATTCCAGAGTCAGATCCTGCATCTGAGCTCGCTTCTTCGCTCGTGGATGGAGCTGTAATCGTAGGTCTAGCAATGATTTGCGTATTTGACACTACCACCGCTTTAGACGTTGCGCTGTGAGTCGTAGTCGAGGTATGCAGGATGATAGAGGTTTCAAGTTCCGGAGCAGTGACATTGAAGTATTGCGTCGAAGCAATGTCCAATTCAGGATCGTCAGGGTCTCTCAAGGCAAACCAGTACAAAGAATCTTCGTTTCCTTCCGCTAGTCCAGATACATCCCACTCAGCCTTCCATTCAGTACGGGATGCTAGGCGTCGAGGTCAGAATGGCGTATACGAGTCAAGAATTACCGGAATATCATACCGTCTAGGTCTCTGCGAACAGTCCTTGATCTTGTCTCTTGAACTAAGAAAAGCTCAACTTTATCAAGATTAGTCCCCCAAAGGAGCTCTATCGTATCTCCGACGCTGTATCTTATATTCTTTCCCAAGTCTGCTTCACTGTCGAGACCGGTGATCCACTGGGGGGGACGTAGGAACCTGGTGACGCATGAAACATCAGTGGCGAATATGGAGAGTATCAGAGTGAAGATCGGAACGATAGTCATGCTGTCGACGAATATTTTTCAATTCCCAGAGATGATAGATGATGGGCCTTTCAAGGTGGAAGAGGTCCAGGTGCAGGACACGAAAACCAGTACTGGTCGTGGCGGACAGGCTTATTTGTTTTGACTGATTCGTGAGCCGGAGCCAAGAGCAAGTTGATAGGGGCCTTTAATTAAACCAGGACCATCCTACCCGGGTTGTATGCAGCCGAAGATCAAGATAGGAATAGTTCAGGCCCGGGCCGCAGTCTAAAATGCTAGGGCGGAACTTGATGATCTGACAGATGACTCTGTTCCCACCACCATGAAATCTTCAACATAAGTGAGAAGGTAAGAATACTATTATCTACTATAAGCAATATTCTGGTGGCGGGTTTCTTCTTATCTCTCTTTATTGTAATGTTTGAGAGGACTCGAGGTTCCCGATTCCTTTTGCCATTTTCTTCGGTACACTTCCAGATTTGTCTAGTTGCATATGCAGTCGTGACAGGGGACAACCAACAGCACAGCAACCAACAGAGGTTCACGTCGAAATGGTTTAGTCTGCTAGCAGTGAAACACAACGCACAGATATTTCTTCCCAGTAGAGAAGGTGATAAAGTGAAAGCTGAAAATAAAGAAGCAATATTGATAAGCCCAGCTATGAAAAGGGGTCGTTGGTCATATTCACGAATGATAATCCTTCGGGAGTACGTTTCCTGTCAGCTTTCGTCCGTAGTTGCTATCAACGCTGCTAATTTGTCGATGTTCCAGACAGAAGTAACCCTTGAATAGATAAGGTGCTGATCCACCTTTGAGTGAAGGTGCCTCATGAAACTGGATACACAACTGTCTTGGCCATTTTACTGTTAGCTCATTGCCAGGAGACTGATATGCCCAGGGATTATTAACTGGCATCAACACTGCGAGCCCCCTTCTGGGTGATGGGCAGGGGCCATCACAAAGCTTATGTTTTCGCAAAGTCAATATAGCCAAGATGTTAAGTTAGTGTGCATGATTTCTCACTCCACTCCGGAGACATTGATAATGGTGACGAGACGGTAACGGATATATGAACTGAAGCTCATAAGATCATATAAGTTTGTTATTGTTTCTCAGTTATGGCTAGATCCAAGCTGTGATCCAGGCAAGTGAAGGAAAAGTCCAAAGATTCATCGTCTTGGTAGTGAGAACAGTAGAATCTAGTCTCACAAAGTACCGAGGTAAGCTGGTTTATCCAGACTCAGCCTGCTTGTCGCAACCGCCCTGCTTAAGGCTACACTGCGCACCAGTGAAAACAGCCTCCTTGAAATTAGTGAAAGAGGCACGGCGATCACGCCCGTTTTTGACAAAGTCGATGACAAGATTGCCTCCGACACCATTGATGTTGAGACGACTCCCATCAATAGCACGGTTGGTGCTCTTCAGCTGACCGGTGGCATACTGCTTGCAAGAGCCAGGGAAGCCATCGAACCTCTGCGTGGAGGCTGCGTCGACTGGGGAAATGGTGATAAGGCATTGGCGGCCGCAGGCTGGAGAGCCCGGAGTGCCACCACCAGGAGTTGAATCGTCCTTGACGTCGAGGGACAAGACGCTGCTGGCAAAGGCGGCGATCATGAAAATAGAGGTGGTCTTCAAAATGGCGGCCTCAAGAGAGTCAGCAGAGAAAAGAGGAGCTAACAACTAGTGTTGTAGGCTTACAGAGTTGTATCGCTTTGTAAATACTTTTGATAGTTTGTTGTTTTTCTGTGATGGTTGCTGCGGAGTTGTGTTGGTGATATTCTATTGAAGTAGTCGGATGATGGCCTTTTATACTTGAGCGAATCATCTTTAAAAAGCATCCATTGAAGTGACTATAGAGAAACTGCGAAAGGACAATCGGCGATCTAATCTTAAATAGACGACATTGATTGCTGAGTAAGGCCGATTAAAACGAGATGATCAACAGATTTGCAGTTCGCACATGACGGGTCGCGATACTGAGAGAGGCAGTAAAGACAGGTATGCTTGATGGATGATTTCAGAATCAAATTTTCATTAGGCTTGTGATACTGAAGCCATGGATTCTATGTGATCGTCGTACTAGCGAATAGTTAGGTTACGTTGTATGGTTCGGCCGCTTTTTAACTATGCACGAGCGGCGGCTTGGTAGTGTTCGGCCAACACGCAGGACTTATTTCTCGTATAGAAAGTGCGCGAGCATTAAATAAAGCTCTGTGATTGAGTATTGTGAGATTCCCGAGACGTTGGCTAATGCGAACGGCACGTAAGACACAACATCATTGACATTTCATGATCTTGATCTTTGCCGAGGCTTCCGTTTAGAGTGCAACTCACTTCTGGCGAGTTTATCCCGGGAGGGGGACTTCAAGGTTCGCATATGAGTTCAGCAGAGCCTTGTTTGGAGAGAAGAATTTTATGATTATTGGCTACAAGTTATACGAGAGTAATACGTGTACCAGACCCAGACCACTCACCAATCCATTTACCTATTTGACCGTGTTCAAAGGTCCCAATGCGTCTGAAGTCAACTCCGGAGACATGCTCTAGCATGATGAACACATTTGTACCCCCTCCATAGCCTACATAGCTTCCACATAGCGGCACACAGATCCCTTCCACCTCCGCCATCTCTTTGAACTTTCGCACCATGTCCGTGGTATCAAGATGCAGATCGTATGAGCTAAATTTCTTTTCGAAATATAATTCGAGTTTACCCTCGTCTTTGAAAACCGCGAGCGTGGTAGACTCGGACGTCCAGCGGTAGTAATACAACATGCACTCGATATCGAGCTCTGCTGAATGTAGTAGGCCTGTAGGATCGCCCCCTGGCGGCTCTGATACAATTCGCTCAGCGACAAGGGTTATGAGAGAGATTGGTGCGCGTCCATACTTTTGATAGACCATACTGAGTGACGTGTGTCCCCCAACAACGGAAGCCCAACTCCATGTTGGAGCATACGAATCACTGCGAAGTACCTCGGCCCCATCGCCAGCATCAGTCTTCCAGGTTAGATCAGAGTGGATGAACTTCTTCCATAGTCCAGCTAGGTAAGTGTCTTTAGTAGCATCTTGAAAAGTCTTGGCGATACCGGACATGGCGATTAATCTATCTGACTCGTTTGTCAAAGCGCAGTTTGCGTAGATCGACACGAGATCACCCCAGAGACGGAGGTAAGTTGTTTCTTCTTCCCTTGTACTACCATGCTGCCAGGAGAGTGCTTTCGACACGCTCCTTGCAATCTCCAGTCCCGCCGCTTTGTATACTGTTTTGATAGGCGGACGCCAATGCCAATCCTTAGCGAGGATCTTGAGTTCCCCAGTTGGGTCTGTTTCACTGGCCATAGCCTCAAGGCATTCCCAATACATCTGGTTCTCCGCAAAATGGAGAACCCGAGGAGCAAGGAACCGTTTTTGCACAACCCAACCACGTTTGTTCAGAGGCGCACTTACTATATCGTCCAGCCAAATTGAATCGTTGAAGAACACCCATGGCCCGACACCGAGGCTTTCACCGTCGCCCAGTAGTTGCCTGTGTACCTTGAAAGGGAACAGCAGCCTCGAGGGAAGTCTTCTTTTGGAGAAAAGACCGATATCATTGGGATTTCGAGATGCTCCGGTGGCGGAAATGTTGCAAAATGAATGGCGATATACATCTACCATCGCCTTGGCTTCTTCCTGCCACTCGCGCAGAGAGTCCTGCACAATGCACAAAGAGTCGATCCATATGTATCTGAAGCCCATACGATGAACGAACAGAGCAGCGTCACGAAAGGTTAGCGACAAGTCACTGACTTCTATGCCAGACCGAAGTCGATCCTCCGTGCTCTCTGAGAGTTGCACAAGCAACTCCGGATTACCCCAACGATGTGAGAGTGTCCAGTAGGGAGGATACTCTCTCTCTAGGTCTCCATCTTTGTGCACCTCGTTCAAGAATCTGGTTCTTACTTCAGATCTCTCACATAGAGACACAATTCCGTCTTTGACCATGTTTACATCAATAACTCTCGTAGGGAAATATTTGCCTTGACTCGAGCCCTGCGAAATACAACATTTATGCCCCGCTTCACATGTCGAAAGCCAGGCTTCAATCTGATGAAGGGGTCTGCTTGATCCCATATGGTCATCAAAATTGGTCCAGGGCTGAGCATCAAGAAAAGTCCAGATCGGCGAAGGCAAGTAACCCCCCCATCCCCGGTATCCGAGATCTTCATTCGCGCACATAGAGACTGGTTACATTCGTCAATCGACGGTCATAGATACTTGGAGATATTTTACCTCTGAGAACAATATTTCCAGCCCAGGGGCATATGGCAAGAAATTTGAGATTGGGCCGGTCAACAGTGCAATAGATCTGAAAGTCGACGGTCTTTAAAGGGCTGCTGTCGGGTGGAGTCGGCAATTTATTCCACAACCACATACAAATAAAGCAATTACTGTCCTTACTGACAACAAAGTCATCATATCTCTGGTGGTGGTAGTCGCTAAGAGGATGGCTGCCATATGAGGAATGAACTGTGCTCTTGTTTTTGCCTCTCAAAGCTGAGATACATGTATCGCACAAGTATCCCTCTGCAGAGTCCATTGTGTAGTTAACTTATGTATTTTTGGACATCCATAGAGTTAGATTTGGTGACTCCGGTCGCTTGGCATCGAAAGCTGGTGATTTACGATTTGTCCTTTCACAGAAGTTCATCGACAGGACGCTTGGGCGGCCAAACGCATTGCTACCCAACAACCTTGGGCCAATTTGAGCTTCACAACGTGGCTGCATTACCAGTGAGCTACTTTGGACCCTGATTTGCTACAGAGCTGTAGATATATGACCAAAATTAATCAATGTCCTAGTTGTAGGGTAAATTATTAGTTAAGAGAACCCAACGAACCCTCCGTAGGAAGACTGAAACCTTTGCAGGCTGGGCTGAAAAATGAGGCTCGACATTTACCTATCTACCCCGCAACCGAAGTCCGAAACGGAAAAATATCAGCTGACTTCTATTGAGCTGGACAGGCAGTGACGAAGTCTGCAGGCCTGATAGATCTAAAACCATTTCTTTTCAGTCAAAGTAGTATAACAACAGTCCGGGTTTGCGACTGGTATTCATGTTGCTTGTTTCGTCGTCTGACTCATCTGATACGACTATCTCACCAACGAGAAATGACCTGCTATCTCTTTACTTGAAAATGACCTGCCTTACCTGTACCTTTCCATCATCTCACGATCAAGGCCATCAAGGCTATACATACGATGACCTAGTACAAGCAGCGGAAGCCGCTTGCCCCCGGTGCACTTTTGTACTGAGGTGTATCAGCAGAGGAGCAGCACATATTAGAGTTGGAGACATGACAACAGTGACGGCTCTTACCCATGGCCACTTCACAATCCACTGGTCTGGTGGCGAGTGCTCATTGGAGGTTTTCAACCAGCATGGCAAGTCTCTATCGTCAAGTTTCTCAATGATAAGCGACCGCGGCGAAGCTTACGCCTGAGACATTTAATCATGTTGACATGTTAATTGGTGCAACTTGGACCACGCACTAATGATTCTTACCACAGGTGTTGAAGGTGCTGAGCTAGGCATCAGACGGTTACTACTAGGTCGTTTCCCCAGCACTACAGAATTTCAGACAACAACCACCACAATCAAGTCTTGGATAAGAGATTGTGTAGGTAATCACGATGCCTGTGAGTCACGGATATATGGTCAGTCTGCCTCGTTCATTTGCCCAAAGAGGCTACTCGACCTGAGTAATGGAACCCTGGTTCTCCGAGAGAATCTCGGGCAGAAATTACGTTACGCGTGCCTGAGCCATTGCTGGGGCAAGATTATTATTGTTAAAACGACAACACATACAATCCGGACGTTCAAGAGACAAGTACCTTTGGATCAACTGCCGAAAACGTTCCGCGATGCCGTTGACATATGTCGCAGTCTTGGAATCCTTTATCTCTGGATCGACTCACTTTGCATCATCCAGGACAGCCCAGAAGATTGGAGAGAACAAGCAGCTCAGATGGCAGATGTTTATCAGCACTCATTCCTGACTATTGCGGCTACCAAATCGCACGATGGTTCCCAAGGTTGTTTTTCGCAGACAAGCCATCAATACGTAGCCAAGTTGGTTCCTGGCTATCAGGACATTTATGTCCGTCGACAGCCGCCACTTTTTCCAAACCACTGGGGTCAGTTGGACAACAACGACAGCTACCCTCTTTTGAACCGCGCATGGATTTATCAAGAGATGAGACTATCGCCACGGGTACTACACTTCTGCAACGAAGAGGTCATCTGGGTATGTCAAAATTCGCAACGTAGCGAAACAGGATGCAACGATACGGACTATAATGACGGCAAGAGTTTCAAGCCTACATTGTTCACTTGCGTTGGCGAACCGCAACGTGACAGGGACCAGTTCACATGGCACCGGTCAGTTCAGGAGTATTCCAGACTGAATCTGACCTATGAATCAGATAAGACGATTGCACTAGCTGGAGTTGCTCAACGCATGCAACAAACACGGCCGGATGACCGGTATCTGGCTGGTATCTGGGAGAAACACCTCCCGCTCGACCTTCTATGGATGGTGTGGCCTACGCCGAAGGTCGACAAACCAAGACTTGCTAGGTACCCTTCGTGGTCATGGGCATCTGTCCAGTCACAGGTGATGTGGGACGGGAGTTGGAGTCCGCTTCAGTCTGTGGTCGTCCGGGATTTGCGCTATACTTCTGACGGCCCAAGTCACATGGGGAACTGCTCAACATCTTCAATCACCTTACGCGCCCCCATGATAGATGTCAAGTCCTTATTGCCAACCCAGGTCACACCTATGAGCGTATGGAATGGCGATATTAGCCATAGAGTCACACCATTGGAGAACATCCGCGTCGAAGAGTTTTGCGTTAACGACTATAAGCCTGATAGCCCCGCGGAGCGATCAGGGCCTACAAATTGGCCACCTGCCAGAGGCGGGTTCGTGATTCCACTAGGCGTTAATGTCGAAGACAGCTTGACTTTCTGTGGCATCCATGTCATCAAAAAGCTGGGAAGTGACGGCTATGAGCGAGTGGGCCATGTTGGGATTAGCCATGATGCTTTGTTAACAAGCAATTACGCCAAATTCTTGCACCGCCTAAAGAAGGACGAAACTTTGCCAATACCAAGCACGGAGGTCCTGGAGAGCACCTCCAGAGGTTACGCTCATCGTATAAAAGAACTGTTAGAAGAATTGCACGTTTCAGAAATTGTCTTGGTGTAGAATATGATTTTAATCCTTAAATACAAGAAAACAAATTGTTGTGTCCCTTCAGGCATGATCTGATCCATCCATTGATAAGTTCTTGATTTCAGCGCGCATAGCTGCTCCATCCGGCACTACCGGCCCCGTCCCTATTCCCGATTCCTGCGCTTAATGCGGCTGCCCGCTTGCGGGCTTCTTTCTCGTAGGAATTGCCATACATGTAGCTGGACTTTCGATCGAGTTCCCGCCCCTTCGCAATAATGGCTTCAGGGTCATGTAGACCATAGAATTCGTCGCCACCGATGAGCCTCTTGACGAGCCGATCTAGCATACTGAGATCCAACATGCTGAAAGATTCGGAGTGGTGGGCTTGAAGAGCGTCAATTTGGTAGAGATGATAGATGATTCTGATATCAGAGACTAGGAGTTTGGTATCTCATGAGCAAGGTGTGCGTTTTGCGGTCGCGACTTGTGGCTGAGAACTTAAATTAGAGCAGATCTCATGTTCAAAGTGGTCCATCGCTTGGCCTTGGTAAGGAACATCTCGCGAACATCAACAGGCAGGTAGTCAGTCTTCTATATATACCTGATCTGACTTGGACTTCATTCCCAGGGTTTGTCTTTGGCTTGAAGGACAGCATGTGGCGAGAGATCTGCATGTAGATCAAATACGTCATTTTATCACTCGGAGACTAGAGTTAGCCAGGAACAGACGAAAGAGGTAATGCCCATTGCTGGCCGATCTTCAAAGTTTAAAAATGCTTTTCGTGGCGCTTGAATAAGGTATTCGATGTATAAGCTGGAATTGAATGAAAGCGCTGAGGAATTGTGGCGAACTTGTGCGAATTGCTTGCAGAACCAGAGAAATCATGGTTATAACTTGATCTGCTTCTCAGTAGCTTCATAGCCGGAATAAAAAAGAAAATCTATGCCCTTTTCCTTCACCATCTCAAAGAACTTCGACTTTTCCGCCAAAGCCCATATTCCCATACACGAATGGCCGACTTCATGGTTGGACGCTTCCAAGTTCTTCTGTTCACACGGGATAGGGCACTGATAACCCAGGCGTATGGAGTGGCAGACAATGAAATAATTTGGAGATTGGGGGAGATACGCCGTGAACACCTCTCATCGTCAACTAATCCGTTCATCGAATACTATTTAGGCTTCACAACAAAGTTGTCCATCTTAAACTTCAGCGTTGAAGTCTTGGAGCCCTTCGCGCCAGGCCCCATAACATACCACTCCATAGAAATCGTCCAAGTCCCAGTCTGCGAGGTCGGAAAGTCCGCCACAAAATTCACCCACTGATCAACCTTGTGCGTGCCCTTAAAGCTCGGCGTATATATATTGCTGCTGAAAGTCTTGGTATCGAAGCTGAAAGAGCCCATTGAATGCGACAGACCATCGGGAGCTTTAGCTTGGACGAACAAGCCAGGCTTGCTAGGCGCCGTGTACCCAACGCTATTCTTGGGGAGAAGCATGGACCATGACAGTTGGAAGCGCGACGCTTTGCAGATCTTAAAGGTCTGGTAGAGTTTGTTGTAGCTTGTCGGCTCGTTGTAGCCGGACGTTCCGGCTGCTTGGATCGCGTGGTCGCTTTTGTAACCGGATTTTACAACTGTTGCGCTGCCGAGCTTGATGTATGTAGGTTTAAAGACCCACGGGGCTGACTGTGTTAGTCCTGCTAGAGATGTTACTTCACATACTTGGGTAGGCTTACTAAAGGCACTCGACTCAAAGCCCGGGTTTTTGAGGGTATTTGCTGGGGTAGTACAGGCTCGTGCATCAAGACCGATAACAGCATCGGTAGGTGCGGAGAATACAGGGGCAGCCACGGCTAGCCAGCTAAGAAGCGCTAATTTGACCATGGTCGCGATATTGAACGAGGGTGTTTATATGACTGAGAATGCAGACTAATGCTTGTACACGACGAAAATTAAGGGTATGGGAGAAAAACGGCCGATGAGGGAATATGGCTCGTTCTTATAATTAAATATAGGGGCGATAAAAACCCCGTGGGCTCGGTAGTTGAACATTATCATTCGATGCTCGAATCAATAGTTTCGCGAGGCGTTGATCTAGACCCCTCAGCCGCACTGGCTAGACAGGGTATCTCCAGGTTCCAGACAAGACCCCTGTATTATATTAACCCAGAAGTGTATTTTCCAATCCTCCCAGTTGCTTTATATCGTCAGCAGGTCTATTCTAATAACCATCGCTCAGCTATTTCCCTAACCTGTATACAACAATTATAGCTATCACAAGAACTGGCACCGATAGATATTACTTGTTCGTCTCATACACCCTGTAGCTTGCATCTGGCTGTAGTCAAGTTCTTCACAACATGGAATTGCAGATAAAGTTCTCATACAAAGTCTCGGTGTCGATATTCAGCTGCCCTATCCCCCTCAATCCGATTTCAGAAACAAGGGCCTGAATCCAACGATGATGCCCTCCAAACCCGACAGGGCACTGCTTTCGTATTTGATCCCGTAAACACTAGTGACCTGGTGATCGGCGAACCATAACTCTCCCTTGGTACCTCCACTGCTTCCAACCTCTCGTAGTTTGTTCTTAGTGTTCAACCAGAACGGGGCGCAACCCAACTTCTGGCCAAACCAAACATCAACCCAATAGAGATATTCTCCTGCATTGACGTCCAAGTCTGTGGTGCTGGCTGGATCTGGCTTGGGAGATCCATACGCCGCGCCCCAGGTATCACCGTACTTTATCTGCAGGAGCTCAACATTGGTGATACCTCCTGCGTAAATGGCTGTGATCTGATCATTGCTTCCCCGTTTGACGGGAGGGAAGGGCTTGTCTTCCCATGGGTTGCCATTTACCCGAATGTCATAGCGGCCACGAGACGCAAAGATCTCATCGTCTAAGTTTGTCAAAGCTTCCTCCGTAAAATGCTTTCCTGCCAGGTAAAGCCAAAAGTCGGCGTAGTTGAGGACGTGGATATTCATATCCGCATCATACTGCATCTTGGCCCTGAAATTGGCGCCATGTTTAGCTCCAATGTCATCTCCTGACAAGCCCTCCCATTCGGATTTAATATTGTCACGTCCTGACTCGTACATCGTCTTGGCGTATGTAACATAGCTTGAGCCATCGATGGCAGGGACGGCATGCTCGTCCATCGTGGCAAGGTAAACATGCACAGCTTTCCATTTCTGAATTGTCTCTTCAGGCACGTTACTCATCCTGGAGTCGTCTAGCATGAGATTCTCGAGGAATATCCTATGACGTGACGCTATTTCTGCATGTGAGACGGCCGCAGTTTCCGTCGTGAGCTTATCAAAAGTCTCCTGGAGAAAATTGACTTCGTCAGCAGAGAAGCCCCATTTTCGTCCATGCTGAATGCCGCGCCCAATAGCTTCAGGTGCATTGTCGCTGCGAGTGCAAACCATGGCAACGATGCCACACCGTATTTGGGGTATGTGAACTCGCTCATGGAAACAATCATCGTCTGATGCAGCGATGCGAAATATCCCAGGAGCAAAGTTGATACGTCTTTGCCCTCGTCATATTTCCTGACCAGGATAGAGAAATCATTAATAGCGGCGTCAAGACCTTCCAATTTGGCTTTGAGGGTCTCCGAATGATACTCTTCTATCTTGTAATCAATCATCTGTTCAATGCGTTTGAACAGCTTCTCGCCTTTCTGGAGCGTGTCGAGGCCTTTCTTGTCGGCCTTGTTGAGAAAGTTCTCATCAATCTTGACCGTTTTGAAGAAATGAATTCCAGGGTAATAGAATATTGTGGTAGTAGTAAGCTAACTGAAATGTGTTTGTCTGTTATCGAACCCTAGGCAGCATATCTTGACTTTATATACTGCAGCGATACCAAAGACACCGCGCGGCCTAAGTGAAGAGCGAAACGAGGAAACAGGGACGGTCTATTGAACAGACGAAGGAGGCCTCAAATTAAGCCGATCCACAGGGACATCTCTACCAAAATGTTCTTCACGCTATGCTCTCTGCATATGCGGGGGGTTCCGAAAGAGTCGGAGATCTACAGTATCTCTGTTGTTTCGGGGAGATGCAGAAACTGGCTGCATATTTCGCTTTTCAGCTCTCCACTATAGACCAATGCCGGCCACATCAGCGAAAGCCAAGTGTCTTGACTTCACCTCATTCATGTTGGAATATTGACTTCCCGCAGACAAGCGAATAGATGGAAGCGCACCCGACGAGTGAAATATAGAACCATAATGACTGGGAAACATCGAGTTCTTGATTTAAAACTAAAACCTAACAGGGGAGCATAATAGTCTTGCAATACAAGCCCTTGTCCCCTCATTTTCTAACTAGGTACCGTGTCGTCGTCTCACGAACCCCAGCACCGCTGTCATCATATTGACATGCATAAATAGACGATTACCAAACTAGCAGGTGTCTTTGGCAACAATGACATTGTAGTTGTCAGAATCGAATTGTTGTCCTCGGACCATCTGAACAGACCAAGAAGGAGCGCAGGGCCTGACGGTGCAAGGGGGGCTGTTGACTGTCCAGGAGCAAGCTGCGATGATGTGGTCGATGTAATCAGCTAGGTAGGAGCACCTAGGTGAAATCGCGTGACCGTTGTCGTTGCAAAGGATGATAGCATCTCCAGTAGCGCAGGCAATTTTGGTGCACGTGCGAGGTCCTGCGCCAACATGGCACACGTTGTTCCCGAGCGAGCGAAGGTAGTTCCTCTCCCGGTGAGCAGCTCGTACGTCCATAGCACCAAAGCCACCAACTTTGCAGATGATATGACCCTGGTTTATAGGTTAGCAAGTTTAACAATGAGAAGGGTGTTATAAAATCTTACCTGGCTGCGCTTTTCAATCTCAGCCTCGCTAGCGTTGTCTTCGGGAAACACGTAGTCGGGGTTCAGCTTCTGAATCTGAGCAACAACTTCCTAAGTGACCATTAGTATTTTCAAGGCCCTAGGTCTAATGCTAGCTTATTTACTCACCTCAGCGGTACCAGTCAGAGTGATGGGCTCGGCTCCCTCTTTGATAGAACCAGTCCATTCCATCGGCACAATCTTATATCCTTCGAGAGGGTTGTCAACAACCTGAACACCATCAGGAAGGGCCTGAGTTAACGTCAGTTTATATGTAGCCTCTTTCAATCGGTGAGAAACTTTACCGCAGCAGAGACCGCTGTGGCAGCGGTGCTAAGAAAAGTGAAAAGAGTAGCCTTCATCTTGAGTATTTCCGTTGTGTGAGGATTGTAAGGTGAAAGAATAGTGTTTGAGGGCTGGCTGTATTGCTGCAGAGATGTTGCTTGAACATTGAAGATGGCACACAATTTGTCTTCTTTTATAGTATTTACGACTTTCTTCCCTCGGATATACTCAACCCTGCGCCTTCCTTCTTTGTGAAGCCGTTCTTTGTACGAGCCTACCGAAATAATTCGGGCCAAGGGTCTCTGGACTCGTATACGCCGCATCGTAAAATTCGCAGGAATTCATGCCTGCACCTTCCTCTTCCATGCTAGATGATCGACGTCCATAAGGACTTTGAATTAAGCATATCGTAGCACATCGAATAGCAAGACCTTAGGTCCACCTTTCCCGTCAGGTGCCTTTAAGGTTATCTTATCTAACCGCCTCGATCCACCCTGAGCAAAAGTCTACAATCACTCCGCACTTGGCACAAGATCTCTATTTTTCCAAGAAGACATACAAGCCAATAGGTTATTATTATCGAGATGCTGAGGTTACAGATAGCTGAATCAATCCAACCAGTATGAAAAAGAACGTATACCCCAGATTCAATAGAGGTTCAGGAACTCCCAACTGGTTGTTCCACTGTCTATCTTCGGGAATACTGGTACCTGGCCTCATTGCTTTTTACCCCTCCCCTGTACTATGGTCCGGACCGTCGCTAGGCATCTTCACCGTATATTCTCCATATCAGAAGGTGTACTGTAGGATTTATCCTGTAAGCTTACAAGACTTGGTGCTCATGCCCTTGTCTGTGGGGGCGCTGCACGCAGGCATCAATGCCCCGCAGGGTCTTTGCGGCCGCCCTTACATTACCGGCAGTTGACTGAGAAATAGCTGCTTTGAGATATTTTCCGGAAAGACGATCTGGGACAACGCATGACCTTCACATTATTAAGAGGCACATGAACACACTACTAGGACCAGTTGTAACATAACTAAAACCCAATGAACATAGTTGGTGGAGTTACTCCACTCTCTTTACAACACCAACATCTTATCCGAGTAGTAAATTATTCTGAACCTCTTAGCTGTCATAAATACTCATTATATATATACTTCGTAATAGGCTGTATCCTCATTGACAAATAAGAAACAGCAATCGCCAAAGGATATCATCATGCCCAGTGACCCTAAATCCGAGGTGACAAGTGGAGAAGCTGCCAAGGGTTCAATCGGCCGCCAACACGTGGCGAGGATGCCATACTCCTTTTTTAAAAAAGAAATTTCATGTCAGCTACGAGCCCGGCCAGAAGTTACATCTCGTGGGGCTTAATGTCCTGGCGCATACTTATCACCGATAATGCAAGATAATGCCTCAACCAGCGCGTCGACGGCGTGGTTGGCCCGGGAAGGCAGAATTTTGCAGAAGCGCGGGTCGCTCATCAACGTGCTCTTCCGCATGAGATCAACGATACTACAAGTCAACTCGTGCAGCCCTCTCCCGCTAGCCACACTGCACCACACGGATTTATAACTAGGTAGGACAGGACGGCTGTGTAAATGGGAGAGGTTGCTCCAATAGTAGATTGACGCCCTACCTTGGATATGTAGTACGGGGACTAGGCACTTATACAACGCATCAGGCTAATCTTTTGGGAAAGTGAGGTAATAGCCAGCTTCAGTCAGGTGAGTTTGGAGTTACTGGAATTCCGTCGAACTTCATGCTTCAATTCATCACCTGAGTATTGGCCATCAAGTAACATATTCGGAGGCAGACTTGCAGTGATGTGACAAGGATAACTATTATTCAAGGCACTGAAAGGAAGTCTAGTAACAAGTCTTCTTCTGGCGACTTCAGGATTTGAATATTGGAGGCCTATGATGAAGCGCAAGGACTTCTATATCACTCAACCTTTGAGCTACCAACTGTTAATTCTTCTCTTGCTACCCTGTATTGCTCAACGCCTAGCTGCATGTTCTTTTAAGAGAATGGCTGAACAGGTACTTGGAAAAGACGGTCAGTTTATCTCGTGTGAGCTAAATAAAACCATCACCGTACCATATGAAAGAATTGAATTGTCATTTAGCAATTGCAAGTTCTGTCTCAACAAGGAAATTCGGCCGCATTCTTGTGTCCGGAACTAACATAAAAACTGGTTTATTATTTGTTCACTTGGGGATAAATCCAGTGCGTGGATATGTATAGTAACCTAGAAAAGAGTGAAAAGGGAAAGGTTGTCGAAGTAAATTGACTTTCACATTCGAACCAAGTCTCTGATTGGGCCGTCTTGTTTATGGATCAACACCATTTAGTACCCCGCCATGAAGTTGCGATAAGCGGGGTTGACGATATCGGAGGTCGACCCGATAAGGTCGGAGCCGTGCCCCGTTCCGTTTCCGAACCAAGACGGTTTCCGGGGTCTAAATGCCGGGGCTAGAAACATCTAATAACGGGGGACAACTAAAACAAATAAAAGAAAATGACACCGGCTACAGAAATTGACCATTTTTAAGCATGCTTTCCCATGATCTTATCTGATCTGCAAAGTTTATCTGGCAGAGTTTGACAGACACGGCTGATGAGTCATCCATATCAGACGCAGAGCCCCACATCTTGAGCTCCGATCTAAATTTTTCCGTTGACCTCATCGCACAAACCCACTCATTCACTCACTCGCTGCAACGCGCATATCTCACATCCCACGCAGCAAAAATGAGTGGAAAACCTGCCCTCGGCCTTCTCGGCGGCGGCCAACTCGGTCGCATGCTCTGCGAAGCCGCATCCCCCCTCGAAGTCGAAATCGCCATCCTCGACGCCCAAGACGCACCCGCCAAGCAAGTCAGCCGCAGCAAGTACCACGTCGACGGCTCCTTCAAAGACGCCCAGAAGATCAGAGAGCTCGCAAGCAGCTGCAGCGTCCTCAGCGTTGAGACGGAGCACATCGAGACTGCTGTCCTGGAGGAGTTGGCCACCGAGGGAAAAGTCGTCGTGTGCCCTTCGTGGAAGACGCTGCGCCTGATTCAGGATAAGTTTGAGCAGAAGGATTATCTGGGAAAGCAGGGTATTCCTATCGCTGAGCAGGTCGCTATCCAGGCTGAGGGTGCAGAGGAGATGCGTAAGGCGCTGAAGGATGTTGCGACTAAGTTTGGATTTCCTTATATGCTCAAGTCGCGAAAGGATTCGTATGATGGACGTGGAAACATCAAGATCGCCAATGATCAAGATATTGAGACTGCTGTTAGCGAGTTTGGAAAGCTGCAGTGCTACGCTGAGAAGTACGTGCCTTTCCAGCGCGAGCTCTCGGTCATTGTCATCCGCACTGAGGACACTGAGGGCCGAACCAAGCGTCTGGTACCGTACCCTTGCGTCGAAACTGTTCATGAGGACAATGTCTGCTCGCGCGTTTATATGCCTCCTCGCGATACACCAGACGAGGTATCCAAGCGCGCTCAAGAGGTTGCTGTCAGTGTTGTTGAGAAGCTCTGGGGACGAGGTGTTTTTGCTGTTGAGATGTTTGTCACGGAGAAGAACGACATCCTTGTCAATGAGATTGCACCGCGCCCTCACAACTCTGGCCATCTCACCATCGAGGCCGTTCCCTACATGTAAGTCTCCAAGGCTGTCCCGCTCATTTCATGCTGAGAATTCCTTAGGTCGCAGTACAAGGCGCAACTCACATCTATTCTCGACGAGCCCCTCCCCGAAAAGCTCGAACCCCACGTCGCATCCAGCATCATGATCAACATCCTCGGTGGTGCCGAACCAACATCCCACATCCCTCTCGTGCAAAAGGCCAAGTCCATGTTCGCCAGCAACATCGGCGTGTTCCCCCATCTCTACGGCAAGCAGTCCAAGCCCGGCCGCAAGATCGGACACATCACCCTCACCGGATTGACCGCCAACATCAAGGAGCTCGAGGAATATGCTCAGCCGCTTGTCAAGTTGGCAGCTGATATGCGAGAGGAGCGCATTCAAGCTAAGAGCAAGAGTCTTCGCCCTGAACAGGCTGTTGCCAAGACTACTAAGGATCCTCTGGTTCTGGTTACCATGGGCTCTGACTCTGATCTCCCCGTCCTCAAGGCTGGTCTTGATATTCTTAGTCAATTTGGTGTTCCTCGGGAGGTTGACATTACGTCTGCTCACCGAACACCTGTCAAGATGGGCGATGTTGCGACTGCTGCTGCTGACCGTGGCATCAAGGTTATCATTGCCGCTGCAGGAGGAGCTGCCCATCTCCCTGGCATGGTCTCCGCCTACACTCCCCTTCCCGTCATTGGTGTTCCCGTCAAGGCCACACACTTGGACGGCTTGGACTCTCTTCTGAGCATTGTCCAGATGCCTGTAAGTAATCACCCCATCTACCAGTGCACACCGGTTGACTCGATACAGCGCGGTGTTCCTACCGCCACCGTCGGCATCAACAACTCCACCAACGCCGCTCTGCTGGCCATCAGAATTCTGGGTGCTTTCGTCCCAGAGTACCTTGAGAAGATGAGGGCTTACCAAGTCGACATTGGTGAGCAGGTGAATGGTAAGGCTACTCGATTGAGGGAGTCGGATGTCGAGTCGTACTTGGCTCAAATGAAGAAATGAAAAGCGATTATATGATAAATTCTATAGATAAGAAATAAAAGGCCAACCACGTTTCTATGATACCAGCGTTTATGCACAGCTTTGATGGATCGGCGAAATATCCAACAGAGGCAGGGACAATAAAGCCCAGAGCTCACAATATCTGCGACCTCTTATCGATTCGTCTCCAAATGCCTTCTCTAGTTCGCCTCGATAAGAACAGCATCATCAACATAAAACTCCAAGTTCTGACACTCCGCCCGAATTTGAATACTCGGCACCATGTCCAAAAACATTTGACTCCAAGTACAGCTCATAGTAAACTCCGTCCATTCATTATACGGCCCAGCCCAGTCGGAGCCCGAAATGTACCCACCCCCGGCACCACAAGTAATCTTTCGTGACTGGCAGTTAACAGCCGTGCTTGTCTTGATCCAGATAGAATAATGGTACTCAGTATCAGCCTTGATCAAGGATGCGTCAACGGGATGGTCGATACCTAGGACGACAGGGCTGATGTAACCAGCCGTATAGAAGTGACCAGAGAATTCGCCGGAGTGTGTATCTTCGTCCGTGAAGGAGAGCGTGCCGCGGCCTCCGAGTGTGTACCAGGGGGCGGTGCTACCTGAGTCGAACCCAGGGTTTGTGATGACGTTGGTTGGTTCTGCGGCCGCTGTTGTGGTGGTTGTAGGTTCCGCAGTGGATGTCGCGAGTGTAGTTGGTTCAGCACTTGAAGTGGTGATCAGGATAGTGGAAGTAGCCGAATCAGAGGTGAGTTCAGTGGTAGAGCCAGAAGCTGTCTCAGTCTCTGACACGGCCGTCGATTCAGTGAAGAAAGTGGTAGACGTCTTAGTTTCATCGGCGATAGTTGACGATGAGACGACAGCGATAGACGTGGATTCAGTAAAGAACGTGGTAGATGTATCGGTTTCGTCGGCGATGGTTGAAGATGAAACAACGGCAGTAGACGAGGCTTCAGTGGAAGTCGTAGATAAAGCGACTGAAGCAGACGAAGAAGAAGGTTTGCATGGCGATGCACAGGCAAGCTGGCATATAGCCAGCAGCTGAAGAGCTAGAACTCGCATGATGATCCAGGTAACGACTGTGAGGGTATTAACAAAGACTGTGAATAAGAGAAGAAGAAGAGGAAGGGGTCTCGTGAACTAAATAAAAACAGTCATGATTAAACATTTAGCTTAAAAAGTCCTCCTGAGAGGATCGCTAGACGGTCTAGAGAATAAACTATTGATTGAGGTTAACGAATCATAGAGATTAGTGCCAATAGTTGACAGGGCAGGGACAAGCTAGTGGAAATTGGCAGGCATTTGTGCCCACTTCTTTAGCGAGCTTATGGATCATGTCAACTACCCTGCACGGGGAGCTTTTTTTACAACCTCAAAAGAATTTGATACATAGTCCTTGGGGAGAATCGGATGATATACGAGAGTCGATTAAACTACGTAGACATTAAAGGGTAATTCGACAGATCAACTGCATGTACAGGACATTGCGAGAAACAAGACTACATCAAAGTTTGCTAAATCCCTGTGACAGTAATCACTCATATTCAACTCATCACCGTTGTGAAAGGTTTCAAAATCCATCACCAGCCCAAATCCTATCCCAAGCATTTTTCACAACCTCAATCTCCAACTTCTTAAAGAAGTCATCCACAGCAACATCCTCCTGCCCCTCAATCCTCATAACGCCATTCTTCACACCTCGCCAGCCCTCGACAGGAAGCTTCAGCTTATCCTGACCGAGGCCATAAAAGTATCTGCCCTTAAATTTCTTCTCACCACGTTCAATTGTGTCATACTCAGCCTGGCATTCCTCGCAGATCATGCCTGACGCGAATGTTATATATAGGTATGCTGAGCGTCCGGCCCACCACTTGAATTTCCGCGCAGGGTTGCAGAAGCCACCGCAAGTGTAGTACCCGTCTTCCGGGTCTACCAAGTCTCCCTCGTCTGTAGGTGGCTCGCTGGTGTCCTCCTCATCATCGCTGGTGTCAACATCGGCGTGAGGTTCGTCATTTTCTTCCTCAGTCGTGATCTCCTCTTGGTCTTGAGCCTCTTCGTCTGCTGACGCACCGTCCTCGGTTTTGTCGGTATTGCCTAGTCTTGAAAACACAGCTGACGCAACAGTGCGAGCACATCTATCAAGCCCCGCATCATTCCTCAGCGCCTTGCTCATCAAGGATAATGACTGCGCCAGCATCCATAGATAAGGGGCATCGTTCCATCCAACGGAATCGTTGAGACCCGCAAAGCAGTCATGCAGCAGAGACTGGATGGCTTGCTGGAACTTTTCAAGTGGCCCCATGACAAGATACATGTACGCTAGTCCAACACGATGAAAACTGGTCCATGATGCTGATGTTCTGGGAACGTCTGAAGCGAACGGCCGTTGCATAAGACCAGCGAGCGCGGTGAGCCGTTCTGCTTTGTAGACCGGATCACGAGACTTGCGGAAGAGCTCGAGCTGAACATTAGTCATACAATCAACAGCTCGGAGCATCATCAGGAGTGCGGTTCCGCCAAGGATCGGGAACCTGAGACCTGTCGCGCGAGTGTCGAATACCTGGTCCAGTAGCTTGAGCGCCTTCTCGGGCTCTCGACATACCTCGAAGTATATCACGGCGAGGTCAAGTCGGAGAGGAAGAGCGGCGTCGAGATTATCCAGGAAATCAATGGCCTCTTGGTAGAACTTGACGATGAACTCTTGCTCGCCTGTTTCTGAAGCAATGTCGCAAAAGAGAGCATGTCTCTCTTCACCGTCCTCTGCGTAGTCCGATGCAATCCATGTGATCCTCTCCACAAGACTCCACTCCTTCAGCATCTGGATGTACTGAGCCTTGTCCTTCTTCTCCACGACCTTGAGCTCGTCTACGAGATCTTCACCTGGAGTTATACCGTCGGAGTCACTCTCTTTGGCCTTGGAAAATGATTGGAGAGCAGTGTCGTATTGGCGAAGTTTGCGCTGCGCCCTGGCAAGCGTCGTGTAGACCTTGCGCTTCAACGCCGGAGGAACATCGCCTGTTGATAATCCATTGGCTGCAGTCTGTGCCACTTCGCAGGCCTCCTGTTTCTTCTTCTGTTCAATGAGAAGGCTAGACAAGACGCATGAAGCTCTGTAGAACTCCTCTTCGCCAGGTTTGCAGAGATCGAGAGCAGCGCGGCATGTTTTCTCAGCTGGATCCAGAAGCTCATACTCGTCGAGGACTTCTGCAACCGCCCGATGCGCTGCAGCGTCAGGCTTGATCTCGTCGCCGAAGAGATTCAAGATTCCAAGACTTGCTGCAGTTTCATCGAACTCCTCACTCTCTTTTTCGAAGGCGTCTTTGCCCTCAAATCGATCGGGGAAGTTTATGACGGCTTGATCCATCAACAGTTTTGTCAACTCAGACTAGAGATTCACAACACATTAGTCTCTCTGGTGCAGCAATGGTTACTTGGGGGGATACCTACCACTTGCAAAACGCCATGAAGTTGCTGCCACGAGTCAAATGCGTCTTTCGAGTTCTGCGCCATGTAAAGCCGACGCAGATAACCCTTTGCGATATCCACGCGACAAATCGCCGGATCAGGCCCAACACGCTGCCACCACTCAACGGCAAATTCACTCAGCCCGTCCTTGACGTCCGACTTCTCAAGAAGTCCCGCCCACTCAGCAACCTTGACATTGGTCACAGAACCGCCACCACGCTTCCCATACAGAATACCGCTCTTGGCCATCATCTCAGCGAGGCCTGTTTTGTCAGCCATCGTCTCTGCAAAAGCTTCCAGCACTTCAACCTGCTCTTCTGGCGTGTGCTGGTTCATATCCATTGACGTGAAATGCGATATGAACCATAACGCTGCGTACTTGAGGAGTCCTTCGCATACAGCTTCACGAGGCTGTTTTAGTAGTGCTGCGCTAGTGACGAACATTTTCCGATTTGCTTCTGAAGGTCCCCATCTGAAATCCGACGCGCCGTGAGTGCTATTAGTGAAGTAATGCCTCATGGAGCGCTCCTTGAAGGTGACGGGCAGTGGTCCATCGTCATAGATACTGTCATGTTTATCGTCATCATCCTGCTTCAGGTCTTGGACTGCTGTGGCTTGACTGGCTTGTAGTCTAGCCAGGACCTCTGTATCATAGCCAGGACCACCGATCCTCAGGAACTTGTCGAACAGCTCACGTATCTCTTCAATGTCGAATTCGTTGTCCTGTGCAAGATACTTGACCAGGGACTGGACCTCGGCCAGAGTCAAGAGCCTCTTGGAGAAGGCGACCCAGTGAAGTAACGACGCAGCGACCTCCTGGTGTTTGGGGGGCATGCGGCGCTGACATTCTGCGAGAAGGATCTCATAGATTCCGTGAAGGGTTTTGGGCTTGTCTTGACTCAGAGCACGGAGGACAGCTCCCTCACGGCCCAGATCATCGAGACGGCCTAGAAGATGCTGGGCGTAGAGCATATCTGGTACAGTGTGAGCTAATTTCTCAAGATGAAAGAGGATAGATACTGACTGGGTGAGGCCTCCTCAATGTTGTCGGCGATTCTCTGCTGCACGTAACGACTAAATCGTCTCAAATTATTCAGAGCGTTGATCTCGCTCCAGACCAAAGCTCTGAGATCTTGAATCTGTTTCTTCTTGGTCGCTTCAATTCGAGTCACCTTTGTACCTTCTGGGAGATCATCCAACTTCTCAGGCCTCGAAGTAACAACAAGAGAGATTTTCAATCCCTTCTCGTTAAAGTAGTCGGTCAGAAACAGCTTGAAGTTGGCCCAATCACGAAGCTCATCAAGTCCATCCAGCACAATAAAGAGGTTGAACTTGGAGTCTGGCGCAAAGACAGCACCGAGAAGATGTTCAACGAGGTTTTGCCACAGCTTTGTATCGATGTCAAGGTCGTCTCGAGCTATCTGCGCATTCAGCTTCTCACAAGCTGCATAGTTTGTTTCTGCGATACGATTGATGACCGTGATGACGCCGCAGAGAAGGAAAGCAAAGGCGTCTTCTTGTTCACGGAAGTAAAAGTGCGCTACGCAAGTATGACCTGTCTCATCTTCGCTCGCTCTTTGAGCAAGCTTGTCGTGTAGCGCGGCAGCCATGTGACTTTTACCCGTACCGGGCTCTGATGTCACTGCAAGGATGGGCCGTGTTCCGTCTGGGAGCTTCAGCCATTCTTCCCACTCAGGCTCGGAGAAGAGCCAGCTGCACGAGTCTGGAAGGAGAGTTTCCTTCAGGGCGTGATACTCGTGGTCGTCGTTGAAGACTATGGGCATGGCGTTGCGGATACTGTTGGAAGAGCTCGGTTTATTCGCTTGCGGCTTCTCCATAGTCTTTTCCTTCTTCTGCCCGCCGAAGAGCTTGAGGATCTTGGCAATGTCGCCGCGAATATTCTCTGTGTTCTCATGAATGGTGTCGATGGTATGGCCGACTCGCTCAAGCATTTCTGCATGAGACTTCTGGTTCTCATCAAGTTGCGATGCCATGGCAAGAGTCTCTTCTGTGTTACCGAGGATGGCAAATTCGGTCGCTTGCTGCAAATGATCCAAGTTCTTGTTCATGTTCGCCCGCGCGCCACCAAGCTCTCCGTCGTCGCCTTTGAACAGGTTCGAAATCCATTTCTTGAAGCGACCTAGCTCGATATACTTGTGTGCAAAACCGCACATGGTCAGAAGTGATGTGAATACCTCCATCAGGCAGTTCTGATAAGCCTTGTCTTGCGGCAATCTCTTCTCCAGAATTGTAATCCGACCTAAAAAGCTGTTCATGTCTTCAAAGAAGACAATGACGATATCGTAGTCGGCTGAAACCGATCGACACGCTTGAAGCATGTAGGTCAAAGCGGTTCCAATGGCAGCGGCTGGTGGAAAAGCCGGCGCGGCGGCGGCAATGATTTGGTTCGCGCCTTGTTCGACGAGATCCAGGTTGGAAGAGAACAAGGTCCTCAATCGATCTACCTTGCCCTTGTCGTGCCTGAACTTGTGAAAGTTGTTCATCTGGTCAGTTCCGTAGTCAAGCATGGACTGGACATTGTCGAATTTGCGCTGCAGACCGAAACCGACGATGCTCTCATAGCTCTTGAGAGCTTCCTTCCACAGATCGGCAACATCTCGATCATCATTCTTTAGCTGTTTCTCCAGCTCCACGCGTGCCTTTTTTGCTACCATGATGCGATACGCAACTGCCACTAGGAACAGAAATATTGCAGTGCTAGAAATGACAGCAGGGAGATGTGAAAGAGAGCATGTTTGAGGGCGAAAAGAGAAATTGCAAATGGCTCTGGGGTTGAACAATAAATACGAGGGGTTTATTTGTTGCCTTGCAAGGATTGATGCTCTCGTGCCTCACTATAACTAGAATCCGCGACGCTATTGGTCCAATACTGGACCAGCTGAATGCACCGTCAGCGGGTTTTGTATGCAGTCAGCAATTAACAGCCCATACCAAGGCTTAGCTTATTCATTAGCTTCCACGTTATCATCGATCAACCAGATCGAAAATTGATGCAGTTTTCGGAAACCTTTGCGGGGACATTATCAATTCCATAGTGCCTTTAATAACACCATAAGGTATGGTCTACAATAATCCAGTCAGGATCAAATGATCTCTTCGATTTATGGATTTATGGCCAGTCCCTTCTCTCTGTAGTCACCCAAACCCCTTCTCCAACTTCATCAGGTACGGCAAGTTGCATCAAATAACCGTTGTGCAGAAAATGTAAGAAAATCGCATTGTCTTTATGAAACCTACATCAACCGAAGGCGGTGTGACTGCCAGAGGAAAGATCGGCCCTTTTCACTGCACATGAGGGCTCTTTGTTTGAGTTGGAAGACCGAGGTTACAATATCGTCAGCTTACTTGCAGCAAACAAGCCTGGTGCCTAAACCTTGATTATACTGGCAAATACTACCAGTATTTTCGTCATCAGACCCGGCCAGGACTTCAGCGAACCACACGAGGCACCTCGTTTCTCGGGAGATGGCTATGTGATGTTGCTCTCAGCCGAGCGGAACATCCCGTTGGTTAGCCAATTTGACGTTCGACTCGCCATGGCCATTTGCTTCAAGGGCAGCTAAGATGCAGTACAATGTAGATCAATTGAAGCCGAAAGCTTACCATTTCGATCTCGGATTGCAGGGTCGCGGACGGCAAAGCTACAGTGTTTGTGGAATTTGTTTCTTAAACTTTGAGTGGCGCAAGAGAACAAAGCAAACAGGAACAAACAACAAACAAGTTCCCCTCATAATGTCTACAGAGTGAACTAATGAAAAGGAGCATCATTCGCTGGATTACTCGCTTTCATACTCATTCCACTACGACAACATCATTGACTTCTCAAGACCTCACCATGACGAGCTACTCTCGTACTAACATACACGATGCTGCCGCCTCTCTAGAGCCTCAGATGGACTACATCTGCAAGGTCAGCGGCGCGACTGGACTTTCGTTATCCGTTCTTTCCGGTGGAAACCAAGCGTACGCCAAACATTACGGCTTCCGAGACGTTGCAGGTCAGAATACCCCGGATGGAGATACAACGTACTTCATCGGCTCTGTGACCAAAGGAATGGTGGCAGTCCTCGTGGGCATGCTGGTTGAGGAAGGGAAGCTCGGGTGGTCGACTCGCGTCGCCTCAGTATTGCTCGAGCTCCAAGATGCATTCGAGGGCCGCGGCTCGCAGATCACTATCGCTGATCTCTTATCCCATCGCACTGGAGTGGCGCGTAGCGACGCCATCTGGATTTCTCGGGCCGGGAATATCCTGCTCCCAAAGTCAGAGGGTATACGGACCTGGGCTGCTCAACCTGTCGTTAGAGATTTCAGGACTGACTTTCTCTACAATAACTACACCTACGACGTGGTTGGCCGAATCATTGAGATAATTGAGCAGAAAAGTCTCGAGGATATTTTCAAGGAGAGGATATGGGAGCCGCTGGGCATGCATCGCACGTCTATGGAGGACCTTGCTGGGAATGCCAACACAGCAAAGGCTTATTACGCCCTGGAAGATGCCTCTTCTTATGAAGTTCCAATTCCTACCATATCCCACAAAACCATCATGGGAGCTGGTGGGGCCATTCGGAGCTGCACAAATGATCTGGCCATATACTATAGCAGCTTTATGAAAGCAGTCAATTATCAGTTCAACAACAAAACGACCTCAACCCCAAACTCGCCATTCAAGCAGCTGACTACAATTCTCCGACCTCACAATCAGCTTGGCGTCATCTCTTTGCGCGAGCAGTCTTATGCGCTGGGCTGGGGGCGTGCACAGCTCCCCTGTTCGTTAGGCACTCTCAATTACAACTATCTGCTTATTCCCTCAATGCCAGTAATTGGGCAAGGAGCTCCAAGTCAGCTCACTCTGTATCATGGAGGAAGCATTCAAGGATTCAACACAGCTGTTTACCTCTTACCCGAAACCGAGACGGCCATCATCGCAATACAGAACTCGTCGGGTCTGGGCGATGCATGCGATTGGATTCCTCAGATGATCATGCATAAGCTGTCAGGCAGTACTGAGAGAATCGACTTTCTGCATCTTGCTACTGTGGCTGCGAGAGCGGCCCTATCTCTACCAGAGAAGATTGATGAGGAACTTGAAACGAGACGAGAAAGAGGCACCAGGCATTTGGACCTCAACGCATATACAGGTTGCTACTAGAATGCTCTTCGCAATTTTCGCATCGACGTCAGCGTCTTGAATGGTCGTCTCTACATGACTTTTCAAGGTATTGCGAACGAAACTTATGAGCTCAGGCACTATCATCATCATTCATGGACATGGAATGTGTCACACAATGAGACTGCGAAGCAAGGACGATATCCAAATAGACCCTGGATATCATACATAATCGAATTCGATTGTGGGAAGAACAAAGAGGCTCAGGCGTTGCTCTGGAAGTATGATGAGGAACACCCAGAGCCGAGTGTCTTCGTATTAGAGGAAGGGTCACGCCGAGCTGAAGATAGAAATTGAAGGATGCAAGAATCTTAGCTGAATAGCAATCTCATAACAGCGTAACAAAAATCGTAATTGTGTCCTATCCAATTGACTCCCCTTTTCATGAATAAACTACCGACCACTCTGACCTAGATGGAGAAAAACCATGTGTCGTGTGCCATGCTATGCCCAAATCTCATTAAGTTCGTTCGCTCAAACAGCACTGTCGTACTTGGCCTGATGGACCGCCGGGGTCTTTGCGGCATGGACAGAAACCATCTCATCATGGACAGTCTTCTCACTGACGATGGCGGCTCCCACCATTGCATGATCTGCGCCACCAAACAGTACATCCATATGCTCCAATGGCACGCCCTTAGTTTCAGGAATGCAGAACCACACAAATGCAAAGAGTAGGATATTAATAGCACCAAACATATACATAGCGTAGCTGCGAAAAGAGTTACTACATTGAGATTCCAGGTAGACTGGGGGTGACTTACAATCCTTTGGCAGAAAGAAAAATGGGAAAGATTTGTTCTGCATTCTCTATTAGTTATAGGCTTAGGGAAGACGAAAAATGGGATACTTGCGTAGAATGATGCTCGCGATAGACTGGCACTGAGTGGTCATAGCAACCGCCTGCGCACGAATGTTCATGGAGAAGATCTCTGACGTCCAGATCCACACCGTCGCACCCCACGAAGGTTTAAAGAAGAATGCGAAGAGGAACATCAAGAAGACTGTCGCGATGCCTACACTGGGAGACTTGGATCCATCCTCCAAAGTTGGCGTCTCGGTAACCACGGCTGCGGCTGCAAACATGCAGACTGCTAGGCCCGCAACACCAACGAGGAGGAGAGGTCTTCGGCCCACGAGATCTGTCATCCAAGTGGCGTTCAGAGTGAAGAGGATGTTGAAGGTTCCAGCTAAGGCGTTGATAAGCTGGATCTGGCTGTTTGAAGTAAAGACCTTTTTGTAAATGATGGTGGAGTATGTTGCGAGGGAGTTGTTTCCGGTTAGTTGTTGTCCAATATTCATAGTAGCCGCGAGGACTAGCGAGGTTAGGTATTGAGCATGCACAGGGACAATGAGACCTACGAATGCGCTTTCTCACAGACTTATCCGTCCACAGCAACTTGTATCGGGTCCAAGTGCTGTTTGTTTCTTTCTTTTCAAACGCAATGGCTTGTCGTATATCTTGCATCTCTTGGGCAACAAGGTCTGGGTCGTCGCGGATCTGCAAGAGACTATTGTATGCTTCTTCGAATCTGTCGTTCTGGACATACCTATAGTTTGGTGAGAATCAGGTTCAAAAAAGCATTTCGTCACAGTAGGGTTCCAAACGCGTACCATCTTGGGGTCTCAGGGCAGAAGAAAAGCCCAGAGATGATGATGATAGGAAAGAAGATTTGAAGGAACATGACGGTCCTCCAATCCCATTCTCCGAGCCTCTCGGCGTTCTTGGAGCATGCGTAGTTGATCCAGTACGCGAGAAAGGATCCTATAGCAAAGTTGAGCTGCCAGAAACTCATGATAGTGCCACGTAGTTTGGCTGGTGCTATCTCGTTGATAAAGACCGGTCCGGCCGGCAGCATCAGTCCCTGGCCGAAACCGGTGATGGTACGACCGGCGATGTAACCGCCGATAACGGGAGGTGTAAATGTCGAAATGAACGTTGAGATGATGACTAGTACAGCTCCCGCCCACATACTCCATTTGCGACCGAATCGGTCAGAGACCAGAGCAGACAGAAAAACGCCTGGCGGTTATAAGCATCAAGCCGCTGACACAGAGTGATGGACAAGTACCTGTAATAATGCCGCTTACGGCCATAGCGGTATTGACCGAGCCGATAGTGGATGGAGACTGGGGATTGAAAGTTTAGATACGATACATCTATAGAGTTGGTAGGAGAAGCTCATACGGGGTTGTTGAAGTAGTTCATGAAATGAACTGATCCCTGCACGGCGTTGAACGTAGAGGAATCATAGCCATTGACAGCCATGCAGGTGCAAGGAATGAGGCAAGAGAACCAGAGGTTCGCCTTCTTCGAGTTGAAGAGCATAGTGGGCAAATTGATGCCTGAGTTACTGTGAAGAACAATGAGAAGGTTGTTGAGAAGAGCAAGGTCGTCGGTTGAATGAGGTTTGGCAATTTATCTATAGATATTCCGGGGACGGGGATCCACAATCAGGGCAGGGTCTAGAAGGTCATTGTCTGGCAGGTCGGTACGTAGAGTCCCGAGCTGGACAAGAAGGGTTTAGCAGCGGCCGCCCTATACCGTTGCTCTGACCATGCATTTCAGACCCTGCATCTGCACCTACAAGGTTAAACACTCTCACTAGCTGCTATTTCCGAACTAGTTCTCATGCATCCGAATGTGAAATATCGTTAGTCAGCGGATTAAGTAACTGGGCATGCCACAACAGCCTTTCCCCTCTTTTTTTCCCCGTGATTTCACCTCATCACAGGTCCAATCGAAAGCAGCAGCACCATGAAACTCCCTACAGCGTGCACCAGGTGCAGAAGGCGGCGCAAAAAGTGCTTCCGGACGAAGCCTGAAGGCCCCTGTGATGCCTGTGCCAAGAAGCAGAATCATCAGTGCTCGCTCGTCCAGCCACGACCTGTCTCTCCCCAGCCACAGCATATCTCGGTCGAGGATCTAGATCCACGGGCTTGTCTCTCGCATGACCTCATTGAAGAACTTGTGGAGAATTATATTTACTATATACTTGACAGGCCTCATACGCTCTTTCATCTTCCCACGTTGCGGACTGCAGTGAGAGAAGATACGTTGGGAGATGCCTTGCTGTCAGCTATACTGGCGTTTGGCTGCCGGTTCCATGATAAGCCTGAGATAGCATCCCTTGGACCTGCTTTCATGGAAAAGTCTAAACACTTACTGAAGCTGGATATGGAGAACATTTGTCTGGAGAATATCCAGACCTGTGTGTTGCTCGCAAATTTGTCATCATCCTCAAAGAACCCCGAATCTGAGGCTCTGTTTGTTACTCTTGGCATTCGTATGGCTGAAATTCTTGGCTTGGATCGTCCGGACTCGGAGGACTCTGAGGTTCTACGTGAAACAAAATGCAGGGTATGGTGGACACTATTCATGGCTGACCGTTGGAGTTCAGTTGGCCGCAACCTCCGTCGCGCGATGCCAGACTTTAGTCAGGAGACTCCCCTACCGATGGATGAAGACTACTTTCACCACCTGGATGTCGACCAAGGTAGTGGTGAGAGATCGCCTACGCGCCCTCGTACCCTAGGGCTCTGGGCATACAACATCATGCTTGCAAAACAGCTCGGGCCCATCCGGGACTTGAATAAGCAGTGGAATCAAGAGGGCATCTCGGAAGATTACGTGATGCAGCGCGTCGCAGATCTAGCAGAAGGCCTACAGCTCTGGGAAGCGGGACTTCCCGAGGAGAAGAAGGCAACAGAGGACAACCTTCGTGCACACAGTGCCAAGAAACTTGGGGGGCCGTTCCTCGCCATACATACAGGCTACCACCAGCATTTCGTGCTCCTGCTGTTCCGGTTCCTGGACCTCAATCGGGTGCAGACCCCCAAGACGATCGAGTACGCCGAGCTCTGCAAGTATCACGCAAGGTCGATTAGCGAGCTGGTGAAACTGTCCCGCCAAGTTCCGAACTGCGCGATGGTCTTTGGGGGAGTGGGCTACATGACAGTTGCCTCTTCAGCGGTACTCCTGCACACGCTCATTTTTGGGCAGCAGGATGACACGGCTGATATCCGAGCCAAGCTGGAGTCCAATTACGAGACCATCTATGCGCTGCAAAAATACTGGCCTTCGATTCAGAACTCGGTCAGTAGAGAAACTGGTGTTAGTGGTTAAATTCTGACGAGCGCAGGTAAAACGACTCGAACTGTTTCAAAAGACTTGTACGAGGCCTGCTGCGATGCAAACCTACAAGTTCGACAAGTGGATGGTGAGGTTTTTGGTGGAACACCACTTGCCACTGGATGAGCCTGAAGGGGATCTATCGCCTGGTGCGGTATAACATAGCGTTTAGATTGCATAGTGAATATTTGCACTGATAACGGCGTATATGGTAATGAATTGTGGGATTTCTTTCTTTGTATATTCTTCGCGTCGTTTCGTTGGGTCGGTCGTGCTGGTAGCTCGCGGAGAGGAGAAATGCGAGACGCGAGGCAGCGGGACGTCTGACCATGATATAAAGCGATAAAGGCGGCATATTTATCTTTTCGGGCCGTATCACAAAGTCCCACTGATAGCAAACAATAGAAACTACTGAATTCTCTAATCAATACGCTAACCTACGCATCGTGAATTGCGCACCCTATAGCACCTAGTTTCTTGTGTCGACGTCCCCATAACTCAGAGCTAATTCCCGGGGGCTAGAACTCGACTAGTCCGCAAGCGTTATCCTGTGTGTGGGGTCGACGTCGGGATTCGCTTGTATAACCCGACGGCTGACAAGTGTCGGGAATCGCTCCAAGACCGCCGCAGCAAGCTCACCGTCGGGATTTACAGGCTTAGTCCGACGGCCACAGAGCGTCGGGATACGGCGCAAGACCGCGACACAGTGGGGCGGCTGAAAAACAGACATCTTCTGGTCTTGAGTCGTGACATGGATCTATTGGTGGGTTTGATGATGTGGACAGGGGGCACGATGCCGGAGCAGACATTCCTCCCTCGGGAGTCCATACACGCCAGCACGTGATGCACACTACTTCTCGTCACACCAGGCGAGGTCCTTGCGAAATGAAGGTTTCAATAACGCAGCCAGGTGGCGTGGACATCAGCTTCAAGAATTGGATCGCTTGTTACGCCCGTTGCGAACTGTCAACTGCACTCGGCTGGTGCATTGACATAGCAGGTGGAGGCGAGGAATGTCACGGATGCGGGGCCCCAGTTGCAATTCTCTACACCACAATCTCTTCACGTGTTGAGTAATTAAACAGCGTTGTTACACAAGGTGTCTTGACAACTCAACAAGGAAACCCCATGTCACTCTAAGCATCTAGACCTTCTCAGAACTGCTCAAAAAAACGTACGCAATCAGATAACGAAAAAAACCTAACGGATAATCCCGTTGCATATCCCACTAACTCATGCAGTCAAAGACCCAACCCCTGCCCCGACAATGTCGTATAGCGAGGTCACTAACCTGAATCGTCTGGCTTGAAAAAGTCCCCCCTCTGCCAGCCCTAAAATTTCCCCAAGACCAGAATGCCGCCATCCCTGTAACTTGGCAGCTTTTGTAGTCAAAGCCACAGTCATGACGGTATTAACTGGGGGATTCACTCCATATTGTGTAACCTCCTGTCTTAAAATAACATCTTCAGCTTTTTCTTTTCTCTTTGCGTGTTAGGACCTGCCCCCAACTAGCGGTTAATTAGCCTGCAGCCTGAAACTCAAGGGTTAAATAGAAAGCTGTCTTACATAAAACGTTAAATAGCACTCTCCCCTTTCTTGTTCATACCAAGACTCTGTTTCTCCCTTTATGGTATTTGCCTCAAAATCTATATCTCACACTATATTGCCAAGAGAACCTTCTATTGACTACACCTACCAGCCTTCACATCTGGAGTCATTCTCATCATTCGCAGCATACACACGCCACCATGAGTCCCTCATGCAGATCTATCAAACCTCGCTTCACATCACTCTCACCAAGCCCTGAAATCACAGAAGGGGTAAAAAAGGCGGATAGAGCCTGCGAAAAGTGTACACGTACCAAGAAGAAATGCGATAAATCATTATCCGGTTGTTCGCGCTGTAAACGGTATGTAGAAATCCATCCAATTTCAAGAGCGCAGTATCTAACTAGTCAGGCTCAGGAACAAATGCTGTTATGACTATGTGTATACTCCTTCCGTCACAACAGTCATAAGACCGGAGCATGCCATAAAATCTCCACCTCACATACCGGGGACGCTCAAGCCGTTCCTCGATATTTCCAGCTCTATGATTTTAAGCCTACTTTCTTCACGGAACGCCATTCCGAGTCATTCAGTTCAACATTACTTGGAGACTATAAACCCATACCTTACTATCGTTCATCCAGAACTCTTCGCTTTGCGCACCAATATTACTGGTTCCGACTCATTTTCCGACCAAGAGCTTCAGGACCCTGCGACTACCCTTCTGGTTGTATGCATGCAGCTCTTTTCTCAAAGCGATATTTCAGGTATCAAAGGAGACGAAAATGCTGACAGGGCTGTCTATCGGTCCGCCAAGCAAATATTGAGCGTCCTGCGAGCCATTGATAGCCCAAGTATCGAGCTTATTCAGTGTTCCATTCTGCTCGCATTCTATGAGTATACCCATGAGGATCTGGGGCGTGCTTACCTCAGTATTGGAGATGCTAATACCATGGCCTTGATTCTACACGTGGGCCCTGGAAAATACCTCGAGGACGAGCGGGAAGCTTTGATTCCTTACGAGGAGGAAGAAAGGCGCTGTGTCTACTGGAGTCTCTTCGTGCTCGATCGGCTAGTCCAAACGGATTATTCTCTTCTTCAGATGCCGCATCAGATACCGCCTGCAGTTGTATCTCCTCCCGCGGCCGATGACCTTCTACCGACGAACCATTTACTTTGGTACGATGAGAGTCAGTCGCCTTGCTACGTCACGCAGCGATACCCTGCAGATACGGATTTCTCGGTGCCTGTCGGGCCTTTTCAGAGGAATTGTCAGTACGCCATGCTCTATACTGGAATATCTCCCCCTCAATCCCCTGTAGGTCCTACGGCCTTTGACTTGGGAAATCATACTGCCACGGCCTCGGTGTTACCTATTAGTAATCTAGACCTATAGGCGCTATTTTATTTCACGACCTTGTATGTTCTATCATGAATTTGGCTTATTTTCGATGTGTTATGGTTTGGCGCTTGGAGTCATTATTCCTCTAGGATATCCTCTCAAAGTACACTGGCATAACACCAACTTGCAAACCCCAATTAACTCCGTTCACCGTCCCCAACTCATCATGACGATGAAAGCTGAGAATGAATTGATCCCATTTGAACCAATCAATGAATTCCCGAACTATGAATTCCTCCCGTGAAGAGGGCAGAAATCCCAGCCTGTCTCCAGCAAGGTGAGTCAACCGATGGTGCTGTGACGAGACATTATTGACTACCATAATCAAGCTTTTACTTGTGTTATGTCTGATATCCAACGTCATCTTCAACCCTGAATTCACATACTTGCCCACATAATCCTCGAGATGAGCATTAAACCGCTTTTCTTTGCTTCTCTCCTCATTCCGAACATACTCAAAGTCTGCTGCCAGACGGGCATATCTATCATACTCTGTCTTAGCTCTCTTTTTTGATACTTCAGCGAAGTCGATCGGCGGCTGAAGATCAAACATGGTCTGCGCAATAGCTTGCGCAGACCAATCCGGACCATCCCCCAGGCCATGAGAATTCCCCAATGCCACTATAGCCGAATTTGTCTCTGGAAATAGGTAGAAGGCCGCTAGGTATCCCGACATACCGCCATTATGATACAGAACAAGTCTAGGTCTTGATGTTCGACCAATTACGTGTTCTCGCTGTGGGCCATTGAGAGAAAGCATGCCTAGCTCTGTTGATGGAATCATGGCGCGAGCAAACCCAAGGCCGTATGTATTCTCGCCGATAGAGGATATCGTGATGTTGGTTTTGTGTGATACGATGGTCGGTACCTCTTTGAGAACCGAAGGCTCGTGGTGAATCGCGGCAAGGAGAGCTTTGGCCCACTTCATCAGATCTGATACATTAGACCAGACACCTCCAGCTGGTCCCATAAGAGTATTATCAGCGGCTGTGTCAACTCGCTTTTGCCGATGTAGAGAGTAGTCATCGAGGACAACATGGGGTTCCGCGACATTGTCGTCTGGTAACTTCGTTCTGTTTGTGACAGTTCGATGCATTGCGATGGGCTCTAGGATTCTCCCCTTCAGAAAGTCGTACCAGGGCCGACCTGACTGTTTCTCAATTCCTAAGCTAGCCACGGCGTACATGTAGTTGTTGTAATGAAAGCCGCTTCGTAGGTCATGAACCGGAGGTAGATGGCTTACAACGTCGAGCAAGTCTTCCTTATCAAGGATGTTTTCGCATTCTACCCCTAGCCATGTAAGGTCCATATGCGCTAGCCCAGTACCATGTGAGAGTGCATCTTGAACAGTCGCTCTTTCACCAATGACAGGATCCACAACACTGCGGAAAGAGGTGTAGCTCTGCAGAGGCTTTGCCCACTCCAACTTTCCTTCATCAACAAGGATGCCGCAACATGCAGCGATGAAAGCTTTCGTGAGCGAACATAGGAGATAATTCGTCTCAGAATCAGCGGGCGCTTGTGACTCCACGTCGCGAAACCCACGGCTTCGAGTGAAGATTACTTCTCCGTAGTGAAGGACGCCGATGCTGATTGAAGCTGACCGAGTGTTGTCCTGGATTTGATCGAGAGTAGGACACAAAGCTTCGATTCTAATGCGGGGTTTAGTAAAACTATACTACTAATAGCGAATGAGAAGCTGTGGTTGTCCTACCTAGATCGCACAGCGTCCGAGTCCACGTCAGCGGCCATGGTGTTCTGTTATGACCTGTTCAATTGATGAGGCAATTGTTTCCATAAAAAGCTCAAGCAAGTAGATTTACAATTGAGTCATTATTCAGAAATCCAGTCACTTGCTCTCGGACCACGTCGGTCGGACTCGCGATATACTTTGTCGACAGCGCCACGGTATGTAGGTAACGTTGACTGCTCAACTCTATGTCATCCCCCTTTCGACTAATTTTCCATAACCTTTGTTATATCTTGCAGAGTTCATATGTTACAAGAAGGTATTCACTTACATCTTCTGCTTCAGAATCTGACCACGCTCATCCACATCGTAGCTAGTGAATCAGAAAGCATCATGAAGCGGAGAACAACTTACTAACCAAAAACGTTCTCTCCATCTCCTCTTAAAAGCCACAGAGGGCCATGCAACCGTCTTTGCCAGGAATACCTGAGGCGTTGGCTACGAGAGTTTCTGTGACGGCTTGTCTGAATCCATCCGAGTCACTAGTCCCATCTGCACGTTCCTGGGCTGTGTTTAATGCCTAGACTGTGTCACCCTCGAAATGGCCACGATAGCGACCGATAAAATCAGATGCCTGTTAGGTAATGATACGCTCTTTGGACAAGAGACCCAGTCCAATGATGATGTTGGCGTAGAGACTTTCAATTGTTGTCTTGTCGACACCTGCGCGCCGAAGAAGTATCTACTATGGCTTATGGGCAGTAGCTCTAGACTGCGGAGTTGCTATTGGTAGTCAATCTCTGGTATTGATTCTTGGATATTCGCTGAATATTTATAAGTATAAGAATATCTAGCTCTTTATACTTCTCAAATCAACTTTGATGGAAGATGACTGAAGTCCTTTGCTTTCAGCCTTAATTGTGAATGACCCTTTGCCCTTATACTTTCCCCGAACAATTGCCAATACCAATCCGCTGAATGCATTCCTAGTCTTAGAGGGAAAAGGAGTGAAATCGGCGGGATATCCGTTATCTGTCGCAACAATTTCCCCTGACCCTTCGACAGAAAACACAACGCTATTGTTAGCATTCGGTACGGTTCTTCCCATCGAATCTGTAATGGTTCCCTTCAAGAAGACCAGGTCCTCGCCATCGGCATCAATCACCTCTCGGTCTTTCTCCAGCCTAATTTTCGCAGCATCGCCTGCAGTTTCAGTTTTCTGAGTGGCCCACTGCTTTCCATTCTTATATACTACCACTCTTACTTCACCGGGCTGATAAACAGTTTCGTTCCATCGAAAGCGATACTGTCCAACCTTCCTCTCCACCCGACCCTGCGACCTACCATTGATGAAAAGCTCAGCTTCGTCACCTGAGCTGAATACATGTACAGGGGTCCTCTTCCCAATACGGTCAGGCCAGTTCCAATGAGGTACGATGTGCGCAAAGGGCAGATCTAGTCGCCATCGAGATTGGTACAGATAGAATCTCTCCTTGGGAAACCCTGCTAGATCAATGATACCAGAATACGCGCTGCGCGCTTCAGGCCAAGGCGGCTCTCCCAGGTAGTCAAAACCAGCCCAAGTGAACCCGCCCGCAACGAATGGATGCTCATCTTGAGTCTTGAAAACCCTGTCCGCAGACGACCCTGCATCGGCGGAGTACAGTTCGTATCCACTGATTTCCAGTCGATCGTAGTTGGCACCAATACTCTGGTTGATGGGCGAGCTGTCGTAAGGCGTGACTGGAAATGTGAAGGTACCACGGGTGCTGAGGGACCATCCAACCTCACTACCCAAGATGAGTTTTTTGCTAAAATTGCCGTGGAAGTTGTCGTATTGCCCAGGTCGAGCCCGAGAACGGTTAAGATGTTCATATGCAGGCCCCCAACGAATACCTTCACCCTGATAATTCAGGCTGATAACATCATAAATCTGAGGCAATGTCTCATTGGGAAAACCGACGTTTAACGATCCAGTAACTGCTCGTGAGCTGTCCTCTTCATAGACAATATTCTTAAGATACTCGGCAATACGTGTTGAAGCTGGAACGTCATGCAGATTTTGTTCCATGACTTCATTACCAACACTCCACATAACCACAGAAGGATGATTTCTATCTCTTCGTATGAAAGAGCGAAGGTCAGGCTCGCGCCAGTCCTTGAAGATGAGGTGGAAGTCAGAGGGCACCTTCTCGATCTCCCAAACATCAAAGATCTCATCGACAACCAGAAACCCCATTTTATCTGTAAGCTCGAGAAGTTCTGGTGCTGGTGGGTTGTGTGCCATACGGATTGCATTGACGCCAAGTTCGCGGAGCATCTCCAGCTGTCTCTTTGCGGCGCGGTAGTTGAAAGCTGTCCCGAGAGCACCCAGATCATGGTGCTGATTGACCCCATGTATATACACCTTTTGATCATTGACATGTAATCCATCATCGGGTGTAAGTCGAAGTGCACGGATTCCAAATTCTGTTTCATACTCATCAAGTAGCTCACGACCATCAAAGAGACGTGTGACAGCGGTATAGAGATTCGGCGACTGCCCAGGTGGTGGTCCCCAGAGCTTGGGGTTAATCAGTTTGACGCTCGCAGTAGTTGTTTTACTAGCATCTGGTGTTGTTTGGATGACTCTTTCGGGGAAAGATGCAACTCTTCGACCTCGCGCTCCTGAGTCTAGGCTGTTCTCGAAGATTTCTGTTTGTACCACCACTTTTCGTTCTTTTTGTCTATGGCTAACAGCCTTGACCTCGATTTCGATAACAGCGGAGTGAGAAGACACATTCCTAGTAGTGATATGTGTTCCCCAGTGAGCGACGTGTGTCTGTCCGACCTTGGTAATCCACACATTGCGGTATATCCCGGCTCCGGGGTACCAGCGAGATGAACGAGCAGTAGGATTCTCCACACGAATTGCCAGCTGATTTTCCCCCTTTTTTAAATAGCCCGTAAGATCGAGACGGAACGAGTTGTAGCCGTAGGGCCAGCCTCCTAAAAGTTTTCCATTAAGCCATACCATAGGATATGACATGGCGCCTTCGATGTCCAGATAAATAATCTTTTTAAGGTCACCAGAGTTCATCTGAACTACTTTTCGGTACCATCCTACCCCTTGGATAGGCAGACGTCCCATATCTCCAGGAATCACTGGATCTTCCTCGGTGTAGAAGGGACCACTTATAGCCCAATCATGCGGAACTTCAACATCCTGCCAGTCGCTATCATTGAACTTGGCATGTATATATGGAATATCCACCTCCGGATCATATTTTGGTCTATCATGTTGGTGGTCGGGACTTTTGATGAAATTGTTACCGGTTGGCAAGATCCAATCTTTGAGGACATAAAGATCTGTTCCATTCGCATCAGGGCGGTAGTCGTATACCACAGTATCAGGGTTTGATTCGGATCGCCAGAATCGCCAGCCGTCTCTGAGCCGGAGTCGCTCTCGTACGTGAGGCACCTTTGGCTCGTAACTGCAAACGGCCGGAGAAATGAACAAGGCAAAGAGCAGGATCCAGACAGTCGCTGACTTGATATTACAGCCTAGCATTATGTTGCGCTTAAGCATGTTTAATAAGTCAAAAAGATGATAACCTCCTAGAACTGAGATTGGTGAATTAGAGGAGTTTTGTATTATTTATCTATGGCGAGGTATACAGCGTCTCTAATTTAGCCAGAAAGAGGGACATTTCAAAGAGGGGTTTTAGCCTATATGATAAATATGTAATATTTTATGAAATCTTTATTAAATCTAGGACTGCCTAGTATTGCAGATCACTGGAGCAGCATTGTTCCACCACTAAGCGCTACTTCCATTTTTGCGGGGTTCTACTTAAGATGTCGACGAAGCTGAGTTACCCCTCGTCACGAGTTAAAGATTGTGTTGCATCGGGAAAAGATCTGAGGGAAAGGGCGCCGATGAACAGAGGGCGCTGGGCTGTTGATTCTTAGAAATTAATTTTGTGAATTAACACAAGGACTTGCAGTAATCGCGCTTAGGACACTTTATATAATAAGCTAATCCCCTGACTTTCGGTGATCTTCAACCGGGGGCCATGCTGCTATTCTTCTTGATTGTAATGCTTTTATTCTTTTCTTCGCAGAATTGAAGGTTCTTCCTTGGCTTGAAAAGACGGTGATATGCATGGCATCGAATAGCTTAGAGAGCCCGATTACAAACCCATAGAATCTTGATCCTAACACACTATCTAAATCTCTCGTTACTCTATCAGGGCTGATTAGTCATGCCGAGCATAACTGGAGTTTACAGCGCTTCTGTCTTCCGCAGTTGGGCGTCTGAGCGCAGGGAAATGGGAGCACCCGAATGCCCTATAAGGTTCAGTGGAGCATCCCTGTCAGGTACATCCAACCAGCGTCCACCGTGTTTTAACGTAGCGAGGTCTGCACCGGCATCTTATCGTTGCACCAAGACCCATAAGCCGACTTCGGCATTTCCTAGATTCACCGCAGCCTGGGCATGAGTGTTTGTGGTTTGAGTTTGTGTCAAGATGCCGAGAGCCGATTCCAGAGATCCGATACCACTGGTTCAGCGGTGAACTATCGATTGTGGCACGCCATCTCTTGCCCAGCCATATTACTGCTTGATCCCTTTGTGCCATTCAAATCCCAACTGTTTACTGCAGTAAATGAACAGATACGGAGATACTAACAAACATTGGCATCAATTTCCAAAACAGATCGGCACTGCATCAAAAATCTTACGTGGCCTGCAGTCTGACGAACGCCACCTTTCAGCATCTCCTCTTCAGAGCGATCACTGTCTTACTCACAGTCAGTTAATTGGCGCTCAGACGTACGTCTCTACTCACCAAAGTCCCAGGGCTGATCCTGTCATACCAATAAATTGCCTTGGCATTCTCACATCAGATTTTAAAGGGGCTCTAGCGAGGCCCCAACTGTGCAACCAACCTCGTAATGCTAGCCCTGTAATTGGAGCACCTCTCAATTGCGGCTTACCATCGTTGAAACCATCTAACCTCTTTAGGGGTCGCTAGCAAAAACGTTGAATTAATTGTCTCAGTTTGTTGTCTCCGTGTTGACTGTCTTAAAAATGGCCTTGGCCCGCTTTGACTGTGACAAGCTGGGTCTGTTCATCTTCGTGACATCTCGCAGTGAGAAATTGCAGACATGTCGTTGCTTGACGCTCTAGACTCGTCGTCCACGAGGGTCTTATTAGGATGTCTCCTATTAGCACGCATCGCCTACACCCTCTACCGCTCGATGCTACCCCGTCCCTTAGCGGACATCCCCTATAACGTCTCGGCGACCAATCGTATCCTGGGCGATCTCCCAGACGTCAAGGCATTCGGGAGCTTGACCGACTGGTTAGCGACGCAGGCCATCAAACACCAATCACCATTATTCCAAGCTTTTATCCGTCCTTTTGGAAAGCCGTGGGTTGTTGTCGCTGATCATTATGAGGCCGCTGAGATTTGCACGCATCGAGTGAAGGAATTTGATAGAGGGACATCTAGTACTGCTATTTTTAATTGTGTGGTGCCGGGTGCGCATATCACGCTTACGAGTTCGGATCCGCAGTTTAGGAAGAATAAGGAGCTTGTGAGAAATTTGATGACGCCGTCGTTTTTGTCAGAGGTGAGATGAGAGTATTGGTTCATGGTCAAAAGACTGATTTAAGCAAAGGTATCTGCGCCCGAAATTTACGACAAGTTTTCTCGTCTGGTTGAGCTCTGGGGTATGAAGACTGAGCACGCCAATGGCCAATTCTTCTCAGCCTCAAAGGACGTACACAACGCCGCCCTTGACATCATCGTATGCGCAGCTTTTGGTCTCGATACTCAACATACCCAGCTCGTCAAAGAAATTCAAGAGCTCGCCCCAGACAACACTACCTCCTCAACTAAGATAGGCGGCGAAATCGCTTTCAAAGAACTCCCTCTCAACGAAGAGCTCAACGCCCTGGCCACTGTCGCCGAGAGTGTCGCTAAGATCATCAAGACACCTTCACCGCCGCTGTTCCACTGGATGTATCGAAGTTTTTCGACGACATTGAAGAACGCCTTTGTCCTTACCAGGCAGTTGCAGGAACGAGAAATCGCCAATGGCATTAAGCGAAGAGCGAATGGAGAGGCCATGAAGTGCGCGCTTGATGAGATCTCGGTTCGAGAAGAGGCATTAGCGAAGAAGGAGGGTAGAGAGCCTGATTACTACTCTCAGGTCATCACTAGTGAGGTGAGTTCATAGAATCCTTGATCCAAGCAATGATGCTGACTCTCTCATAGATGATGACATACTTGATCGGCGGCCATGAAACAACCTCCTCGGCTGTACGATGGGGCCTAAGCTATCTCAGCGTCGAGCAGAGAGCCCAGTCCGAACTTCGCAACGCGCTTCAACGAGCTTATCCCCAAGCTAAATCTGAGCGACGTGCCCCTTCACTCAGTGAGATCATCCAAACGCGCGTTCCTTACCTAGATGCAGTCGTTGAAGAGATTCTTCGTTTATCATATCCTTTTGGAATGACTCTACGAGAAGTCCAGGTCGATACTCAGATCCTCGGTGCACGTGTACCAAAAGGTACAACAGTTGTCTTCTTATCGAATGGTCCGAGCATATTATCACCTCCAATTGACTTCGACGAGTCACGAAGTAGTGAGTGGGTAAAATCTCGCAAGCCAAAGCCTTTGGAGAAGGATTATGACTACTCGAGCTTCAAGCCTGAGAGATGGCTCAAGATGGCTATTGGCCCGGATGGAAAGGAGGACGTAAGCTTTGATTCTCAGGCGTTTCCCATACAAGCCTTTGGACTAGGTCCGAGAGGTTGCTTTGGAAGGAGGATGTCGTATCTGGAGATGAAGATCTTTTTCACTCTTGTCATCTGGACATTCGAGTTGTTACCGTTGCCAGATGAAGTTGCGAGACCTAAGCCAGTTTCGTCTTTGACTAGGAACCCTGATAGAGTGTTTATCAAGCCGCGGAAGGTATCGTTGTAGAGGGGATGATAGAATGATTTAAATAGATATAATGTAGATGGACTATTATGCTATGCTAATGCAGCGCTTTATGCTCCTAAGCTATTCCGATGCAGACCCATGAAACAGCGCCAATGCCGATGCCGAGCAAAATGATGGAACGCATAGATCTTCCAAACGCAATCATCTGGATGTCCCTGTCTCGCTCACACTCCCAAACTTTCTATCAACCTTCGCCGGACTAGGTTCGCTCAACAAACCCCCCGTATCATGCAGGACCAAGTCATCCGGTTCAACCAAAGTAGTTCCATCAGTCCGCGACATCTTGATAGTCGCCAGAGATCTTTGAACAAAAATTCCCTCTGTGCTACTGCTCGAGCTTTTGGGTAGAATGTTCCATGACCGTGCTCGTGCTGCGATAGCGCGGAAGATTGGCTGCATGTGAGGCATACAGGCTACCAAGATGCCTACCCCACTTTCGATATTGGACCATACGACGAAGCCTTGTGCGTCGGCTGTTGTTTGGCCGTTAGAGTGAGATTGGTGAGAATGGGGAATACGTACATGATGCGTTCAATGTTCTTGTGAAATCGAGTAGATAAGGGATGCGGATACAGCTGGCTGCAATGAGACTAACGAACGTTAGATAAACGACACAGGTCGTAAATGAAAGGCTTACAATATTCCAACGCCAAAGATCACCATAACGCCAGCCTTCTTTTTTGGTTGAAGCCCCAGAGAATACAATTGCGTCAATGGCAGCGCAAACATCCAAATATCAAGAGCAATGTTGACGCCAGCGTGAAAGAAGATAATTGCAGGGATATTGAGTGTGATCCCGCGAGGTGGATACTCCTTCCATCCATCCCAGAGCAAGTGAATTGGCTGTCGCTGCAGTGCGCCGCATATGGTGACGATGATAGTCGTGACGATGTTGAAGGCGATGGTGCACTTGATGATCAATCTGAATTTTGGGTCTGGGAATGTTCGGAGGACGAAATACAGTATTGAGAGTTTGATGAGACAGAGACTTAGGACGTAGGCGTATTGAACGACGAGGAGGTACTGTATTTGTTAGTCGAGGCTGACGGGCAAGTGTTTGGACTTACTATGTGGAACGTGGTAATCGTACTGTCGTCCAGTGTCCAGATATTCCGGCCCAAGCCTGCAAATGTCACTGTGCAGAGTCAGTAATCAGCGGGTTAGACATTTCCATAATTGGGGACTCACTCAAGCCCATAATGATGCATTGAACTCCAGTAAAGACCTAAGACGTTAGTAAACCAGTATGACGCATGATGAATATCCTTACCGAGGCCGCGATGATGAGGTAATCGTCAGCACCCCATTGTGAAAAGCGATACGATTTCGTGACAGTTCGAAGGACGATAGAAAACACCGCTATGCCAAGGATCGTGTAATTGATACCCCTAATGTTGTGATCATTGTCGAGCTCTGGTCTGCCGCAATTTGTCTGCTCAAGCTTGAGAAAATCTATCCATCCACCGTCAATGTGAGTAGTCTGATCCTTGCAAAGCCAACCTTGGGAAGCTCCTACCGAATAAGTCTCGTATCGGGCATGCTGTGTGGATACAGCTGGCTACCGTATTGCTGAGTCTGTGATCATCGCATATTCGCTCTTTGTTGTCTGTCGAAAATGTCGGCTCATCAACGAATTGCGAGAAACATTTGATCTACAACTGATTAATCAATCCATAGCGCGAGATAGACAGGGAACACGCACGGCACATTGCGACGCGTCTTCTAGCCGTTGAGCAGTAGTCGGCGAGCTAGCGCCGACTTGCTGGAATACACACGGTAAAATGAGAATGAATAAACGTAATATCGCGAATAGCTTCATGGTGGTCTACCTCGCAGGCGAAACATCGAGATGAAAAGCACCCAAGAACTTAAAACCCGCCGTAAGACGGGGTACACTTGTCTCATTAAGAATTCAGGGGCACGGACTAAGGCGGTTTTGCTTTGTCGACGCTAATCCGGGCGTACCATGTCTATTGGTCTGGATTAGACGAGATCTTCGTACTCTGAACCAATGGACCGTCTTTGTCCGCCAATGAGGACTCTCATCACACCGAATGGAGCTAGGGTAAGGGATCTTCATGGGATATGCTTATGCATTCCAGGGTTTACTGATTAGGCTTATTGTTGCTACGCTTTTGACGGGGAGATTGGCGGGGAGTTCTTGGCAGGGCCTGATTTGGCGTTTGGCTTGTCTGTTGGTGGTGAGGATGAGTCTTGGCTGCGGCAATGTTGCCGGCAGGCAAGCCATTAGATAAGTGTTTACGGTGACCACTTGCAACAGATATGATGTGAACGATATCTAGAGCACTTGAACTTCTGATATACTGTGTGGCTAAAATTATAGCGGCTTTACAGCAGAGCAAAGGTCAGAATATGGAAGACCTGTTTCATAAATGGAATACGAATTATCAAAATCGTGGCAAAGTCCGGGGAAGTTGGTTGACGCAGACGCCTCGTTGGGCTGACAGACATGCCGGATATTAGCTGGAGGCTGTAGGGTTGACATATTCGGATGCCGGCTGAACTTTATTGTTGATGGAATGAAGGCTTTGCGGATCATGTATGCCCGTTGATCCACATCGAGATCTGGCACCTGTCTAGATCCGGCAAGGCGCTCAGTCTGGAAGCGTTCACTTTATGGGAAGCTGCAGATAACAAATGCAGGCGTTATAATGTGATATCCGAAATTTGAAATATTGATTCCAATGATTGTTAGTAGGTGAATTAATTGATGGAAAGCTAGTTTACAGGCGTAGGTGGCCCTTTTTGATGGATGCAGGTACCTTTATTGGAACGGCTGGAACAGGAACAACAACCTGATCATCCATGTTGTTCCTCTGGATGGATCGTGCACTAGCGCGTAGGGCACGCAAATAGCATATATATACGTTACTTTTGAAATAATATCTAAGGTAGTAATGGATGATTTCAGCTGCGGAATGGCATTAGTATTGCAGACTGTAGTCAATGCTTTAATCGCTGTGTCAAAAACCTGCTGGTCTAGGGTTGGCACGCACCGGATAGAGGAATTAGATAAGCGGGAAATTCCTCCTGTCAGCGGGAAATCGTCAGTGGAGACATTTGACGATCCAATCAAATTGGATACATGCTGCCAAGTCTTGAGACGAACTGGGGCTGCTAACATCAAATTTGTCCAAGCAACCGAGAATTATGGAAACGGTTCCGAATATGTGGAGTTTCAGATCTATATAAGTCTTGTCTTTCCGGACCTCGGCATTCTATTGAGTCCGAAATTGGGTCAGTATTTATTGGAAGCTTCTCCCTTTTTCAGCAGCATAAGATTTGTTGGTCAACCTGGCAAAAAACACCAATCATGTCTCGGATATCGCCTCTTTTTCGCCAACGGCTAATTCTTGCACCTAAAGTAGCAGCCGGAGTCTCAATTACCGGTGCAGCAAGCTTTCACCTCGTCACAAGAGAATGTTACTTTGAGCCCTTTGGACCGGAAAATGGCAGATCGTTGTATGAGCATCCGCTGCTGACGCTGATCAATCCTTGGAATAAACCGGGCTCTGCCGACTCATGTGTGAGAGAGGTGCCGTTCGACAAGCTGGATAAGGCGATTTTGGAAGATGCAAAGAAGGGAGGGACAAAGCTGGTTGAGAGGTTCATGGCGGGAATGTGGGGAGGATTTGGTAAGGCTCACAAAACTCGTATTGCCGGCGTGATGCTGATGGTGAGCAGGTTATGGTATCCAGAGAAGGATTATGACACTCTTCAAGAACGAGGCGAACAAGAGTGACTTGTGGGAGAAACAGGATCTTCTGGCATCTACCTATGAACCAGGTATGCTATGCCTGATTTTGGTATCCCTTCTTCTGACACGCAACAGGCACATATTTCACCAACCATTTCGTTGTTCTATCAAAAACACCAACATGTATCACGTTGAGAGGCTGCTTTGATCCTCACCAGTCACCTCCTTCACCGATGGACGTTGACAATCTCGTTGAGATTCGCGCAGAGCTCGATGACGCAAAGCAGGTGGCCGTTCTCAAACTTCAGTGCATCACGTTTGATGGAAGGAAAGAAGCGAGTGACGAGGAGGACCCTTTTGGTGGAGTTGGAGGATGGCTTCACAGACGGTATTCTACGTTACTTGTGCAATCAGGAGCCAGGAACTGCCTGGAATGAGGATGTTGAGGGACATACGATATGAAAGCAAAATCTCTTGATAGGACGCAGTGATTTGAGGCTGGATTCAAGACCCCTCCAGACCGATGCAGATCAGATCCTCATGTAAAATATTCAGTCATACCACTCATACCCGCAATTCTACATCTATGACAGCCTGCCAACGACCTATTCCTCCCCCATCATCGTTCATCGATAGCATCGACCGGCACTGCAGTATCTCGCGGTATTTTTGCAACATTCCTTCTTGCAACACTTCTTAGTCCGGCAGCAGAAGTTGCCAATGGAGCACTTTCGGGGAAACTTGGCAGGGCAGACTTTGGCAGCAAGTTGGAGAGCCTCGCCGTGGGACAGGCTGTAGCCGTCTTCGCCGGAGGTAGCGAGGTCTGGGAGACCCTCGGCAGTGCTGATGGCGGGGCCAGCGGCGGCAAGGGGGATGAGGAGGAGGAGAGCGGTGGTGAACTTCATTATGAGAAACTGCGGTATTAACCGGGACAGAGAGAATGAGTCGAGGTAGCTTGTTGAGGGCGCGGGTCCTACCAGCGGAAGTCGGGGTCCTTTATAGTTATCCGACAGACCTACAACCTGGATTCGGGTAAGATTGCGCCGCTGCTAGTTGCAGGTGACCATCGCGAGCCATACATCAACTTGTCCCTTGCGGTCTCTATAGTCGCGCCTCTCGCACTCCTAGCTCGAAAAGGCATGGTGATATCCATGAGGTTACATCAAGGGACGTAAGGCTAGTTTCACATAAGAAGTAGGATGATCTTGGCCCAATCTTCGATTAAAGCTGAAAGTTAGCTTCATCTGTGCCGTCTTACAGCAGCTCTTAGCTTGCCTAGTTGGCAGTTTGCAGGGTCTCGAATGGTACGGTGGAAAGTAATTAATAACTCAAGCTTTTCTGTTTAGATCCTTCGGTGATGTTGGGCATGAAAAGGATGCCTAGACTAATTAATGACAATTTATTGGTTGGGATGAGGTAATAAGTTGGAAGCTTAAAATGAAGCTTCTCCGCAAATCACGAGCAGGTCTAAATAAGAATTGGGCGTTCTTTGTTCGAGGTAAAATGCCCATGTACGACGTAATCTGCAATGAATAGTAAGGGCGTTGTAACCATTAGATACGCGACGAAGTTATTGGCTTGTTGAAGCTGTGGCTGGTTCGCCCCCTCAATCATGTCCTTGTTCTTTGTTCTGCGGCGGACGATTACTCAGCGAAACCAACCTCCTCGCTGTTACGATGCTACAGAAAACTTCATTGTTCTCCAATATTGACCGGCGAAAGCTAATCATATAACTCGTCCGATGGCTTCTCCCAACTTTACTATTATTTTTGAGGCTGGAGGTAGGCGATATGTTACCACAGAAGCCATTCCTGTACGTTGATCCACCCAACACCATATGAACTTTACATCTGACCCCTTGCTTAGTTCCAGTCCCAAGACAACACTTCCCCCGAATCTCAACTCGTGACCGTCTTCGCAAACCTCGACGGTGTAGTCCTTAGCGAAGCGTGGCTGGAGACATACCTGGATAAGCTGGATGGCTGTGATGTGTATGATCGTAGCCTGTCCCTTTCAGGTGTCATAATTACTATCCCGAATCATGGTCTAGATGTGCCTCAGGATTCATGGGAATATTTGCAGGAACTTGGAATGAAGTGGTTCGAGATTGTCGTTGAAGGCGACGAAACCCATCTTCCTACGGGTCCTTATTTCTACACTGATCAGAAGCTTCACCCCGTCTGTAGCTTGTACAATGACGAGAAGGAAGCATTTTTCTCGGGGTTGAAATCGAAACTGGAGTTGTAAGTAACTTGCTGATTGAAGCCTCTGCCTACCACTGATACGGAAAAGGCCACCATTGACGGTGTTTGAGCAACTCGGGGCCGCAAGTACATCTAATAGCTGTCTTGCCATAGCTGTTCCGTCTAGAGCACCAACGCTCGTTGCCAGCTCCCTGCCAAACTTACGTGTTGCAGTAAAGGACTGTTTTCTCCTTCGCGGCATGAAAACATCACTTTGCAATAGGGCTTACTACGAACTCAGCGAGCCTGCAACTCTCACAGCCGACGTGATCCAAGCACTGATCAATGACGGCGCACAAATACTGGGAGTGACGAAACTAAGCTCAATGATAGCCCGAGAAGAGCCCATGGATGCCGTTGACTTTTCAACAGCCTTTAATCCTAGAGGAGATGGGTATCAATCTCCCGCGGGGAGTAGCAGTGGAAGTGCTGCAGCTGTTGCGGCTTACGGCTGGCTTGATTGTGCGATCGGCACAGATACAAGTGGAAGTGGTCGTCGGCCGGCTTTGGTGAATGGCGTTTGGCAGTTCAGGCCTTCTCATGATTCTATATCCTTGAGGGGTCTGGTCAAGACTTATGCAATGTTTGATACGCCTTGCGTGTTTGCGAGAAGTCTCGATGTTATACGGCGCGTCGCGAAGACTTGGATTGCAGCTCTATTGGATGTCAGGAAACGACCATATCGTCTCTTCTACCCACTAGATTACCTTCCAACAGGAAATCTAGAACAAATGAAGATTATCGACTCTTTCATACAAGATCTTGAGACACATCTTCCAGCTACTATAATCCCACTCTCTATCAGAAGCTCTTGGCATCAGTCACATCCACCAGAGGCTTCTGGCGACATTGAGCAGTATCTCCATGATGTTATTCGGAGAACCTTTTATTATCAGTTCTACCACTCAACAGCAAGCTTCAGACAAGTATACGCCGAGAGACATCATGGCCAACAACCTTATCTAATCCCCTTTGTTCGACGAAGATGGACTCTAGGAGCCTCTGTTTCCGACGCCGAGCATGAAGAAGCTACTCAAAGGTTGCTTGTTTACAGAAAGTGGCTGCACGATCAATTCTTCGGGGACGAGAACTTTGAGACGTTTGTCATTCTTCCTGTCGCTGAAGTCAAACCTGTCTATCGTGACGAGAAGGTTGAATCACCTAAGACTCAGTCAGCATGTGATCAACTATTTTTACCGCCAATTTTTGGAAGCCCCGATGTCGTTGTGCCAATTGGAGAGATGCCGTACCATTCCAAGATCAGTAACAAGATTGAGTATCTGCCAGTGGTAGCCAATCTTGTCGCTGCACCTGGTCGGGACCATGAGCTTTTGGGGGCGGTTGATACAATTCTGGAGAGGTCTGGACGGTCCAAGGTGGTTTCCACAGGGTCTAGTATATTTGGTTCATGATATGGCAGGATTGACTCGACATGCTGTTAGCGATGGCGAAATAGAAGCCATGAGTCTCCTGCTAGATGCGAGAGAAGATCTACAGATATAGATCAGAGTTGTTAGGCACCCAGCGCCAAGGGTTGCATTGGATAAAGGGCATCATGAGTCACCGGAAACGAATCCCACGTTAAAAGGTTGAGCCAATAAATAATATTCCGAGCCAATATAAGGTCTATTCTAAAGGCAAAGGGCGCGGTAGATTGATAGATAGTGAAAGCCTATGACACCCCAACGGGACATATCAAGCCGACAAACTGAAAGAACTCGATTAAGGACACGGTAGATGTCGTGATAATATTAGTGATTGCCGTGCGGTGACGAATGAGCAGGGTAAGAACGCCGTAGACCGAATTAGTAGTGGAAATGATAAAGTTGGGAGATGAGATCTGATGAGTTTCAGGAATTACTGGAAGTTTTACGTAGCGAGGCCTAGTAGGCATGCTATTGGCACACACCTACTGTACCGATTAGCGTCGTGATATTTACCGATTCTATTTTTAGATCATGTGTCTCACATCACAATCTCATCTGTCGCAGTATTTAGGCTGCCCTGCTTTGCACGCAACGGACTTTAGTCTTTTGCGTGCCACGTCATTACCCATACAATAAAGACCTTCCTGATAGGCTTATTGTGCGCAGCTTGGCGGTCAAGAGTCGGTCGATGAAAGTGCCCTGCCAAGCAGGCTGACAGCCTTGAAGACCTGGGGGTTGAAAATCACAATGACAGAAAACTTTTACTGGCTGGAAAAAAGTACTTGCTGCAAGCCACAATCATTTATCCTATCAGGATGACACAGGCCCTGGAGCTGAAAAAGTCTTCACGGATGCACATCCATTGTTGGCCATTTTGTTGAGTAGCGGTGTGATATCGTGCTTAATTTGAATCTCACAATGGGTTCCCATTATCGCCTTTTGATGAATGGATTAACCTACAAGTGACTTAGTTTTCCTTCTTTTTCTCGACTATCACCATCTTTAACTTTTTTCCTTTGCCAGCCTTTTCGATGCTGGTAAATTAATAGCGAATTCGCACTTTTCGCTTCCGATATTTTTCACATCCATTGATTATTACTCGCTGCCCTACTTGATCACCAAATGTCAGGCATCGAGGTAGTCGGTCTAATCTCTGGGATTCTCACAATTCTTGAGACTATCGGCAAGCTTTCCGATGCGCTCAAAAACGCCAAGGACCTACCACCAGCATTTCGTGAAGTGGCCGACAAGTTACCCATCGTTCGAGACATCCTCCAAGCTGTCGAAAAGTACCTAAGCACTTCCGCCAATCAAGGAACGAATGAGGCCATAAAGGCGGTTCTGAAACATTGTAGAGAAAAGGCCGAGAAGTTGGAGAAATTATTTAAGGCTGTTGAGCCCTCTGAAGATTCATCCAGTTTCAGGCGTTATGCCTTGGTGGTGCGGTCTCTAGGCAAGGGACACCGTGTGGAGGTCTTATCTCAAGGGATGATGGAGGATGTGAAACTTTTGGTACAAAACCATGCGGCCCAAGCAGCCACTGAGGCTCAGGTTGCGAAGCTCTCCGAGGCCATTCGGGCTATGTCGAGCATGGAGACCTCACTACCAGAGGAGGAAGCTATCAGCCAAACACATTATGGATCGGGAGATAATGTCGCTGGGAATAAGTACGCCGGCAATCATAACGAAAACAGCGGTTCCGGCACTGCTTACTTTGCCCCAGTTACACAGCATGGTAAGGCTTAGCAATTACAAATATACTTCTGTTTCGTGTCACTGATCCATTACCATGTAGTCCACTCCCGACCGCCTAGAGAGCTGAGTCTGTCGGAGCTTCTCCTCAGATCGCTTTTCTTCAAAGAAATGAGTGCTCGGCCGACAGAGATTAAGACTGAAGCTGCCGGTACATGCCATTGGATTTTCCAACACAAAATCTACCAGACATGGGAATCCCGCGATCGATCTCTATTGTGGATTAAAGGGAAGCCTGGTTCTGGGAAGTCGACGTTGCTGCGATACGTTCTTGACAATACCATAGCATCGAAAAACCAGAAAGAGATGCCTCTGGTCCTTTCCTTCTTTTTCAATGGCCGTGGTACCGAACTCCAAAAAACGCCAGATGGCCTCTATCGCTCGCTCCTCTGCCAGTTGCAAAGCAAGATTCCTGGGGCACTAGAGGCCATGGAAATAACATACAGGCAAAGATATATTCATCTGGACATGTCCGACGAGAGCTGGGAGTGGAAAACCTCTGAGGTCCTTCACTACACCCGGATCGCATTATGGAAGACTTTGGAAACTCATCCCATAATATTATTCGTTGACGCTCTAGACGAATGCGGCCAAAAGAGCGCAGAGGAATTGGCTGACGAGTTCAATTCTCTACTTCACAGACCCTTATCGGACCGTCTAAAATATTTTCGTATCTGCTTCACCTGTCGTCACTATCCTATTCTCAACCTCAATTGTACGCTCGGGATATGCATTGACACAGAGAATGCGAAAGACATATCCCTCTTCGTTGAGAATAAACTGAGTTCATTCCAGGAACAGACAGGGTCTAAGATTGCTGACTACATCTCGAAGCACGCCGAAGGCGTATTTCTATGGGCGAGTCTTGTTGTGACCAGAGTGTTGAGCCTCTATCAAGAGCAGATAGGCATACTAAAGATCGAGTCTGAAGTCCGCCAGATCCCTCAAACCTTGGAGAAACTCTATAGTGAAATCATCGACAGAATTGAGCAGGACTCCATCGACCTTATCGAATGCATTTGCTTTGCTGCAAGGCCTTTAACTCTGCTTGAGTTATATTCGGCTGTGTCTCTAGCTCACCAGGAGTTTGAATCGTTACTTCAATTCGAAAATGAGGAGGAATTTCGGATCCACGCCGCGGCCATGGAATGGAGAATTACAAAGCTCGGGCGCGGACTCATCGAGTACAAGCCCACTGAGGGAATCGTTCATTTCATTCACCAGTCTGTGAAGGACTTTTTCGTCGATAAGGGACTGCCATCTCTCCATAAAAGCACTGATACAGAACAAACAGCCATATCAGCACACTATCGACTGACTCAGATCTGCGTTCGATACCTAGAGATGCTCCATGCTCATCTAACGGCAAATGAAGATCAACGGAGAAAACACAAATGCGAGTCAAAATTTCCCTTTCTATCATATGCGAAACGTTGGTGGACATTTCATGCAAATCACATTCCGGAAAACCTTCAGGAATCATTCCGTTGGCCCTCAGATGCGTCTCTGGGCCGCTTCGGTCAAACAAGTATGAGATTTGGGCATTTGGTCATAAGTGTGTCAAAGGACCAAATTGAGAAAAGAATGATCCATATAATATCTCAGAATGGATGGATAGGAGCCTTAAGAGGTATTCTAACGAGGGCAGATGAAGTTGGCGTCAAAGCCGACTTGGAAGTGGAAGACTTTTGGGGTAACACACCGCTTATTATTGCAGCAGGATCTGGTCACGTGGCTGTTGTGAAAAGCCTTCTGGACAATGGCGCCAAACCAGACCGGAAAAATTGGGTTGGGAAGACGCCGCTCCATTATGCTGCTGAGCATGGTGATGTGGGTATTATAGAGCTATTTCTCGAAACTGGTGGTTGGCGAGGTAGGGATGATATGGATGAGGATGGTTACACACCACTTTCCTATGCTATAAAGAGGGGTAATATCGCCGCGATCGAGCTTTTGCTCAAAATAGGCTCCCAAGTTGACCATAACTACATGGTGGAGCGCAGGCGCCGTTCTCGGTCAATTTATCTGCTAAGATGGCTGGTGTATAGTGAAAAGGTTTCGTCTCCGAGCATTATTGCGGTAAGTGATGCTCCTTGAGTATTACTGAATGGGTATTTTGAAACTGACATTCGTTTCAATAGCTTGTGCAGCTAGGAACTGTGTTGCTTGGATTAGTTGGGGTGATGAATACCTAGTATGTCAAGAAGAGAATCGTATGCTAATATAACTACGCTTAGATTGGACGATGGGCGTGCGGTGAAGCAGTTGTATATCTGGCAACTGGTAGGGTAAGTAATGGCATGTGACGATGACAGAATGCATGCATTAATATTGACGTTCATATCTATAGCTTATCACGGCAGTAAATATTTTCGGTAGCTTAGGATTAGGGGCTTGGACCATTTGGTTTGTGGTAACGAATATGTAGTCCACAAAGAAGAGAATCGTATGCTAACAGAACCACGCTTAGACGGTCTGGGGGCCGCGAAAATATACGGAAACGAGAAAGCCCATAGAGAGGTGGAGAACTCCGCTATCTCATGCTGCCGAGCTAGGTGACGAGACAGCTGTTCGTCTCCTACTCAAATATAACGCTCGACCAGAAGACAAGGATAAAGATGGCGAGACACCTCTATCTCGAGCTGAGAAGAAAAATAGAAAAGAGGTCATTCAGATCCTTCGCGAAAGTATGGGCCAAGGATAACGCTAGGAGGTTTTGCAAGAAGTCTGTTCATCGGGCCGTCGGCTCGATCGGTTCCTGAAACTGTAACGTTAAAACGGACATTATTCGATCCAAGCTTCGGCTGTTATAAAATGTCATGCAAACTGCTACAAAAGATGTTTCAGACAGATTCAGACCCATTCAATCTTAATTACCCACCAATGCCTCATCCCTGTCTGATGAAACCTGTCAATCAGGTTGAAACAACAGCGAGGAATCGTTCGTATGTCAGTCGATTAGCTCTTGAAATATTCATGCGTTGTGAGATCCTTGTTTATTTCCGTGTTTAAATAGCAGACGAACGGCCTCGATTTCATCTGGCAACATAACTATCCCTTAGTAGATACACATCGTCAAAATGCGCGCTTCTCTCGACTCCACTCTTCTTATCTTAGCCAACATTTTGGCGGTCAAGGCTCAGTCGTGTCCTGACATTCACATTTTTGGCGCTCGTGAAACTTCAGTTGCACCGGGTTTTGGATCGGCTGGCCAACTAGTTGACATGATCAAGGCTGATCACCCTGGCGCGACTTCAGAGGCTATTGACTACCCTGCTTGTGGTGGCCAGGCTTCATGTGGTGGTGTTCAGTACGGTGACTCTGCGAAGCAAGGTACACAAGCTGTTACCACTGCTGTGAACGGTCTGAACCAGCGTTGCCCTCAGACAAAGATTGTTCTGGTTGGTTACTCTCAGGTAAGAGCTCTCACTCGGTCATCCGATATTATTGGTAACTAATGGCAAGTAGGGCGGTCAAATCATGGACAACAACATCTGCGGTGGGCCTGACTCTGGGGCTGGCATATCTGATTCATCCGTTCCTCTGTCCGCCAGTGCAGTCCAACAGGTCAAGGCTGTCATCATGCTCGGGGACCCTCGATTCGTGAGCGGTCTATCTTACGGAGTCGGCACATGCACTGCCGGCGGTGTAAGTTATATCATCGCTTTCTATGTGACACTGCTAAGAATATACAGTTCGATGCCAGACCTGCGGGCTTCACTTGCCCCAACGCAGACAAGGTGCAGATCTACTGTGACTCTCAGGATCCCTTCTGCTGCAATGGAAACGACTCCAACCACCACCAGCAATATGTCAGCATTTATGGAAAAGAAGCTTTGGCATTTGTTAACAGCAAGCTCTAAAGGGATTAAGAGATTATAGCTAAGAATGAATACAGGTTCAATTCCAGATTCAAACCCCAAGACTTCCCTCGGCATGCAAGACTATTCTTCGACATTGTTACACTAACACAGTTTGCCCGACAATCTAAAAACCAGATCCCGACAAGTTTCACATTTACAATACTTAGTGGGGCTCGAATACTTTCGAACCCCTTCAATTTGGGGGATGAGTGTATTTCATTTCAAGGTCGACCTTATTGAGCATCTTTGTTCTACAATCATTTCCTCACCGTAATCAGCGATGGGGGAAGGGCGGCTTTAGCGCAGAGCACTGATCACAGTAGCTCTAAAAAGCCTTTCGGCGATGTAAATACCTAGAGAACAACTCAATTCGATCATGTTTTCTTCCACTTGCCAGTGTCCGTAGACGACAAGCTCAATTCGTACAGAGCCAACAAGGCACTGTGCAGTGAATCACTGTGAGTGTACCGTTGTTCCACCGACAAGTGGCTTTGTTCAACAAGAGCGCTTTCGTTTGTTCACGTCCCACCTATCTCTCTCTCTATCTTTCATTTATGTTCTTTACTTTTCTGTGTTCTGGCCAAAGACTATATAACCTCACAACCTCACAACCTCACAACCTCACAACCTCACAACCTCACAACCTTACAATCCCACAACCTCATCAGCTCACAGTCAATTCTTTCATCACTCTTCTATACCTCGAACGAAAATTCATTCGCAAACATGGTCAAGGAGTACTTTCTCGCCCCAAACTTCACCACCGGACCACCCCCACAGGGACCCATCAAACTCGGCACCATCCTCGGCGCCCTTGATGAATTTTATCCTCTGAACCAGCGGCATGTCCAGGCGATCCCGGCCTCGCAGCTACTTCCTGTCGAGACTCAAGAGTCAGTCGATATCGACATCTACAACCTTCACTCGAATCATCATCCTTTGACTGAACAAGCCTTAGGTCTGATTGGTCGAGGCCCATGTGCACTCGACCGACGCCGCGAGGGTGATTACATGGTAGTCTCATGCAAGCATCTCGATACCCTTGCCTTCAACCCGACCGAGTCCTACGTCAAGGATACCATCGAAAATCTTGGCGAGTCTCACAAGCCATCAAGCAGGTACAAGCGACCAGTGTACATGGTCACAGGACTGAAGATTGCCCGTGGTGCGTCTTCCTCATCCAGGTTCACTAGCCGCGTGGCTTTTGGACGCGACTTTTCTCTTCCTCGAAACCGCCTCGTCTCGTTAGCCGTGAACCTCGCCAGTGACAGAAAAATCGTCGTGCAATCCCGCTTTGGTGAATCAGACTCTTTCATCGTCGCATTCAAGGTCGTGCAGGTCTGGATAGACCACAAGGGAGAGGTCAAGTACAAAGAGTACAACAAAAAGGCTGTGATGGAGTTCCAGGAGTTGTCTGAGGATGACACTGCCCCTACTTTTCCATCCGATGGCAAACCGCTGGCGATCTGACTAGCTAGTAAGTGGAGAACATGTTGGAGAGGCCAGAAGGATCTGTAGTCGCTAAGGTCAATATCGTGTCCTTATCACCCTTGTTAGCAGCCTGAAGCTTAACCTTACAGGCAACATTTGACTACATAGTACTTCAGATCAATTGGATTCAACTTTCGATCATCAAAATCCGTTATATTACTCCCGTCTGACCATTTAAAGAAAACATGTGATAGTGATTTCAAAGCGGATATTAATAAGGTAATCCTCAAGTGAAGCATAGTGTTCATACACCCTAACGTAATTGTAGCCATCGCGATTCTGACCTCCAATGTCACTAGATGTCTATCTACTATGGCTCGTGTGCTACCAGACATCCTCCTATCACCATGTTAGCTAGACTGATCAGAACGACCACGAGACACAAACCTGATATCGATGTGAATGTCGCATATCGGACAACTCCCTCTGTGCATCATCCAAAGACATACTGGTCTCAGAAGCAAGGACCTTGCACAGGGTCTTTGTCACTCCCCTGCCCATGCCCACATCGCCGCAAACATACACATGCCCGCCGTTCTGGATAAGCGAAGCTATGTTCTTCGATTGCTGGAGTATAAGATTTTGAACGTATACCTTGTGCTTCTGCTCTCGCGAGAATGCTGTGTACATCCTGAACTTAGAACCCAGCTCAGAGGCATATGCCTTTGATGACGGGCATATTAGTATTACACAATCATAAAGGCCACAGGATAACTTACCTTCCACTCCTTTTCATATAAGAAGTCTTCAGTCCTCTTGCGGCAGCCATACAATAGCGTCATGGGCGCAAAACCCTTCCCTTGTCGATGCATAGCGACCCGTTCTCTGACAAATCCACGGGAGGGGGCAACGCCAGTGCCAGGACCAACCATGAGGATGGGTATTGCCGGATCAGACGGTAGTCGAAATGTCGAAGTCCGGACAAAGGCTGAGAGAGAGGGCTGTAAGTGAGGGCGTTTCGTCGGCAACGTGTAGGATATCAGCTGCACTCGGCTCCTTAACATAACTTCATTTTCGGTGGAAGCAACGTCTAAGATGAAGTTCGTCGCAACGCCCGAGAAATGTCGGTTTGTCTTTTGAATGGGAAACGACTCGATAGCGACAGTGATAGACACTTTACCAGCATCAAGGGTGGAAGACGAAGATATGCAGTAGTACCTTGGCTGCAGCCTCGGCATCGCCTCGATAATGATTGCGAACGGTAACGTAACCGTCTCTCCTGAGAACAAAGTCTCCATCGTGGAAGCAATGTTATAAAAGTTACCCTCTGCAAGCGACAAGAATGCCTCTTTATCTTTTCCGAGTTGGCGAAGCTTCGTCTTCTGCTTAGTATCTGAAACAGAATTCGCAATGGTAGATACGACTTCACGGGAGACAGGCCCGCAGATATCGATGTAAAAACGAGCCGCGGATTGGTAGCTGCATGGAGACGGAAAGGGCGGGCTCAGATCATCCGAGAGGGGTCTTACACGAATTGCCTCGTGTCGCTTGTCCCATAGCCCGAATATCCTCAAGAATCGCTCGACTTCGATGTCGGAATTGATGGTCGCCGGTCTGATAGTCAAGTTTGCTGTCCTTGATATCGAGCTCGACATGTATGTAGGACCGGCCACCAGCATCTGGAAGAATTCTTGAGTCCCAAATAGGTGCGGAGCAGTGGTTTGTAACTACTTGTGCCTGTTGTTCGAGGTTCCTGTCTGTGTAATCCGCCTGGAAGATTGGGCCATGGTGGTTTGGTATCTCGACCACCTCGAGAGCAGGCTCCCGCTCTCCAGCCTCTTGCTCAACCAGATCAAGCGCTTCCATGACATGAGGCCACATTTTATCTTTCCACTCGATGAAATCTTCGGCGTTTGTTCCCTTGTCGTCATCAGCTTCCCCAACAGGGCCGAGGCGTCTGGCACCGCAAAGCTGTAGTCTCTCATCGACTTTACGGACCACAGCGTTGAAGTGGGCATAGCTATTATTTCCCAACCCAAAAGCGGAGTATGAAAGGTTCTGAAGGCCATGTTCCCGAAGCCTGTCGAATGGTCCATTATCGTCCTTGTTCGTTAAAAGGTTATAAAACTGTTCCGAGTTATCCGTTGGCTCCCCGTCGCCATATGAAGCAAGGATAAAGAATACAATGGTATTCTCAGGCAGTTTATGCAAGTTCTAGTAAGTATACTCGTCGATCTCGGCGACTGTGGCACGTAGGGAAAATCGGGTATGGGCTTCACGCGCCAGCTTCTCGGCGAATTCCTGTGCGTTTCCGCTTTGTGATCCAAACAGGACCACGCAATTCTTTTCTTCCTCTTATAGTCTCTTAATAATGCATTTATGGCTTGAGACATCAGAGTCGTCGTCTGTATCTACCCCAAACGACTTTGCTTTTGTCGAGGTTTGGAAGAGGAGGTCGTGCAGGGGACCGAAATAGGCGATTAGAGAGACGAGCACCGCGGTTAACACCGTCGTCATCGCATCGAAGACAGGTACATCCCCAGGAGCCTATCAAAATATCTTAGGTATGTTGAACGTAGGATAACATTGTAAGGGGCTGCTTACGGTTGCCGTTTCTGCTTCCATTCTGAAGAGGTGCTTGGTCAGGCTTGATCAATGATGGAATAACTTCGTCCTGCAGAAGAGATAATTAACAAAGTAGGTGCTTTTGATATGCAACTTTAAATTTCCTTATGGAGTGTGTAGGATACGAATAATCTAACACTAGTCCGCAAAGGCACATCATCCTTTGGTCGGAGCAATGTACATACAGAATTAGCTCGTGACGGTCAAAGTTCGCCGAGACGTCGATTTCGGACCAACTTCACTTGCTACCAAGTGCCGAGGGCGTTAGTATTTCCCTTAGTGAAGTCGCGTGGGGTCCATTCTTTTGTTTCTAAGAATTAGGCAAATTTTGAAGAAATGTCCTAAGGATTAGACGACATATGACGACATTTAGAGAAGATTGTTGGCCCTGTGCAAGCGGATAAGCAAGCACTTCGTCTACAGGCGCTCCTGGTACCACCGTTATTGCCTGTCACTAGCAATAAAGTAAAAAGCAAGAGAAGAACATACTAAGCATTCAGTCCTGCTGCTTAAGGTAATCTAGCTTAATATACATTTACTAAATAGCATTTTAAGCTCTAGTTATAGGATATCTACTTATAAAAGCTAATAAGGCTAAAATATCCTATATTGCTATTTAGATATATTCTTTCCATATAGTATTATAGCTCTTATCTTAGAATATAAGCTTAAAAGATTATAAAGACCAACCTAAGTAATTCCAGACCTTATATACCAGGAAACTTAAGAGAGCAGAAAGAGAATACCTTCGATCCTGACCGCTATCTGTCTCATACAAAGCGAGCCAACGAGTATGCCGTTGGTCCAGATTATGAGACACGAGATAAGTCTATCCCTCAACAATAACATATAGAGCGACTCGCTAACCTTGCTTTTACATCACTATGGATATGATGCTGGACGTCGTATCTGCCCTGGAATTCATCTGGCTGAGCGCAGTATGTGGCGAATCACTGCCAAGTTATTGTGGGCGTTTGAGTTTTCTGAACCAATTGATCCCGTAACGGGGAAGGTTAAACCGCCGGATCAAGATGCATATACGTCGGCGAACTTGGTGTGTCCACTACCCTAGAAGGTCAATATCAAGCCCCGAAGTGCGGCTCATGTTGAAGCTATCAAGAGGGAGCTTGAGAGTGCGGAAGCCTTTTTATCTCAATATAACTAGTTACAGCCATGGCCGGGTTAGTCTTTCGAAATATTATCTATAAATATCAATTTTACTCAATACTTCCATCGGCAATTGTAGTAGCGCGTTAGCTTTGCTAGAGCCCATCTATTCTTGTCCCACATACCATCATGGTCATGCTCATGGAAAGCCCCACATTGATACAGGGTAGGTAATTCTTTGCCAACGCCCGTTTAACCGAGCTATCAAAGCTGTTATTAAACTCTATCATCAGGATTGCGGGGTAAAGGTCATCTACTCAACTCGACACAATCTGATTCGCTGCTTTGGAAAGGCTGAGCCTCTGTAATCCATGTACCCCGGATCTTCCGCTTGACCTTGTTTGATCTGCTTCGGCAGATGAAGCGGTACCAGGTTGAGAGCAGAGCCCAGACCGCATTTCTCCTTCTCAGGGGTTGGTTAGATGCCTTGCATGTGAGACAGAAACATCAGATGAGAGATTGATGTTTTCTTACCCCGCGACAACCCCAGATTTCGTCATTGTACCGACTGCACCAGCGGAGCCGCAGCTTCAGAGCATTGTTGATGGACCTTTGCATGTTTAGAGTGTTCATTTTACCCTGCGGAATAGTTTAGAACTCGTGTTTCTTATCTGATATTTTCCCCCAATGCCAACTGCGCGTCTTTAGGACCATGAAAGGCTGCTCATACTGTCATCGAACGTTCCACAAGACAGAGCATCTTCTCCGCCACGAGCGCAGTCGTAAGATCATCCCCACATGGAACCATCTCAATCGCCAAATTGACCCATGCTTAGATACAGGGGAGAAGCCATATCGATGCGATACATGCGGTCGCGGCTATGCACGGAGGTAAGAAGTCATCTCTAGTCTCTGTCACCACTGGTATTGACCGCCATAGCGATGTCCTCCTTCGCCACGTTAGATACTTTCACCCAAACAGCGAGACTTCACAAAGAGAGCGCCGACGATCAGATGTCTCAGCGAACGAGAAGAGCCGACAGCGCCGACAGAGTGTCCTGGCCGATTCCATAAACGTGTGTTCAATACCTCCGCCGGAGCCGGAAGAAGGTTCAGAATGCGAGACAGATCAGCAGGATAATAATCATATGCGCGATAATGAGCAGCCGCAACAACAGGAGGATAGTTCTATAACTGTCGATAATTCGATGGTGCAGTTTTCAACATCTGATCTTGATGCGTTGGCTACAGTATCAATGCTCCAAGCTCTCCACGAACAACCGACTGAATCAGCGAAACTGGCTTTGGAAGACTCTTTCGATGGTCGACGACCTGCGAACCACTCCCCTGCTATTGGTCAGCATGATAATGAACTATCGCCGATGGGCTTCTCGCATCATATGGTAGAGACGACACTAGAGACGACACTAGAGACAGCGACCCCTACCTTATTCACCGCCAATGCCGAGTTTCTTAGTCCTGGAGTGTCGTTGAGCACCAGGGCAAATGTATTCCATTCTCACACTGCAGCCTCGTCAGCTCCTTGGGGAAATAATGAAGCAGCCCTCACATCAATGAGCAATACGGATTTATTGCATTATGCTGGTGCTTTGGAATTCTTACAACCGAACCTCAGTCATCTAGACTTTCTTGATTTTGGTCTCGGCGAGACTTCACCCGGCGTCCGTGGTTCGCAGGCCTCGAGCAACAGCGTCGACCCTGTCAGCAGCATCCCGCTGGAGCGCTTCGCTAGGGTTGCTGCGCTATGGCCCCGGAACCGAACGCACTCAGCAAGTCAGATTGCTTCCAAAATCTGGGCGGACGTGGTGAACTACCGGGGCGACGGCATCTTCACAGATGTCTCTATTTCACAGTCATCGCCAAGCTCGACAATCGGCACTGAGAATGAATCGCGATGGGGAATGGACGAAGAAAAGAGACAGGATCTCATCCGAGAGTTCGGTTCGCCTGGGTCCAGCGTTGACTTTCTACCGGCGCGACTACTAAATCTCGGTCTCACTATCGCCTTTCGACAGCCTCATTCTCTTGTCCCGTTTATTCACCAACCCACGTTTTCAGCAAAGTCAGCATCTAACTCAGTCGTCTTTTCCTTGTGTCTCTTGGGACTGGCCATTCTCGATTCATCATATGTGAAGCCTTTCACAGCACACTACTTGCCTGTAATCTCACTGCCGCCCGTATCCGAGTGAAGTAACATACTGACTATGTACAGGCAGCTACCGAGAAGTGCTGTTCACAATTAGCGACACCATCGTTCGGCCCAGAAGGGTTGGCACAGCTCGTTGAGCGTCTTGCATCGGCGGCATTGCTACTGATGGCTTGGTCAATAAGCTCACCACATGTAAGCTCCCCTCTCGGACCTTGGGATTCGATGCTGAGACTGCTTGTAGGGTTCTCGCGATACCTTTTTATCCAGGATGCTTTACAACCAGACGATGAACGTATGTTGAAGAAATACCATGTCACTCATTCCGGTAGAAGCTGACGACATCATGTACTTATAGCTCGTGAAAATGTCGGGATTACTGATGCCACGACCTTCATCGTTCAGCATCGACAATCTACTCAGTCAGGCAAACTCGGCCAGAGCCATTCATGACCCAGCGCAGAGCGATGACTGGGCGTGGAAGGCATGGGCTCGAACAGAAAGCTTCAAGAGGTATGCTACGCTTAGTCCCTAAGATTTGCAAATAATGACCATGGTGATTGTATGAAGATTAATATCGACGTTGATCATGATCGATGCATGGTGGGCCTCAAGACTAAACACAGAGCCACTCATCTGTACTTCCGTGGTGCAATTGGAGATGTCGACGTCGATCGACCTGTACCGCTCTTCGTCAGCAAGGTCGTGGAGGAGCTGTCGCAATGCTGGCACAAGTGCAACTACAGACCCTGTTACAATACGAATGCACACTCCGTCCATCACATTGACGCCACTCCAAGAGACGTCGCCTATTGGAATGACTGGCTTGCTCTCTGTTGTCTGGGCTCGCATTCTCCAGCATCAACATCAAATAAGAGGAGCAAGTGACAGCAATAGAGAGGGGCTTACCGCAAGTGTGGATGCATCGACTGAGACTGGTAACAGCATGTTACGTGTGCTGGGCGACATCTACACAAACTACTCGAGGTTTCTTCGGTATAGAAATCCCAACTGTATCGCGCAGTGGCACTTCTTGAACCTCAATGTACTGGCCAATCTTGAGATCTTCGAAATGGCCTCTGGTCGCAACGGAGCTGAGAGCGCATACGCTGCATTGCAAGAGATCTCCAATTGGAGTCAGACCCAACATGCACGACGAGCCTGTCTCCACGCCGCGGGGATCTATGTCGCCATGAGTCGTCGAAGAGCAAACGACGGCGTTATGCTGCATTCCGATATGTCTTTATTCACAGCTGCGCTTGTCCTAGGACTTTATGTGTTCATGATGAAGCCGAACGAAGGACATACTGATGCTGACACAGAGTCATTCGAGTTACTCAACGATGTTGACTGGACAAATCTTTGTGATCCAACGTCTATAGTAGAGAATGCTGGGGATAACACCGCCAGTCAGTTTATACATAATGGAGGAAGTATTAGCTTCTCTGGAACAGTGTGTGAAGCGGGATATAATGCTGCCAAGATGATCTTACTCGAGTTTGCGAGCTTGTTAGAAGAGGTTGGGAAGTGGAATGCGAAAGAACTGTGCCATATCCTACGGATAATGAGCGACTCTTTGATTGAAGTCGACGACCGTTTGGGAGGTGATTGAAGCCATTCAACATTTGTAGTATTGGTGGTTTTGCAATTAGCACAAACATATATAAAGGTTCGTTACTGAACGACAAGATACCATTCAAACGCGAGAACCTATAGCGCTATTAAATACAAATACAAGACATATGTTCGCTCAAGATAAATCCACAAAGTTCTCCTAGTTCCAAACCGCTGCATCGACTGCGCTGAGCTTTGCATGGCCATTAGTCTCATGGGGCAGGACTTGCGTAGGCTGACCCTTGGCATCAAGCAACTGAACCGAATGATAGTAGTCAACCGCCTTCTTCTGGTTCACCTTATCCTTTGCAACACGCTCAAGAAGCTGTTTGGTCAAAGGATGTGCTGAGAAGCGATCGGGAAGATTATCCCAAACTCGATAATCAGTGGCTTGTTTGTGAAGAACACCACAGATCTCTCGAGCATACTCTGTGAACAGGAATGTGCGTGATGACTCAACCATGATGGTCATTTGATCTGTCCCCAAATCAGTAACTATATAATATCTCTCACGGCTCATTACTCACTCTCCAAGATTCTACGTGGTTCATTGTGCTGCAAGATAGCTTCAGTAATATACTCTTCACCAAACCCACCATGGGGAGTATGTCCACCCTCGTAACTGCAGCCACCGGGCAAGAAGTCATCAGATCGACCGAGACCTGCTCCATAGATGCAAGCCAACATCTCGGTTGCGCTGTTTCGATGATAGTAAGGTGCGCGCAATGAGTTGCTCGCTACGTCCCAGCGGGGACCGAACCAGAGATAGTCTGCGAGCGGGACGTGAGGGTCAAATGACTTTGCTGTTAGAACAGTGTTGATGCTTGGGTCTGTGTGATCAATACTGGTGCTGTTCTGAGATGCGAACTTTGTCAAGTCGTACTGTGGTTTATGTAGTTAGTATGGGGCTTACTTGTATCGCTTTGCTGGTAGCTCACCTTGTAGGGAACTGCATTCCCATGCCATGCAACAACGTCAAACGGACTGTGATCCTGACTGATGGCAACATGCTTTCCGTTATTTTTGACAACAATTTTAAAAGGAACATGGAGGTCCTCATCGATATGAGCAACAGGATATAGAAAGTCTCTTGGGTTTGCCAGGCCATGTCCTCCGATAGGTCCTAGATCAGGCAGCTCCCACATAGATCCCCAAACTTCAGCGATATGGCCACGAGCAACAGGCACACCGTCTGCAAGATTGATTCGGAAGCGTACACCACGCTGGATAACGCAAATTTCGCCTGGCTGGACGAAGAGACGGCCCATCTCGGTTTGGATGTCTATGATGCCGAGTTGAGGAGTGATAAGAAAGTCGCCGTCTGTGTTGCAATATGCCTTGTTGACCATAGAGGCATTGATAATATAGACATACACAGCGATGCCCTGCCGAAGATTGGGATCACCGCTTCCAGCAAGTGTATGCAACCCATCAGTAAAGTCAATCGTCTCATCATCTTTCGGCAATGGAAAAGGCGACCACTCAGCCTGCTGATACAAAGGCTCAACCTTAGGATTCAGCGACAAAAAGCAGTTCTCAATATGAGACTTTGTCTCAATACTCGAATAACCCTGATGAGCAGCTGATGGTCGAGCACGATACATGTACGTGCTCATGTTGAGGCCGCGAGGAGCTGCGAAAGCAGAGTAGGTGATACCCTCAGTGTACAGACCAAAGCCTCTGTCTTGAGGGTTGTTTTGGCCGGCGGGGAGAGTACCGGGGATGACCTCTGATTGATGGCGGTTACCCCAGCCTGCTTGGTACTCGTAGGGGTCATTCTCGCGGGTGGGCTTGGTGCGCTGGAGGTCTGTGTAGTGGAAGACTTTCTGGGGATCTGTGGCGGGCTCACGTCTCTTGATAGCGGCGACCATGCTGATGTTTGATGTGTAATTCTTAGGGGTTTGATGTGGTTGTTCAAGTCGAAGATGTTTTGAATCTAATCTAATGGTTTATTTTCCTTTTATTCTCCGGACACGTTAGTAGAGAGGTTCTATAAGTCCCATGTTTATTACCGAACGGCAGATGCACGAATGGGCCAGTAAGTGGGAGACCTGACGTCGCATGTGGGGATATGGAGCTCCCACATAATGAGACCTTCAGAGGCATCATCCTTACCCCTCAACCTTAAGATAACTCGTATGTTTAATTAATTTACAACGTGTGGGACTGCCAATTAATATCAAATTACGGTAGTTGCCTGGTTACTGTGCCTAGAGTCTTACCATTGGGTTTCCTTTCTACTGCCAATCATGCTGCGCACACGCCAATCTTGCAGGGGACTCACCCAACTCACTCGTCAAGGTCATCCACACCGCTGGAATACGTGTATACAGCTGCCAACGCTTGTTCAGCGCCGCGCAATTGGCTCAGTCAGCGCAATTGACTCTGTGATATTCCGGAACTTGTTCGGTACTGACGAGATTCGAAATGTAAGTCACCGTCTCGACCCTCTCATTCATTGGCATTTGACTAATTGACTTTACAGATCTTTAGCGACCAAGCTTACATCAACAGATGCGTCGACGTCGAGGCTGCTCTTGCTCGAGCCCAAGCCCAGTGCAATGTCATTCCAGCCGATGCTGCCGCCGACATCACCTCCAAAGCCAATGCCACCAGCCTCGACATGGATCGGCTACGCAACGAGACTGATGTTGTGGGCTATCCCATCCTTCCTCTTGTACGTCAGCTGAGTGACATGTGCGGCTCTGCTGGGAAGTATCTGCACTGGGGTGCCACAACACAAGATATTATGGATACCGCAAGCGTCTTACAGATCAAGTCTGGTCTCGATATCGTTGAGACTAAGTTGACAGGCGTTATAAATGCCTTGCAAGACTTGGCTGTTACGTATCGTGATACGCCCATGGCTGGAAGGACGCATCTCCAGCATGCACTGCCTGTCACCTTTGGCTACAAATGCGCTGTGTGGCTATCAAGTCTGTATCGCCACAGAGAGCGACTTCAGCAGCTTAAGAGTCGTGCTCTTGTTGTTCAGTATGGAGGTGCAGCGGGGACTTTGGCATCCCTCGGTGATGGCCCAGAAGGCGTCAATGTGAGGAAGCAACTCGCTGCGGAACTCGGCCTGGAAAACCCATCTATTACCTGGCATGTCGCCCGTGATGGTATCGCTGAAGTGACCAACTTCCTAGCCCTCATCGGTGGCTCCCTGGGTAAAATCGCCCTGGACCTAATCATCATGTCCTCCAACGAGCTCGGCGAAGTCGCTGAACCCTTCGTCCCCCACCGCGGCGCTTCCTCCACAATGCCTCAAAAGCGCAACCCCATCTCCAGCGAAGTCATCCTCGCCGCCTCCAAAATCCTACGCTCCAACGCCAGTCTCGTTCTCGACGGCATGGTGTCTGACTTTGAACGCGCATCAGGACCTTGGCATCTAGAATGGGTAGCCATACCCGAAAGCTTCGTCATAGCAGTCGGAGCCCTTCACCAAGCTGAGTTTGCGCTTGCTGGCCTTGTTGTGGACAAGGAGCGTATGGCGGCTAACCTCGCTTCTACAAGGGGACTTATTGTTGGTGAGGCGTTGATGATGGCGTTGGCGAAGTATGTGGGAAGACAGGATGCGCATGATATTGTGTACGAGGCTTGTAAAGTGACCATCGAGAATAAGGATGGAGGCACGCTGCTTGATACGTTGAAGAAGGATGAGAGGGTAACTAAACATCTGCCTTGGAGTGATCTGGAAAGGCTCTGTGATCCTATTAATTATTTGGGATCGGCGCAGCGTATGGTTGATGATACGTTGGCGGAGAATGCATCATAAAACCTTATTACATATACATCAATAGAATATCATCGATTTGGTCTTTGCGTTTGAATTGACGATGGTTTTATTAATGGTACGTTGACTATTACCTTCAAAGCTAAGTCTGGTACGGTATCAAGTCATCGGCGATCCTGAATGCCGCACCCGTTTTGCTCTTGAGCTCGTCCAATTCAACCTCATCCACCAGCTCCCTGAGCACCAGACCCTCAGGTGTGCAATCGAAAACGGCCAAGTCGGTGATGATTCTAGAAACACATCGAGGACCGGTGAGCGGGAATGTGCATTCTATCCGTGGGCGTCAGCAACTCTGGCTTGTTCATCGCAGCGTCAGACTTACCTTCCAGGATCTTTGGATTTCCATTGCGGTCAACATGTTCCTGGGAGTGTTAGTCTGTCTCCAAAATCTGATCTAAGACAAGAAATGACGTACCATGGTGATGATGACCTTGGTCTTCTCTGGGCTAGCAACCAGGTCCATGGCACCTCCGATGCCCTTCACCTTTCCAGGTAGCATGAAGTTGGCCAAGTCTTTACAAGTCAGTCTCAGTCGCTTTACGTGAAGGAATGAAAATAGATACCTCCATATTGACTGACTTGCAGTGCACCAAGCATAGTCAAGTCAATCTTCCCAGCTCTAATCATACCAAAACTCTCATGACTCCCGAACGTCGATGCACCAGGATTGAGCGTCACCGTTTCTTTGCCAGGATTGATCAGATCTGGATCCTCCTCACCAGGGTTTGGATATCTGCCCATTCCCAGGATGCCATTCTCGGACTGAAGAATGACTTCCAAGTCTTCTGGAAGCATGCCTGGTGTCGCGAGTGGCATTCCGATACCGAGATTGACGTACATACCGTCTTTTAGCTCTTTTGAAGCTCGCTTGATGATACGTTCCCGCCTTTGGTTCGCACTCGTGACTGTAATCATCAATAAGCTAGATCAGTGTAAGAAATAGATCGGGATCCACATACCTTTGCCTTCACTCTTGGCATCTTTGGCAAACGTCAACTTCTCAATCTTCTTCGGCCTCGTGCTCTGGATGATAACATCAACATAAATTCCTTGGATATGAACACTCTCGGGATTCAATTGTCCAACGTCAACGATCTCGTCAGCCTCAACAATTGTCAACTTTGCATTTTTCGCCATCGCTTCATTGAAGTTGTTTTGGGCTTTCCGGAATGTACAATTGCCCAGCCTATCGGCCTTGTGAACTTTGACCAAAGCAACATCGGCAAAGATCGCTTCTTCAAGTATGTACTTCTTGCCGTGAAACTCGCGCGTTTCTCGAGGCCGTGACATGAGCGCTACAGACCCGTCTCTATTGTACCGGACAGGTAATTCGCCAGTCTGTACTGGACAGACAAAGATTTTAGCAGCTTGCCGCTAAGCAGTGTTTGATAGACTTACCAACAGTGCCATACGCCGCTGGGGTATAGAATGCTGGTACACCCGCTGCCCCAGATGCGCATCTCTCGGCCATCGTTCCCTGCGGTATCAACTCGAGACTTAGATCTCCACTGAGATACATTTTCTCAAAAACTTTGTTCTCTCCGATATAAGACGCTATCATTTTACTGATCTGTCGGGTTTCCAGCAATCGGCCTGCCGACGTTAGCTTGGTGATCACCAGCGTTGTCAGCGCACGTACCAAGTCCGACACCAGGCATGCCCGCATTATTTGAGACAACGGTCAGATCTTTGAGATCCTTGCGGGCGGCAACAGCTTCAATGAGCGATTCAGGAACGCCAGAAAAACCAAAGCCTCCGACAAGAACGGTCGATCCGCTTTTTACTTTTTGAATAGCATCGTTTTCGGAGGCACAGATCTTGTTGATCCTTCGTAATGCGGTGGAAGTCGAGAAGCTGCGCTGTGCAAAAGTCCACAGGCGGGTTGGAGCCTGTGCACGGAACGCTGAGCTCATCATGGTTCTCAGTTAAAGCAAGCCCAACGGTCGTGAAGCGTATCGGAACGTCAAGTTCAGTTTGTGTGCCGAAGGATTGAACTCACAGAAAAGCCAAGTGGTATACAAACTTTGTCTCTCTCATGAGTCAATTGCCTTGTTGTAAATGAATGTTCCCATCATGGACAAGGGTACAGTAGCGTCACTGCGTAAACCCCACATGCGAAATATTACTGCTGCCGTATGTGGGACTGTAACACCAGAAATGCCGAGGCGAAATGGTTATACATCCAAAAGAACAGTATACGGTTACTTTTATACACATTGACTCAGCTTCAATATTTCGCCAATTCGACGCCTCGTGGATATTGAAGTGAGTGTTATGACTTCACCGCCATGTTGGCTATGAGAAGAACATCTGTTGCCCCGCTTTGGCGCTCAGCATTGAGCAGGAGAGGCAACGCGACAGCGGCCACTCCAAGATTGCCTCTGACTGGAATCAGAGTCTTGGACATATCTCGAGTCCTCGCTGGGGTAAGTTTATAATTTGCGGGCAGTATCTGAGCTGGCGCTAACACTGCAGAGCCATACTGCGCTCAAATTCTCGGCGATCTAGGGTTCGCAGCAACTCGCTTGTCGAATACATCCCATTTCTGACGTTTCGATAGAGCCGAAGTCATCAAGATCGAACATCCAACAAGAGGCGATGATACGAGAGCATGGGGACCTCCATTTGCACCTTATAAAGATGGACGAGGCGGCGAGGGCGAAAGTGCGTATTATCTATCAGTAAGTGTCGCTGTCTGGACTTTGGTGAAAACTCCATGCTTATCACGCGTTTTAAAGGTGAACCGAAACAAGAGATCTGTAGCAGTCTCGTTCAAAGAAAAGGAAGGCGCGAAACTGATCCAAACGCTCGCCGCCAAAGCTGATGTCATCGTCGAGAACTACCTGCCCGGAACTCTAAAGAAATACGGACTCGACTATAACACCCTTGCCAAGACGAACCCTCGGCTTATCTACGCGAGTATAACTGGGTATGGTCAGACAGGTCCGTACAGTAGTCGTGCAGGTTTCGATGTCATGGTCGAAGCTGAAATGGGTCTGATGCACATCACGGGTCCACGCGATGGACCACCGGTCAAAGTCGGCGTTGCGGTGACTGACCTAACTACTGGGTTATATGCGGTTAATAGCATTCTTGCAGCTGTTATCGAGAGGAGTCACTCGGGGCAAGGACAGGCGTTGGATGTGTGCTTGAGCGATTGTCAAGTTGCGACCCTAGCGAACATGGCGCAATCTGTGTTGGTGACGGGAAAGAGAGATGGCGGACGATATGGAACATCACATCGTGAGTCGCTCCCCGTAGAAAGACCAGTACCTCGAACTGACGAGAGCACTTAGCATCCGTCGTCCCATACCGCGCATTCCGTACCAAAGACGGCGACATCTTGATCGGCGGTGCCAATGACCGACTATTTGGCGTCTTGTGCAAATGTCTCGGTCAAGACGATTGGGCAACCGATGAACGCTTCTCTACAAACTCAGTGCGAGTAGCGAATAGGGATGCACTCGAGCGTATGATCGAAGACATTACGAGTTCCAAGCTATCGAAAGAATGGCTCGATATCTTTGAGGATACAGGTCTCGCGTATGCCAAGATCAACGATATCAAGGACACGCTGGAGCACTCACACGGTAAGCAACCCTCACTTGCTAGTGTTACGACTCTGACCATAGCTATCAGTTGTCGCGAGAGACATGATAAAAGAGATTGAACATCCTGCATGTGGCCAGTTGAAAGTGCTTAACAGCCCTGTCAAGTATTCCAGAACCCAGCCTTCGATCAGGACGCCGCCACCGTTACTGGGTGAGCATACCGATGAAGTATTGAGAGACGTACTGGGGTTGGACGCAGCTGAGATCGAAAGGCTCAGAGAGAAGAAGGCCGTCGGTGGATAATTAGAGTTTATATATACTGTAGCAATAATTGTTTATCATTTCTATTCAACACTTTGTCTATCACGCTTACGATCATTTACATAAACTTAGTAATTACAAGGTGCGAGCAAAGTGATTGCATGGCAGCTGAAATGTCTTATTGAACTACTCCATGATTATGGCGGATGCAACACCAATTCCGGTGCTAAATAACCTGTTAGCATCCACTCGATCAAGGCAATATGGACGCTCTTACCTAGCACACATGCTAATAACACCAATCTCCTCCCCCCGTCTCCCAAGCTCGGCAATCAGCGTCGCAAGCTGTCTCGTCCCAGTCGCTCCAGTAGGATGGCCAATAGCGATAGCACCACCATTTGGATTAACCCTATCGACATCAAAACCTAGTTTATTAATGCACGCCAGAGTCTGACTCGCAAATGCTTCATTGAGTTCGATAACACCAACGTCTTTCTGCTCTATACCAACATGTTTGTACAGTCGTGGAATGGCATAGACGGGTCCCATGCCCATTTCGTCGGGCTCGCAGCCTGCGACTTGGGTTCCGAGGAATCGAGCTACAGGTTTCAGGCCGCGTTCTATTGCCCATGAGCGACGGACGAGGATGGCCGCTGATGCACCGTCAGATATCTGGGACCTGCAGGTGATCAGTAGAGCTAGTAATGTATAGGTTGCACGATGCTCACGAGTTTCCAGCAGTGCTGCCACCGTCTTCCAGAAATGCTGGCTTAAGTTTGGCCAACTTGTCCAACGTCACGTTTGGTCGGATAGTGTCATCTGCAGCAACACGAACTTGCGATGTTTCTCCATCTTCGCTATTATACGCCGTGTACTCAATCGGCACTATCTCCGCATCAAATCGACCCGCTGCAAGTGCCTTATTCGCACGAGTATGACTCAAAAGAGCATACTCATCCTGCATTTTGCGATCAACTCCGTATCTCCTCGCAACGTTCTCTGATGTAAGGCCCATGGGCATGAGACAATCGGCAGCTGCTTTGACCTTGGTGTTACGCAGAGTTGGACCCACGTCTTGAGGTATTCCTCGAGACTGGTAGGTCTTCGACATGCTTTCGACGCCTCCAGCGAGAGCGACGTCGATCTGACCCGCTTGGATTGCATGCGCCATGTGAGTTAAAGCTTGCAGACTACTCGAACACTGACGATTGACCGTGTGAAATGTCGTTGATGTAGGGAACCCAGCGTGTAAGAGCGCCATTCTACCAGTTTTGGCAAAACCTAGCTCTGCGAGGACATTCCCTATCAGAACATCTTGGACGTCTCCTGTCTGGATCTTAGCCCGCAGTGCCGCCTCGGCCATAACCTAGAGGGTATATCAGCCACAGCGCCTGCGATCAAATATGATGAGATCAACGTACCGGCGCCAAAATGTCTTCTGGCCACGCATCTTTGAAACCGCCTTTGAACGCTCGTGTGATGGGACTGCGAACAGCTGATAAAATGACTATATCACTTGGTGACTTGGTCGACAGTGCTTTCAAACGCCTTGTAACACTCGCCATTGCTCTTTTGTTCTTTTACTTGGTGTGTGTCCAACTGCAACAAGGTACTCCCTCCTGAAGCTCAGGTCCATGGTCTTGGTGATGCCTTGCTTGGCGACTTGGGCACTATCCCTGTTCTGGCGTCCCACATCATGTCTACAGTCTATATCCGTAATTCCGTACGTGGAGCTCCCCATGCTGATGTGGAGAAGAGTTCGCACGCGTCACGCGCGTTCCATGTGGGGGAAGTGGAACGCGTTTGCCATGCGTGCGCTAAGCTCACTTCAGCGAGAGGGGATCTCTACCGTACCCTGTATTCTTGTCCTCGATTGAGTTTTTGCACACTGAGCAGCTTTCCACGGTGTCAGACACCATAATTGCAAACAATCATGAGTTTCGCGTTCGGAAAAGAAGTCTGCTATCCAGCCTACGAAGGTCGAGAGACGCCCAAAGTCTCATACGGGCTCAAATTCCCCGAGGCCTGCTTACGTCACTGTCGCGATACTTTTTCCTGCTCTAGGGTGTACGTGGTTTGTTCCAAGTCATTGGCACAGTCTACAGACGCGCTTGAAAAGCTTCGTTCGGCACTTGATAGCAGGATTGTCGGTGTCAGAATCGGGGTCAATCCACATACTCCAATTGCGCAAGTTCTCGAAGTCGTCAATGATGCTTCAAAGCTCAACATCGACTGCCTCGTGACATTGGGCGCTGGCAGTCTGACAGATGCCGCCAAATTGGTGAGGCTCGCTTTAGCCAACTCGGTCACAACGGAGAAGGAAATGGATACTCTGTGGGGAACGCCAAAGAGCAATCCTGCGTTGCGAAACAACATATCCAACCCAACTATTCCCCTAATCCATATCCCGACATCGCTGTCTGGGGGAGAGTTTCAAGCCATCGCCGGAGGAACAGAATCCCGAGGCCATGCAAAGAGAACCTTTCACTGCGAGGGCGTCGATCCAGAACTCGTCATCCAAGATCCAGAGCTGTGCCTTACAACTCCCGAGTGGGTTTGGCTTAGCACAGGTATCCGTGCTGTTGATCATTGCGTTGAAACGCTCTGCTCGCTTGTCTCAAACGATAAAGCTGATGAATGGTCTAAAAAGGGTCTTGTGAAACTTGTTAGTGGTCTATTGGCAAGCAAGGCGGATCCAAAGTCTCTGCAAGCGCGACATCTATGCCATCGGGGGGTTGTCTCGTCTATGTGTGCCGTGTCAAGTGGTGTTCCACTCGGTGCGAGTCATGCTATCGGACATCAACTTGGACCTCTTGGAGTTGGCCACGGTGAAACGAGCTGTATACTCTTACCTGCCGTGTGCAGATTCAATTACAACAAAGAGGCAAACGTTGAGAGACAGGAAGTTGTGAGGGACTTGTTGCTCGAACAGGATGAGGTTCAGCAGCTGTTACAGGCGAAGGGTTTTGATAAGAGCGCCGTAAGTCTGGCCGATATCCTGGACGTGTTTATTTCTGCCCTGGGTATGCCTCGATCGCTTGAAGAAGTGGGGGTAGGGGAGGATAAGCTTGAGGTCCTTGCTCGGAACAGTCTGGACGATATCTGGATCCAAACAAATGCATTCCCCATCACGGAGGCTAGTCAGGTTATGGAGATACTTAGCATGTGCGTCAAAAGACGATAAGACTTGTATCTAAATATCTACATGCTTCAATCTAATACTGCCTATTGGTAAAGTACTCATACTTGCCCGCCAACCGAACCCGGAACATACGACCCCAGATTACCATGGGCACACAAGTCAAAGCGATGGCAGTAGAAATGCAGCCCAAGACCACGTACATGTTGTACACGCCCATACCTTCCATCCAAGGTGTGACGGCAAAGACTAGGCCTGTCGCAATGACATTACGAACGAAAACAACGCCTGTCAGAGCAGGGCCTATAATCTTTGAGAGAAGGTTAGTCAATGGCAGGAAGATTAGAGTTGGAATAGCTTACATGCTCGTGAGAATCTTGAAGGAATGTGAGGGACATGTCTCCTCCACCTCCAATGGCGAAACCGATGAAGCCTGAGCCTACAGCGTTGATGATCCAAGGCATTCCCTACAGATTGTCAGTATGTTCAGGTTGTTGAATGTTAAATAGAACTTACCTTGGCAATAGTGAGCCCATACATGAGACATCCGATCGTCATGCATAATCCAGGAATCAGGAAAAGCCACAATCTTGTCTCCGGTTCGTAAATACCCCCACGGCGTTTCGCAATCTGTACAATCGACCAGTCGACGAGCGGTCCTCCGAACAGAGCTCCCAGGATCGCGCCGATGAATGGAGGGATATTCATGTTTCCAACACCAGCTGTTGTGAAATTATAAGGGGGAATGGAGTAGAGTGAACTTTGTGTTACTGCCAGAATGGCGAGCATGGCAATGCTCCAACCATACTGTAACGCGGCGAACATGACGGCAGGGAATGTGGCAAGGAGCTGGAAAGGCTCGTATATATCTCTCCAGAACGTTCGCTTCTGAGTGGACTCGTGTTTATCCAATGTCAAAAGTGCATGGCGCTTCCAGTAAGAGTTCATGGGAATGCTGTGATCTATCTCAACGGCATCACTCTGCTGGTCCATAGAGTCGATACTGGCTGGTGAATCGTTTGGCAGGGGTGCCTTTGCGGTGCTGTTAACCTTGGAGAACTCGTTATCGGTAGGCGAGGATGCGATAACTCGAGGGTCGTGGCCGTTGAGAGGCGCAGGGATGTACTTTGTTTCTTCGAGGAAGAAGAACATGAGGACAGTGACGATGCCGGTAAAGACGGTGGCGGACCAGCATGCCCATCGCCAGCCCATTGTCACGGCTACTTGGCCACCGTAGACAGGTCCAAGGTAATTCTGTATCTGTTAGAGAGTGACAGCTGTGAAGGGATCATATGATTGCTCACCCCTACTAAGACCATCCCAAAGTAGATACCATTCATTGTACCACGTTGATGGACGAAGAAAAGTTCGGTTACCTGCCATATCAATGAGTATGAGCTAACTCATTACGCCAGCTTGGTAAAAGCTTACTGTAACCTGGAACAGGGCCTCATTGACAGCTCCAGCGATGCCTGCGATAGTATTCATACCAATCATATCTCCAACAGTGTGCGTCTCGGCTTGCCACGCCCCAGCACCAAACATGATCAACGACGTGACGAGATAAACCGGTCGACGGCCGATGCGGAGGGCGATGGGAATGAAGATGATGCAGCCAGTTGCAAGACCTGCCATGTTTGCTGCATATCCATTGTTCAACATGTCGTAGCTCATGCCGAGCTCTTCGTTGAAGTTCTGCCAGAATGGGACGCTCATGCAGGGACTTGAATGACGTTGATTAGCGTTTGGGGGATAGAGAGAGGTTGAAGACGTACATGCAGAACATCATCATTGAGTAAAGAGAAAGAAGGACCATATGTAGCGTTTTACGCATTGTACTCCAGTTCTAAAAATGTCAGAGTATGTCAATCGTTTGAGCAGGCTCTCATACCAGAGGCTGATTGGGATCTGAAGTTGGCCGAGGAGCCAGCACGATATTAGTGGCTTGCAAGTCATTGATGCGTTGCGTGCCCGGAGGCAGGACATCAATTGTCAAAGTGCTCTCTTCAGGCGGCATGATTGAAGGTCAGTGAAATCGAAGGTGTCTAAACCGCCAAGACTAACGGGACATAGAGACATATTAAATATCCAACCCATTCTCGTATCTCGACTAGTTGACGGCGAATGCGGGGTTGGCCGACACTAACTTAGTAGACAAACGCTTGAAGATAAGCTTCCAGCCGACGGTCGCAGCATTCCGACCTCGCTGATACGACATGAGCCAATCATCATTCGGGGTGCGAGCAGGCATCGGTTTCCGGCTGGGCGATCGAGCTATGCTGAAATAGGCTGGTCGAGCCCATGATAATGAATGACGATGCTACTGGTTCTAGACCTTGCGGCACCTGCGACAATCAGTGCCGCAAGCGGTATCGCGGCATTCTTGGTCACTTTTGTTTCCCTTTTTGGAATGTTGATGACATTGGGGGATGCATTGTATAAAAAGGGCAGTTGTTTGGAGACGACCGTCTTTATCGCGAAGTATCAGGCCAACAACTTGCATACAGCTTGGAGCTGTTGGTGTCAGTGCTACCATTTTTATCCCTGTCTATCTAAGACTCGTTGTCAAAGTCGAGCATATCCTCAATTCTTCCCTGGCTCTGAATCTCCCCCTTCGAAAGAAGAACGACTCTCACTTGTCGACTCTCTCCTCCAGTTCTAGCGACATCCTCGAATCCAGACAACCGATGTGTAATCTCAATCACAGTATGTCCGTTATTTGTAAAAACGTCTCTAATGATGTCCCGCATCGTAGACTCTGTGAGCCCGTCGACCGATGATGTTGCCTCGTCCAGAAGAAGAATAGGTTTTGCTTCCGTGGCTGAAGAATGCTCTGCTCGTAGGATAGCTCTAGTCAAGGCAAATAACTGCGTTTGGCCAGTTGACATGTGAGGCAGCGAACTGAGAGGTTCATCCAGGATGTCTACCAACTGTACCTCCGGATCAGTGTCGAAATGTCGAGAGAGTCCAGTTCGCTGAAGTGCCTTCATGATGACACTGTCGGAAAGAATCTCTGAAGGCTATAGAGAGAAAAATTAAGATTTTTCGTTAATGTAAGTTCCCCCGTAGGTTTCCACGCGATTGTTTACTCACATCCAAGTTGAAACGAAGGCTGGCCTGTGCGAGCAGAAATGGATCTTGCGTGACAATAATCAAGCATCGTTCTCGTATGACTGACAGTGAGGCCAGGCTCAAGTCGATACCGTCAACTTCGATACATCCCGATTGGGTGTCGAGAAGGCGGAGCAAGGCCAGGAGGAGAGTGCTTTTCCCACTAGAAAGGCTTGTCAGCAGCAGCCCCACAGGATAGAGACGGGCTATAAATAGAGGACAAACCTGCCAGTTCTGCCGCAAATCACCAAATGTCGACCGGGCTCAATGGATAGGTTGATGCTCTTCAATGCAGGCACGTGTGTCTCTTCGTAAGAGACCGACAGACCATGGACCTGAAGCGCCCCACGTGAAGGCCAAGACTCCGGGACTATTGCTCCGGACACTGGCTGCTCTTCTGCTACTGTGTCTTCTTCCAGCGTCTTCAAACGAGATCTGTAACGGTACTTCAGTAAACAACTACATATATTCAACAAAGACAATGAGAGTCTTGCAGACGGCTAGGCAAAGTCCTGGACTTGGACTTACATTGCACCGAGAGATATCTCCAAATTCGTCCACGATGTAACAAGTGATAAAAGCGTTGAGTTGGCAACAAGGACAATGTTCAAAGACATGCCGATCTGTCCGGCTGTTGTGCTTCCCTCTAATAATACTGCTAAAGTGATCAGAATCACTGCCATAGTGGCAATGAGTAAGTCGAGAACAATATTGAGCCTGAGCTGCAAGCACAGAAGGATGTACGCTGGTTGCTGGGACTTATCGAGACAGTCCATGTTACTGCTCTCTGCTTGCTTCACCCAGCCAAACGACCGGATGCTGACGATACCTTCGACCTGTTGATAGAGGCAATCAGCCTTGTTCCATAAAAATGTAGCTGCTGGTACTTACGGACTCAAGGAAGCTTGAGTAGACAGCAGACTGCGACTCTAGTTGAAGCAGACGAAGTTGTCGAGATGTTCGCAGGTACACCCGCTGCACAACATAGACTATCAAAACGCATAACGGCAGTGTGGCAGTCAGCAGTTTTTGGGCATTGAAGAGGAGAGCGGCTTGCACCAGAAGCTTGAAGATTTCTTGAAACAGTTAAAAAGGCCTCATAATGCATATGCCCTGAGGTCTGGATGTACTGACGGTTGGAAAGAGACAGAATTGCTGGAGGCAGGCTCTTGTCAACAAGTTGTATATCTTCACTGAACCTGAGAATCATCAGCCAAGCGATAAGCAATGACAGGCAAACGGTGTATGATACCGATTCAGTATTGAACCCGTCTCTGTAACTGAGAAGAACAGCAATGGCGCGCTGGGATCAGTTAGCCTGGCTCTTTCTATGATGGTCATGCTGCACAGACCCAAATACAGTGGAGAGTAAACGTCGGTGGAGTCCAACACCCGATGTTGGTGCAATCAACATATGAGTAGACCTGCGAATGAACCATTAGCCGTATGTGAGTATTTTCAGAGGCCGAATGGCTTACCACATTGACCCATTCGTGGCTATCCAGGCTAACAGTGAAAGGATGAGGTATCCTCCGATATAGAATTTCGTCTGTGAACCTGGTGATTCCGTCCACTTCTGCAGCCAATACTGTGGAAAGGTCACAAAGAATGAATATGAAGCTGTACAAGAGAGTAGTATGAAGAAATTACGCGGATGAACAGCTTTCAGGTAATATCCTATAACAGTCAGTGACCTTCACATCGTTGGAGTTAAAATATCACCATATAGAGTGAAGTCTCCTGTTGATCTAGCCAAATCAGCCACAGCCTCAGTTACTTCGAGAGCTTGGCTCTGGATTGTCTTGTTGGTTTCGACAAGACCTGTGTTGGCTTCAGCCACTGTAGCGTTGGCATGCGTGTGACGCAAATGCACCGCTTCTTCATTAATTGCGATTGGTGACCCTTGGTAGGTGACTCTTCCGCTCTCCAGAATGATCAACGAGTCCGCCAGGTCAAAGTGTTTAGCTAAAATTGATGAGCTTCGATACTTCGCGAAACATATCACTAGGCACTCACTCGAGTTGGCAATTAAGACGACTGTAGTGCCTGTCTTGCGGAAATGTCCTTGAGTCCCTAGAAGATTAGAAACGACCTTTCTTTCTGTGTTGTGGTCTAGAGCTGAGAAGCTGTCGTCGAGAACCACAATTTTGCACCGAGCATATAAAGCACGGGCGAGTGCCTGGTTTATGGTCAGCACCGTAAAGCTTCACAGATAGAGATACAGCCGAGTACATACCAAACGCTGTCTTTGACCTCCAGAGAGCTTCAGGCCCCGACTCCCTATGACAGTGTCATTACCGAGTGGCAAGGCTAAAATATCCTCATCGAGGCAGCAAAGCTTGACAACATGCCTGTACCAATTGTGCTCAAACTTTCCGAACCCACAAACTGCTTCTTTCAGAGTTCCACTCGGCAACCAGGGCGTTTGTTCGCAGTAAGCGATCCGCTTGGTGGAAACTGAGATTGTCCCGCTCGAAGTCGGGATTTCACCTAAAATGCACTGGGCGAGAACTGTCTTTCCGCTTCCAACTGCTCCAGCGCATATGAAAATTGTGCCCTCATTGACGGCGAAACTGATATTTTCGAGAACTGGGCGGGGTGCTGAACGGGGCTGAACAGTGACTCCTTCAAAGCAAATGGCTGATGAAGAATCATCGTCCTTTGTACTTGGCTCGAGCAAACGTCTCTCATCAGCTCGACCAGGCCGGACGAGATAGTCTTGGATTCTTCGGAAAGCAGCCAAAGAGCCAATGGCACGGGGAACAATAGTCATGATCATATTTGCTGGGTGGGTCACCAGCCCAAGAAGCGCTGTTGTCGTAAATGCAGTCTCGGCATCCAGAGTCGACCCACGTAGGTTAGCATACATCACGAATATGACAAATGTTAGTATAGGAGAGAAGATTCCGAGAGCATTGGCTATCATGGTTAGCAGAGGTAGACCCGTGAAAAAATCATCATAAAACCCACCACTGGCGTTATACGCGACCATCATCCACCGCACCTTTTTCGCCATCTCTAATTCTTGGGCCCGAAGCTTCTGAATCAAAGCTTCGGTTTGTCTGGAAGATCCAAGCATCTTCATCATCTTCATTGATGAGAGCGCAGATGCCGTCAGCGAGATTCGTCTCTGTGTCGCTTCATTCCACGCCTTCTGCTTGCTTTGCAGGTTTTTGGCCAGGTACCGACTCATTCTAGAGCAAACTGTTGAACAGAGACTACATTAGCTACCTCTATCGAATCGACATTTGATCTGGAGATCTCACAGAAGATAATCACTAGAGGTACTGGCGCGGCCCAGCGGATTTGTCGAGCCAACATTGCCATTCCGATTATGACCTCAAGTACATGCGCCCAAGTCTCATGGAACATGCTCGCGAATCTCATCACGCTCTCCGTATCTGTGCTGATTAAAGTTAGGGCTATACCGTCGTTATAGCTGCTTGATGACTGCCGCAGAGCTGCGTTATTGATAAGCCCGATGAGTGTCCCTTTGGTCATGACGCTGAGTCTGTTCAACCGATGGTGGTATACTGCTTCAAAAACTGCTAAACCGAAGTAGACCGCAGCGGCTTTCATGATCAGCATAAGCCTACCTCCTTCGGAGTGGCTGCTTAGTTCATGAACCGCTGAGCTAATGAGAGCCGGCTGCGCGTAACGAAAGAATATCAGGCATAGTCGAAGGATAACTGGTACCATGAACTGAGGTAGCATACTCTTCACGAGGCAGATGGGTAGTGTTGTCTTGGTCAATGGTCTGGTCCTCTGGTCCCACGCCTTTAAGCCATCATGACGGAGCTTCTCCGAAGAAAGGAGGTGGTCAATCGGAGGAAGATCTTCACAGGAAAGAATGATCTGGTTCCCCAAGGCGAGAATGTGATTGATCCACCAGAAGAATGTTCTGCTTAGAATTCCTGCTAGCTGTTCTGGAGATTGGGAAGAGTAGGGACTCTTGAGAATCCCTTGTTTGCTTCGGCTTTCTGCGGCGATGAGAAGAAACTTTAGAGTACTCTTGGTGGTCGGTACCAACCACTCCTCAAGACCCTCTTGCATAGCAAAACCCAAGTCACACACCAAAGATACGAGCAAGAAGATAACAGCGAGATCGGCTGGTTTGGTTGAGCGCACATGTTCCAGGTACAGCAGAGGGCAAAGAAGCGCTGTAGCGACGAAAGAGGAAATTGACACTAGAAAGTGATAGCGATCTTTCTGCAAGATATCTGTTGCCAAAGAATAAAAGTTCGCCATGAGAAGCAGGCCTGTTATTATCTATACAGCATATGGCGTCAGCTTCATATTGCCACATGAATTGAGGGAAGCTGCACCAGCGATGAGAAGCCAGAATATCCTGGGATGACTTTTATAGGCTCTTTCCGAAGCCGCCATAGGCGTAACGGGATTAAGACAGAAAAGGCCGTGTTGAAAAGGCCTGAGACCAGGCCAATCACGTCGTTATTCATGGTACGAGCGTAGGAATACAAGATCGTGACAGAGGAAATGCTTAGCAATGAGGACATGTATTATTCTGCGATCCCTTCAAGGTGTTGCTGAATGGAACCTGAAAGATTCGTTTCGATGTCTGAGGGGACAGGAGACATTAACTGCTATTGAGACGAACAGATCCCTATGCAGATACGAGGCGGTAAAAATAGAGGTAATAGTGGGTCAGCCAGATCATAGGATTGCGCCATATGGCTTATCTCCTCTAGCGACCAACAGGATCAATTCCTGATGGGTACAACGATGCAGGGAGCACAAGAGAGAAGGGCCTTTTGAATCTACGAGAGCGTAACCAACAACGGTGAGGTTTACCACCTTCTTAGATAGGTATGGCGCTGTATGATATCAGAACCCATTTTAAATTGCAGTTGTCTGTCAATATTACATCGGCTGTACTGCTATGGAAATAACAATAAGACATCCGAATTCAACAATAAAGACGAACGTCAGGAACACTAGTCGCAGAGCCGACGATGGTACAATCTCTCCAGCTCACGTTTCAAGCCGTCTTCACTCCACCTGTAGTATTGCCATCACTCTTCTCATCGTGGCTCTCAGTGGGCTTGTCATCTGTACTCGTTACCGGCGCAGCTTCATCAACAACGCCGCTGTGACCTCGACCGACCATAGCAGACTGAACATGATTTGTCATAAAAGCAGTTGGGTCCTCCACGAATAAGGCACAAATGACGGCAACAGTTGAGAATGCAATTGTGATGTAAAACACAAACTGGAATGCGCGACCGTATGCTTGTCTGACTGCATGGCGAAGGACATCCTGAATCTCTGGTGACATACCGGGAACGGCGTCGAGGGCACCAGGGACACCGAGGTTATGCTGAATGGTTCCCGGGATGATGAGTCCTAGGTCAGTGGCGTTGAGGCCACTTTGGAGGGCAGCGCGAGCGATCTCTTCACCAGAGTAGGTCTTGAACTTATCCTGGAAGATGGTGTTGAAGATGGCATTTCCGACCGCACCGCCGGCTGATCGGAAAGTACCAAGAAGACCCATGGCAAGACCCAAGTGAGAATGGGGCACGTGTAGACTAGCAATGGAGTATCCCAAGATGGTGCAAAGAACGAACATGGGGACACCAAAAGCTGGTACAAATGCCCAGGCCAGTTTGTGGTTTGGGTTGACGGTGGCGGCACTGGCGCCGATGAAGATAGCCTGGAATGCTGTGCCAGCGACAAATTGCCATTTGATGTGACCGATCTTATGAGAGAAGAGGGGAACAAGAAAACCACAGACACCTTGCATCAGTGTATTGGGTAGGGCTAGAACACCAATCTCAATTCCGTCAGTGGTAAACATGTAAAGAGAGCCTTGGGGCAGTAGGGCAGAGAGGGAATTATAGTTCATTCCCGAAATGAACAAGACAACGATGACAAGAAGAAAGCCGCGAATGGTGGAAAATAGACTGAGGGGGAACATAGGAGCTTTGGCGATGAAAAAGTCGTAGATGAAAGCAGCAACAATGGTGAACAGTCCGAGAACGATCGGCACGATTGTGCTGGCACTCTTCCATGGATGAGAAGTGGTGCCGCCCCAGGTCAAGCCGATCAAGAATACGGCGAGTCCGGCTGTGAACAGACCAAGACCAATCCAATCGATCTCACGGAACTGAGTCCAGCGCGATTTCTCGAAATCTCCTTGGGGGTGAGTTGTTGGCCAATAGAACAAAGCTGTACCGACCAGGGAGATGGCCTGGACAATGATGGCGAGGTAGAAGAGCCATCGCCAGGTCGCGTACTTGTACATGGCATTGGCAAGTAGAACGCTCACGACGGCCCTGAAACTCTGTGTCAGTACAAGTGAATGGCTGGGATCTGAACAAACTCACCAAGGAAGAGCAATTCCTCCCTCAAGAATACCCAAGCCGAGAGACCGCCATTTGTTAGGAAGCATTTCAGGTACACCTGCATACGCCACAAACACAAAACCAGCACCAAGACCGACCAGAGTCTCGGCTGCAATTATGCTTTGAGTGTTCTGAGCGGTTCCTCCCACAATGTTACCGATCAAGACGATGATTTGGCCTGCAAGGATAATGCTTCGGCGGCCGAAAATATCGCTAAAGGGACCACCGAGGGAGAAAGAGCAGGCTGTTGCCAGAGACCATGCTCCTACGACCCACGGCAGTTGACTTGCATCGCCGAGTTCATTCGTGATCTGCACAACGATACTAGCAACGCAGACGAACGGAAGACCAACAGCTGGTCCGAAGGACAATGCCATTGACTGTTAAGCGGCATCAGTTCCGATTCCGAGATTATACGATCACAGGGGTTTTCTTACAAAGATGGCAATCCATACTCGGGCTCCCGTTTTCGGCTGCGTAGTGGGATTATCCTCCAGCGCAGCACGATGAGGATCATCCTCAAGTTCGACTTTGGCGGGCGATAAAGTATTCGGCTGAGCCATGTTGGTCACGTAACCGAGGTTTCTTAGCGAAGAAAAAAAAATGTCAGATGAAACAGAGTAGTATTGCCCCTAGCGAAGATGTTCAGGAGCTTGGCCCTGTTTTCCTATTATACCTTATCAACGGAATAGTCGGGACTTGGAGTGACTTAAACTGCCGATGCCTTAACTTTGTGGGGTTCGCTAGCGCTTGTGGGGTTCTCGATTTGCTGTGTGGGGATAGAGTTTGACAGAGTGCGGGGAGACTACCCTGGACCCCTGCATGTGATATCCTGTAGCTCGTTGAAAGCAGAAATAAGCCATTCTTGATTTGGTGTTGGGCTGTGTTTCAGCCGTGATTTGATATACACATCTAATTACAGGGCAATTGCCGACCTTTGATCGCTCGGCGGGGTTCCGATGTGGGACGGCCGATATGTCTACCGAGGTTTTGAGCCCTGTTTCTTCATTATGCGAAAATCATCACGGTCAAGGTCACAACTCAAGATAGTTTTGAAGATAAAAAGGCGTGAGAGAATTAATTAACTTTCGTTTTGGCTTAAGACATTCAGCAAATATACACTTCATTCCCCACACTCTTATCTCGCGGCATATCACCATGACCAACAAAACCGATCTCAGGGTCTCCATTATTGGAGCAGGTATGATCCCGTTCAACAATGCAAATTACATCCAATGAAAACTAACTCTTCATCCAGGAATGGGAGGTTTGGCTGCTGCCTTGGCGTTTGCCAAGAAAGGCTTCACAAACATCCATGTCTACGAAGATGCACCCGCCCTCGGCTTCGTCGGCGCCGGCATCCAAATGGCCCCCAACATGATCCGCCTCCTTGACCAACTCGGCGTCTGGACCAAATCCTCCATCAAAGACGAAGCCACACAAGTGGAGGAAGTCGTCATCCACGATGGCGCGTCAAATAAACTTCTTGTGCGCGTTTCCATGACTGATATAGGGGATAAGTATGAGTATCCCCACTATGCAGGTCATCGTGCTTCGCTGGCTGAGGGTATCTATGATGCTGCGAAAGCGGAGCCGGCGGTCAGGTTTCATTTTAAGAAGACGTTGCAGTATGTTGAGGACTTCGGACCGGGGAAGGTCAAGTTCATTGTTAAAGATGAGAATGGGAAGCCGCAGATTATTGAGACGGATATTCTCATTGGCGCTGATGGGATCAAGTCAAAGGTTAGGGAGTCGATACTCGCTCATCTGAATTTGGCAGCAGGCATTCTCGAGACCGGAACAGCAGCCTACAGAATTCTTCTGCCCCGGGAACTGTTGGAACCACATCCGTACCTAATGTACATGCTCAACAGCAACACCGTCCGGAGGTGGATAGGCGAAAACCGACACATCATCGCCTATCCTATCCATAACCACTCCATCTTCAACATTGCCTCAGTTCAACCTGATGTGAACTTCGCCGGCGCCACCAACGCTACTTGGACCAACAAGGGAAGCAAAAAGGCCATGAAGCAGGTCTTTGAAGACTTCAACCCCATCGTTCAACAGCTTCTTGACCTTGTTCCAGGTGAAGACGTCGTTGAGTGGAAACTGCGCTGTCATGAGCCTCTAGCAACATGGACATGCGGTGCAGTTACCATGCTTGGCGATGCATGCCATCCAACACTACCCCACCTCTCACAAGGCGCTGCAATGGCAATCGAAGATGCAGCTACGCTCGCTGAAGCGTTGAATCTAATGCCAGGCGATGGCTCAGACCGGGAAGCTATCGAAAAGACATTGAAGGTGTATGAACTTCTGCGAAAACCTCGGACATCGACTTTAGTAGACTTGGCGGTTCAATCTGCTAAGGCTTTGCATCTGGGTGCTGGAAATGCTAGAGAGGAGCGGGATCGTCAGTTTGCCGCTGCTGCGAAGACGGGGACTGCGCCTGTGCCGGATAGATGGGTTAGTCCGGAGGTGCAGAAGATGATTTATGAGCATGATTGTATCAAGGATACGAGAGAGCGGTTTGAGCAGACCTATAAGTCTGTGTCGAAGGGGATTGCATCGAAGCTGTAGGATATCGAGATTTGCATTCTAGCATAGCGGAAGTCAGCGAAGAGAGTTTTATACCATTATTACATGTATGATCTGACCACGCCTTCGCGACCAACATTTTCGATTTTGATCCCGACTATTCCGCCGACTCCTCGAAGAAAGAAACAGGCATTCTGTTCATTCAAGTTGCTCGCGAGGTTGATGTGCTACATTAAGGCATCTTCAACAGCCAGTATACTTTCCTTCGCCTCCAAAATACGCTCATACACGGCTGCGTCGATATTAGCGAAGGAGTAGACTATCTGGATGATGATCTTACCGACGAGTGGCCACCGCTTCCCCACGTGCGAGAGAAGCCAGCCTAGAGATTCCTTCTTGCTCTGAACGTCTTCCGCAAGCCATACTTCACCCATTCGTAACAAAACTAGCATGCCTTGGTAGGCCAGTTCAACTAGGAACAGAGAGCATCGCCCGTCTTCAAGATGTTGCCATAAGTCGTAGCCGCCTTCGCGTAGGGTCTTCGAGATGCGATCCAGAGCTTCGAGTGCTGAGATTGTTTCTGGGAAGATATTAGGTGTCGAATCATGTTCCGACTCGTGGCCAGCGCGTCGCCAATAGTGCTGCTGCAGTAGCAGAATCCCACTCGTCAAAGTCAGTATTCCTCGCTGAAAGGGTCGGATGTGGCTAACAGGTGCGAAACAGAGCTTTGACTACAGAAAGCCAGCTGACGACTGGTCACTTCGAGTTCGTTGACGCGGACTAGGGACTCCAGTGTGCGGCAGAGCTGTCTCACTTCCTCAGGCGGACTGTTCTGTGACACGGTTTCGCTGCTATTGGAAGCAACGCGACAGAATGCGAGAGACTTGCTGATGAGATGGGTGGCTTGACATAACCGTGCGAAAGACCCCATCTTGAAGGTAAACCCCTCAGATATGCGAGTGGCACATTCGGGCGAAGACGACTGTTGGAAGATCTTGTTAGTCGGGCGTCGTAAGTAGGTAGGGGAGAAAGGCAAAGGGCTTTTATCCTAGATGATGACCATAAATGACCTAAAGGCCTCCTCAGGTTACACTAAGTTCACCCTAATCTTCTCATCATTTAGGATAGTGGCCCTAAGATTTCTTGCTTGGGGGAAGGGTGTTTATACTTGTTTGTAAAAGACTTCATCGTCAACGGGGAGAAAGTCCTCGAATGAGGGATCAGCCGTGCTTAAGCCACGAGAAGGTTGAGACACGTTGACTAAGCTTCGTACAGAGCATTAGCACAAAACGCAGTGTTTATAGCGATTGACATACCGATCGAGGATCAATGTGCCCCACCAAACCCTCCTCAATTCTTCAATATCCGCCCACGATGCGCCTATGGCTGCACCGCAGTTCGTACCTAGTGCATCCTGGTTGATCTTGTCCATTCCCATAGCTATGCCATACCTTGCCAAAGCACCGACAGTCAGGTAAGCAGCCGGGAAGATTGCATCGCCCATCTCGAAGACTGCAATGAAGACCGCCGCCTGCATGACTTGAACGCACGAGTCCTCCTGGGCCTCAACTTCTGCATATAATTTCTTCACAAGGTCGTATAGCACGCGCTTTTCTTCTGTTTCATCGACTGAAAGGCAGCATAGCTTCATGCATAAAGCTAGGAGGGCAGTTGGACGCCGTAGCGGGGCCAGCGGATTCAAGACGGCGGCTAGATGGCGCTTCCCGTTGACTATAAGCATCCATGACCTCGTCAACTGAAGAAAGGCTTTGGTAGTGGCTTGCATTTGCTGACGACCCCCAAGTTGGACTTCGATCTCAGCTGGCATATCCCATTCCATACGTGGCAGTTGAAGATGGAGATCGCGAAAGAGGACTGGTGCCAGGAAATGAATGGCCCTGGCGTTGCGCAGCTCTTCTGCCTTTTCGGATTGGACCGTATCTTGATTGCTGTTGTGTGAGCTCCTCCTTGCGGCAGCGTCATCTATATTAGGCGCATTATCAATCGGTGAAGCGGCCCTCTGACCGCGCCGCCGGGGATAGCGACATTCTAGGTCTTTGCGACGACAGAGCTGGCATGCAGGCAATGACTTGTCACAGCGTCGCTTACTGTCGCGACAATGGAAACACGAGACGCGAGATCTGACCGTCGGTTGCAATGAAGTCGACATTGTGGCCGGTGCTGTTATGGTGACCTGCGGACTATGAATAGTAAGCAGACACGTTTGCGGATGTTGCGGTACTTTGGCGGCACTGCGATACTGCGAGGATAATGAGTAAGTATTATTAAAGCTTTTTATTGGTTGTCTGGAGCAGTGCGGTAAATCCTGCGGTCATTTCGGGGTTTTAGTCCTGGGGTCGCATCGTGAGGTGATCACTAAACAGAATATTAGTGAGCACTCCGCTTATAAAGCTCCACTGTAGATAGGAGTTGTACGATGTAAGTGACATAGAGTACAATTGGATATATAAACAGATCTTTTCTTCGCTTGTTACAGCAATAACATCTTTTTAGTATCACACTCAACCTACAACAAAACACACAGCATCACAAACGGCTTTTAACTCACAAACCTTCGAATCCTCTTTTCACCATGAAGTCAATCCTCATCGTCGGTGCCACTGGAGCTCAAGGCGGCGCGATTCTTCGTCACTTGTCCAGTACTGGAAACTACAAAATCACAGCTTTCACCCGAAGCGCGACATCTCCTAAGGCTGTCGAACTAGCGGCTCTGCCTAATGTGAAGATCGCTGTTAGTGATGCCGCAACTGGCTACGACACCAGAGCATTTCTCGCAGCTGCTTCGGATGTCGATTATGTTCTGGTGAACACCGATGGATTCGCACTTGGAGAACAAGCCGAGATCTATTGGGGAATTCGACTCTTTGAGTTGTCTGCTAGAGCCGGAGTCAAGCACTTTATCTACAGTGGTCTCGATTCGGTTGGACCCAAGACAAACTATGATCCTGATCTCTATGTTGGACATTATCAAGGCAAGGCAAGGATCCAAGGTAAGCCGTCTCCTAACATTCTTACTGCCACAAGGTTGCCTCTAACCATTTTGATTAGACTGGATCCACGCTCAGAAAGAGGTGAAAATGCAGTGGACTATCATCAAATCAGGTCCATACATGGAACTCCTCTCTGCAGTCATGTCTCCCGCCATTGAACAGGATGGTTCACTCACCTTCCAACTTCCTCTCGACAATGGTTCTATCCCTTTTATTCACCTCGGCGACTTTGGCAAATACGTCGACTGGGCCCTCCAGCACCCTGAAGAGTCCAACCATTTGGACTTTGGCATTGCCACTGTTCTCGCAACCGGCGATGATATTGCCAAAGCTTCCGAGAGGGTCAGTGGAAGAGAAAGTCGATTTGTCAACGTCCCCATTGACATTTGGAACTCTGTCGCCTGGAAGGCCCTGCCCCAAGGTCCAGATACAAAGATCGGCTTCCAGTCTGTCAAGGATGACAGTGGGCTGCTCATGACGTACGGGGAGAACTTCAAAAACTGGTGGAACCTTTACAAGGCTAGTCCCAGAGATAACTCAGGATTGATTCAGAGAGACTTTGAGTTTCTAGGTAGAATCGTTCCGGATCGTGTCAAGAGTGTTAAGGAATGGATGAAGAAGGTTCAGTATACTGGGGATAAACAAGATCTCCTGAATCTTGAGGCTCATACTAAGTGAACGGGGATAGAAGTTCGCGATACGGACCAGGAATCGCAATATGAGAAGTTCTTAGACAGGTAGATGTTTCCTATGGCAGCATTACAAATGCTGCTACGCTGAATTAGCAGTTTACAATCACGCCCCAAAGTGAACGAAAGTAGCCCACACCAGCGGATCCCGAACATTACTCTTCCTTAGCTCCATAACCGCAGTATAATAAGCCCTTGCAATACAATCCTCATTCTCATCATCACAAGCCATCAGCTCCTCATAGAAGCGCCTAGCTACCGATCTTGCCGGTGTATTCTTAGCCTGCCAAAACGTACCAACGACCTGCCGAAAACCCAGCAACGAAAATGCCCCAGCGATATGGACCACTTCATCAACGAGATGCCTAGCTGACACGTTTGCAGTTGAGCATGCAGAGAGGTACGCAAGCTGGGCCTTCTTATGTCGCAAGCCTTGAATCTCTTCAATGGTCAAATATGACGTATCATCGGCGCCTAGTTGAAGAAAACTTCTGCAAGGCTGGGTTGACATCGATTCACCGTGGCAACCAAAGTACACCGCGTTGCACGATTCGAGAATTCCAATGGTGTCGGGCTTTGTGGGTCCCACAAGCAACTTCGTTCTACAATGCTTCCGTACAGCATCATCGAGCTCGCGAGCAGATTCTTCCACGGTCAAAGGTGAATTTTCTCTTGCATTGTTCGGCGAGGCGATGAACGCGAACTCGCAATCAGCTGCCCGTAAAGAGGCCCAATCCGTCTCGCGAGCATATGCGAGAGCCCTTAGAGTCGTAGTATAGGACGGGATGACGAAATCGAAGATGTTCGGCGCGCCTTCTGAAGTGTGATCCCCAGCGGCGTGGATAGGCATAAGCGCCATCAGACCACTCGCAGTCCACCAGATTCGGGGCAGCGTCTTATCTGCTGGCGACTGATGGATTCCCAGTGCTTCTAAGACGGGATGTACGGCCACATCCCATAACCATTTCAAAACACGCAATAGTGATGTGTTTCTCGTATTCATTGTCCTTAGGCCACCTTTTGTAATCACCGGTTCCTCCAAAAATAGCTTTGCATTGTTTGTGAGATCTTCCTCCTTCAGTTGAGGGAGGGGAATAGACATGATATCTGTTTGAGTGATTATAAATGCATCACTTCTGATGTGGCTGACGTTGAAGGATACAACAGGCCCTTTAAGTGCCAATTTCTTCAAGTCTTCAGTCGATGGAGGTCGCTGGAAGTTGGTAAAGCCTGGGACTTCTCTTCGGATCCTTTCTTCAAGCGCGTCGAGCCTTTTGTTTAGCTCATATCTATCTATTGCTTGAGGCCCCGTAGAACTCGCACTGCGTTTAATTAGGGATGCCACTTGGGTTTGTGAAGAAAGTGAATCTCTGCAACTCTTGTATTCAGCCGCAATGTCAGGAGCTTGAGCTTCAAGGTCGCTGATGTCGTTACGAGCCGAGATGGTAAGACCAGTGATTACTCCACGTCCAGCTTCTTGCAGCTGGAGTGCCTGAGAGGCATCGGAACCAGCTGCTAACGCAATAGATGTAGCATAAGATGAAAGTCCAGATATACCACCTAGAGCGTGTTCCTGGTCTGAGCGGTCAAGTGCGAGGGGGCTTATCTTAGGAAGCATCTCGACTGCCTTCTGCACCATGTCCTGCGCGCCTTTCAAATCGCCGTCGTTGAAAGCTATTGACGAGGCACTGTAGCCTGCAAGGACCCTCTCCAGTGGAGTGGCGCCAGACATATAAAGCAGGTGCTTGTAGGCTTGATATGAGGCTTGCATGTCTTCCCGTGACCTTCCAGAGGACCCTTTGTCTTCAGCCTCTCGCGCCAAGCTGCGCTTCATGTAGTACCCCCCTAAGTTGTTGTGATACTTTGCACACTGAGGATTATCCGCTGGCGATGCGTCTACGGCAGCCTGTGTTTGGTTGATCGCTTTGGTCATGTCTGAATCCTCGTTGCTAAGCTCAAACCTAGCGGCGTACAAGCAGCCGTTAACATTGAGCCTCTCGGGAAGCTGGGTGTCTCCTATCTCTGTCTCTTGGATAGCGTTCTCACTAGACTCTATAGCGCTATACAATGTCTCGGTTTCCTTGGTGACCTTGAACAGATCATAGAGACTCAGTGAAAGGTTGCCTAGATACATTGCCTTTGCTGGGTCCCTGGCTGATGCCGTGAAGATAGCCTCCTCCAAAGCATCGATAGCATCTATGAGACAACCTGAATTCCGCGTTCGTAAAAATTGGAGTCTCAGAGTCTCGCCTAGATTATTTAGCACAGTTGGAAATAGAAAGTTCTCCGAAGCTGTGGCTCTGGCATGCTTGAGGGTCTCCACGGCCTGGGCAAGATCTTCGAGAGCTTGTAGGTGATGGTAGCGGAGGACAAGAGCCTGAGAAAATGTCAAGTCTAACGACGCCGAGACATCCACGTCCAACATTCTATCATCAGCCAAGGCCATCGCGTCTGACGCGTATCGGACAGCGAGCTGTACATTCTCCAAATCTCCAAATCTCTCTGCCTTAGATATAAATGCTGAACTTGCCGACAGCAACGATGCAATTCGAAGGGTTACGTTTGCATTTGGCGTCATGGCACTCAATGCCTCGAGGGCTGAGTCAAGACACGTCTGTAGATCCGCCTCATTACCTGTGGCATCGTATCTCGTTTGACAGATACTGCTCAAGTTTGATAGCCCGCCAATGTAATCCGCCCCTCCGGGCGACCGGTCTCGCGCAATCCTCGTTGCTAAGTCGACGGCTTCATCAAGCTTCTCAATCCCGCCTCGGGCTCGGAAGTCGGTCCATAGGGCGAGTGCTAAGGCACTGGCGCAGCCATCGTCTTCCAAAGAATCCGCAATCGAGAGGAGTCCCCGTGCTAGAATAACAGACGTTTCAATATCCTGGGGATCCTTTGAAAACTCAAACCTCCTCCTGAAGAGTGTAGAGATTGTTCCCGTTACACGCGATTGTCTCTTCCAGGTCACCCAAGGCGCAGCAGTTTCCTCAGACTCTGGAAGCATTGCAGTGTTATAAGCATTTAGTGCAAGGGCAAAGTCTTGGTCTGATCTGGTAGAGTGGTATTTGTCGGCGAGTAAGTCCAGTAGTATCGTCGCAGAACCGCGTCGAGTTTCAATCGGAAGGCTTCCATTATTCACTGCTTGCTGAAGTAAGTCGATGGCATCAGTCAGATGATCGGTGATACCGTCAGACTTGAACTCCGTTCTCACAAAGATTGCAAGGTTTTGCATTCTGTCTACCCAGTCTGAATCTTCAGGTTCAGTTGTATTGACGACTTGTAGACCTATCTCAATTGCCTCGCTGAGATCGGCCTTGTGCCTGCTCCAATCGTAATTGTGATGAAGTGCGCTTGCAAGTGCCATCTTTTCGACCAAGGCAGTGTCTGTGCCACCACAAGCGAGTTCGACCGCCTCTCTGATATTGCGGATGGCATCTCGTAGAATATTTCCCTCAAAGCCTCTCTCGTACAGTGTAAGTTGATAGTTAGCAAGGTTTGTCAACCTGATTGCCCGGTACGCTGTGTCATCCCCAGTTGCGTTCAGGGCGCTATCAGCGTGTAAGATAGCCTTGCGTAATTCCGGTAGTTGAGATGTGATTTCGGACTTCATATAGTAAATATTTGCAACGAGATCGTAGTGTCTGGCCTTTGTTATGTTTCCTCCAGTTTCTAGGAGTTCCTCGATCCTGTCGATTGTTTCAGTGGAATCACTACCAGTGCCATCATAGCTTGTCTGCGTGGCAGCAAGTTCCAGAAGATAGTCTAGGTACACAGGGGCCTTCTCGTCGTCATGCTTGATTGCTTCCGTCACAGCAAGGTGAGTCTGAGCTATGGCCTGCCGCAGATCACCTGGAGTTGAGGTCAACTCGAACCTTGAGCTATAAAACTGGCCCAGGTTGTTGAGAATCCGAGGACGACTGGAGTGGTCTGGGTCGATACGGGCCAAAGATTCACTCTCAAAGCGAATAGCCTCATCAAGATCAGATGAATTCCCAGCTAGTCCATACCTGTCATGCAAATACAGGCCCAGATCAGCAAGTACAAATGGCAATTGAGTGTGATTGTTGACGATTCTGAGAAATCCAATTGCCTGGCTGAGCGTCTCAACGTCTTCGTCGTCTTGAAAACGTGAATAGGCATCTCGACCGGCGTGCGCAAGATCTGCAAGACTGACTAGAGGCATTGCGGAAAGTTATAAATTGGAATCTTAAAAATGCTAGAGATAGGTTTTATGAAGGTCTCGAGGACGTATCTTCAGTAAGGGCAGGTCATGGACACAAGGGTTATAAGTACTTGATGCAGTGAAAAACGGCATTTCCAACACATTAACTTATCAAAAGCCATAAAGATCTCGGCCCGTCACATTCCACTTGATCCAATAGTTTTGCGCCTCTGACGAGCCTAATGCCAAGATTCTGACGAATAATCAAGGCTTTATAGCGTAGTGGCGTGCGGCTGAACTTGACGATCGGCATGAAGATGCCGTGCGACCCCGCAGCTGAGATTCAAATGCTGTGAGTGTTTGGTAGAAGACCACATGACAGAACTCTGCTTCCTGAAACGATCAACGAATCTTGACATCTTCACGAATATTTCGTATTACTCTCATCGCCAAATGGCAGCGAGTTTATCTTGTTGTTTTTGAAAATGCCGCTGCCACTCGTACTCATCAGCACCCCTCTTGATCTAGGGAAGGTCAAGCTAGGTAACCTAGTACCAAACATCGGACAACCCCATATCGATGCCTTCGAACCATACAAACTCGCAGACGATGCCATTCACGTAACAGAGCAGCTCGATTTCAAAGCACGGATTGAACAGAGCAAGGGCTCGGCCCTGGAAGCTAGCCTCACCAAGCTTTTATCAGGATCATGGAATAACTCTCACACTCATGTGCTCGATCTTTCGGCGTGCAAAGCGATGTGCTACGAGGTCAAAAGTCCTCTCTCTTTCTTCAAAGAGATTGTATCGCAGGAACGTACGCGGATGAGATTACAAGACGCCATCGCCAGTGGCCACAAGATGTACGTGATCACAGCTCTTCGAACTGTGATCGACGCTAAGGTCGCTCAATCCATTTCTGCTACTAAGGATGTTTCGGCGGGAGCGGGTGTCCCACTTGGTGCCATTTTGGCAGGGGGTATCGACCCTACAGGTGGACTGGCAGATATTCAAGGTAACCTGAGAAGGGGGAATAGCGCACAGCAGACACAGATATATCTGTCACCAACGGAACAGGTGTATGCTGTCGGTTACAGACGTATTGGTTACAAGTGGTTTATAAGCAAGAATGTCGATAGTGCGTTCTTGGATGTTAAGAATAGGTGGAAGGTCATGGGTGAGGAAATCATGGGGGATGAAGATGAAGACGAGGAAGACGTCATTGAGGCGGATTTGGAAGAAACACTCGACGACGATGACATTAGCGGAGTTGAGATGATATATGATTGAATGTTAGTATCCACTACGAAGGTTAGATCAGGTCTCTCCTGCGGTTCGATAACGGAGCAATGAACATTGCTTTTCTCCATGCGCATATCTATTGCGTAAAAAGCTTGACTAGTAGTTCAAGAGCCGATGCCATACCAGAGCAGCATCTGAGGATGCAGATTCAGACCCTCTAATTTTACACTTTTCGTCACTATTGCATCGCATTCTTCACTGATCTGGGAATAACTTCCCGAAGCCGGCCATCATCAGTGTGCTTTGACATGCGGCCTAATTGCGAAACCGACTGTGAGCATTGCCAACACAATTCTGTTCGGGCATTACCTAAAGAGCGAAGCATAGTGGATACTGTGTTTGTGAATAAGACAATAATTGACGAGTTGAGTGCTTGCATTGACAAAAGATCCTCGCAGGCACAACCAACCGCATAGTTCTGCGCCAATCCGTGGCATGGATCAGCGGCCCCTAGCTCGGTACACAATGGTGTGTCTAAGAGAGGACACCACGCGGCGGAAAGGAAAGCAATCTGTTTTATGTATGGTGTATGACCCACTCACACAAGGCTGAACCAACATCACAGTTGTTAGCCATGCGCATCCCGTGTCTGTTCCATACGGCATCATCATTGGTTACAGGTCGGAGCGTTACTGGGAAAGTAATGTTTGTTGAACATCCGTGGCAGCGGTTGAGTAACCAAATGACAATCACACTGCACAGGGCAAGGTTCCAAAGCAGTACGATCAAGCTATTATGACGTTCGAATTGTTTTCATAGCACCCCAAGAGCTCGATCATTTCGGCATAAGACGAAGGCCCAAGCCTTTAGGGAGCTCGACTGTCACGTAGCGCGATGGAAGAAGAATTCGTGGGGACACATAAACTTGAATATATAAGAAGGAATAAGTTGCCAGGCTGGAAATCGGAATTGCTGCTTCAATCAGCAGAATCATCCATCCCATTGCCAGTCTATCCAAGTACACATAACCCCCTCCACAATGGTGCACTCTGCCCTTCTTCTTCTGTTCCCTGGGCTGCTTGTCCTGACTTCACCAACTCCTCCGACTTTCCAGCCCTCTATCTCTTTTCTCAGTAGTCGTGATAAGCGTGACACTCCAATTATTGGTGAGAGTCTTACTATCATCTATGAAACGGCTAGTTACCCCGTGGCCGGTTCGAGAATGCAGTAGGGTCAAGAATTACCTTTAGTAACGATATAAGGCAGTCCCAGATAGGGATTAGGTTCTGTCTGCTGAAATGGACTCTCAGCCACAAGTCTCAACTGCAAATAACACCTCCAGATAGGAAATATACCAATAAGCACTTTAATAAAGAGCATTGGAATTTTAGGGTTAGCTTATATCAGTCTCTGCTGTAAATCCTCCTTATGACTAGCATTAATATAAGGTATCTTTATAAAATCCGAAATGACAGGTATTTATTCTATGCCACAAACTTAGTGGCATTTGTAAAGTATGTATATATGGTTTTTGGTCTCTATAGATTGCTATAACCTAGCACTAAATAAGCAGTGCGTATTTTAGGTGTGCATCTAGTTGAATGGCAACGATCTATCAGACCTTGGCCTCAGAATCACTAGACTGGGGAGACACTTTCTCTGGACCTCCAGACTGTAGTACCGTAGCCTGACGAAGACGACCAGCAACATCATGCGTCGCTTCCCACTCATCCAGCTCACCAATAGGAACCTTTCTGATTTCATGACTTTGAACACCATTATCCAGAATGACGGCTTCTGATCGAAGCTTATAGCCCTTCCATTTTGGCATCAGGAATGCCCAGAAATAGTAGTACAAAGCACATGCAATGAGGCTATAGAATTGTTTTAGCTGTGGCCAACCACGGTATTGATAGGGGTTCATGAACTCACATTCCTATACCTGTCACGACGTATGTGGCATACCAGAAACTGACATCGCCGGCGTACATTCCACCCTCGGGAGGATACCAAGGCATAACGATTACAAACGACTGAACGAGAATATTGAAAATAACAAGAATATGCCAAGCCTTAAACTCGGGGGAAGGTAGGTTTGCACGCTTGCGGCGCCAGCGCACAACGTAGAGTCCCACAGCCATGGCAAGATTGAAAGCCGCACCCGGGTAGACACCGAGGTCGCTCACTAATATCGGTCAGCTACTTTTACATCTGAAGAGAGACGAGATGACGTACCGAAGTTGAAGGCATCGCCAGATGGGATGGCAAGAATCATAAGGGCAGTGATAGCCCAAGTGGTGAAATACGGTCCGAGGGGTGTTCCAAATGGCTTGGTAGAAACCCAAAAGGGAGTCCACGGTAGGACACCTTGTCTATGGATATGTGTTAGTTTGTTCGTCCTTAACATCGCTTCTGAGTAGACAAACCTTCCACATTCTCGAAGTCGGCGGGACAGTCCAACAATGACGGCCATGATGTTTCCAAAGGCACTCAAAGCGATAAGAAAGTTGAGACCTCGCACTGCTCCACTATTTCCGAGCACATTACCAAAGAACAAGCTTGCTGCTGTCAGACCGGAGCTTTCGAGCTCTTCCTTGGGCACTATAACTATCAGTAAAACTCTCGAAAGGACTGAGCCTGAGTACTGTACCCGCTGAAAGCCAAGCGACATTGGCGAACATATAAAGAACATATACCGTCGTCAATGCGGCAAAAGCATATTTCTTCAGGGATTGGACAGGGTTCTGGAGCAAGCAGTCAGCCCGATGCAAACGATACTATAATACTCTGAACATACCTTAACTTCGTTGGCGAGATTGAAAGCGTTGTTGTATCCACCATAAGAGAAGATGATTCGATACAGTGCATTGGTGAGACCGTATGCACTAGCTGAGCCTGTGCCTTCGAATGCGTTTCGGAAATTGGCCTTGGGGTCTTCGACGTCGGTATGCCCACCTAGAACAACAAATCCGGTAATAATGATAAATATGAGGGTGAGAATCTTGACAACACCAATCGCATTCTGGAACCAGTAAGCGTACTTGGTGTTAAACACCAGACCTGCGACGAGTAAGTATAGTCGCATACCAGTGAAAAGGCCCACTTACACAAGCATGCCACGGTGTATCCAGCCAGGGCTACACCCTTGATCTCCCAGTTACTGGGCTCTTTGGTGGAGCACCGAAAGAGGTAGGTTGCCAGGACTGTTTCAAGGGTTAGTTTTGATATCTCGAAGGAGGCTTGCTTCCTGCCTACCAACAGCATTGCTACTACCAAATGACAAGAGGACGCTCTGCACAGCAAAGGTGGTTGGGAAAAACCAGGTAGGCCGAGGGAACGCTTGTTCGAGGAAGACAACCTCGGAGCCCGATCGACTAGGAAAGTATGCGGTAAATTCCAGGTAGACTGCACCTGATGCAATGCAAAGCTAAGAACGATGTTAGATCAAGTTCTTGGCCTGAGTGGGTAACGAGATCTTTACCAAATAACCCAAAGTCCAATAGATGAACATGAGGCCAACCGAACCGGTGCCGTGTAAAATTGCAGAGGCTAGAAAGTTTAAGCAATATTGTTCGAGTAATCATGAGTGGGAACATACGTGTAGAGTAGATGCCAGTACCAATCATCATAGTGACATTGATCAAGACGATAGTGAATGGCCCAACATCGTATCCCAAAGGCGAGTCATGCTCGACAGGCGCTCCAGTGGCTTCTTGATACGTGACAGCGTTGCTGTTACCGCCTGTCTCTCCTACATATTTCAAGCTTCCGTCAGAGAATTCGCCATCGTTGCTCGCGGTCGCAACAGCCGCGTCAGAGCGGCCACTGAATGGTTGTTTCCAGGAAACCATAGTGTACCGATAGGTCAATTTGCAACTAAATAAAAACGGACATGAAGCTAGGCCAAAGAAGTCAAGCTTATGAAAAGGGTTGGTGCTCTAACAGAGCCAAGATCTTGGGAATAAACATTTGGCTATATAGTTCAAACATCTGCATATAATGCCTTGCTCTAATGCCGACAGCGGAACGACGGGACATTCTCCACCAATAATGTTTCCATACTTAGCTAACAATTGTTTCGAAATCTTCAAGAAATATGGCATATTTCGGCGGGATGTGGGAGGAGTGGACGAAAAACAGGGTGGTTCATCACGAAAGACCTCTCAACTATGACGAAAGCTGGCCATGTCAAAGTTAAGCGAACAATTGCTTAGGCATGTATATCATGGCTACCTCACGCGTCGGATCCGAACCGACAATTACCGCATTGACAGAGAACGGTTCCATGAAGTTGAGTAAGATCAAAAGTCTTTAGACCAATGGAGGCACAGAACATACTACCAGAGCAGTGAAACGTTATCGACAAAGATGAAGCTTTTATACTTGATGATATATAGCACAGTATTCTCACACCCTCTAGTATTACATAGAATTGTTGCACCTCTGCCTGCGGAGACAGTACGCTTAGGTTCACCCATTCAGCTAGCCCTGGGTTCACGAATACCCCGTTAGAAGTTCGGCGAACTAGAAGCCAGTTAAATCCAAGAGAATGTCACACTTCTCCTTCGTCTAGCAATTCATGCTCGCTTATGAAAGCCAGAAAGGGCTTATCAAGGGTTGATCGCGGGTGTTGGTTGGCTATAGCCGATGACGTTCTACCATGGGTGATTGCGAAGTATGGCGACAGTGGCCCACCATGGCAATCCCACAAAACAGCATCCCATGATTCGTCCATCTTACGGTTAAGTCGGCCCATTTCATTATTAATAACCAACAATCTTCTCCATCTCCTGTCCTCGGCTGCACAATTTCCTATCCCCGGATGAGAGACAGAGCCACCCGGGTTTAAGTAGCTTTGAATTCTCTTCCCATAAGCCCACACGTGCGCTCAGGCCATGGGCAGGACCCAAACGTGAAACTTCATGTAAGGCGCGTGAGGTAAGCCATCAGCTATAGGGTCTATCAACTCAAAATAACACTGTTATTAACGCCAGTTTGGGCAGTATACCAGTTACCGAAAACTATTGCCTAAGAAACGTGAGACTATCTTAACTACAGATAGGACAGTCCTTCAATCGATCAATAAAGTGCAAGGAATTTAAAAAGGAAAGAAACACAATGGACCTGAATTTAATATAGAGAAGCTATTTATATAAGACTGTAAAGAGCTCTAGTAGAATATGGATTAAAAACTCCTTTTAAGGCATCAGAAGGAAGATAACTATCTTCCCTCAATCAGTGGCCTCTTAGCTAATTATTACCCTGGCCGCTAACTCGGGTTGTTAGTTGGAACTGTGAATGATGTCATTGCAGCCTCAGGCTACATACACGCTGGACATCTGAGTCAATATATCACCTCCACAACAAAAGAGTCATACTCGCAGCTGCATTACCGTGCTCAGTTTAGTTAGACATTTATTTGATAAGATGTCCAATAATACGCTTAAAAGCCCAGCAATCTCGGTGAGCCTATCTATCGATCCGCCGACATTCACCAGAGGCTCTGTATCACCTCCCGGTGCTACCATCTCGATCATGGCAACATTACACGGTTCCGAACCTATCACTATATTCACATGGCATACCATCTTCAATCTTAGACTTGCCCAGTGCCGTAAAAACTTCATCTGTGTGGATCTGACGACTGGTTTGCCGCTCCAGCTCGAGTCTACAAAAGGCCCCAAAAGACCACAGTTTACTTATTAGCTGGGTGGCCGTGACGACGATTACTTTATTACACTGGAGCCAGAAAAGCCTACTATCATCAGTCACAGGTTCCTTCGATCTGCTGGCCTTGAAGGCGAACGAGCTTTAAGCCCGGCCACAGGTACCAACTTGAAGTACGTGATAATGAGGAGGTTGAGTGGTGGCGCTATGGAAGGAATGAAGATGTAATGTCGCCTCCTGGTCAGCTTTCATGGAAGGAAGGGTGTGAAGATCCAAGTGGTCCGTCGATTAGATTGAGTCATATTGATCCAGTTGAGTTTGAGGTCGAATGAGGTTGGGAGTAGAGACACTGGTCAGCATTTAGGCAAGAAACATCCCTAAACTTACAGGTGCATAATGTCGTCTAAAGCTATATATACGCGATACATAGGCCTCCCTCTGCGACTGTCCATCGATCCGAAAGCGGTGAAACGATGAATAACTTGACTATTAACACTTGCGTTTGGACCTCTGAGCAGTAAGAACTTTTAGATGAAATTCGGCGCTGGCTGGAGCAACGTCAAAATGCACTCAAAAGGACCATGAACCACCGAATCTCAATCTTTTCAACCATATCCTTTTACCCGTATGTGCTTCTTGGTGTTTTCTACCTTCAAGCCTCTTTTAACTTCTCAAGCTTATCACAGCAACCATGGCCATTCCGCGAGGGTAAAGGCAACCTACTTAGTTCTCTATGCTATTCCGAGGTTCTAGCCCAGAACGACTTTCGGTCCTAAACGAGGTGCGAAGGACTCAAGGACATGAGCTATGCAGGTACAGAGCTGAAGGAAGCTCACAATGAGTTTCAAGGGGAGGTTGCCGAACGCCAAGCCTTTCTGGAGCAATCAGTATTGCGAAGCGGCTCTGAAGCACCCAAATCGGCTGAGCTTCACGCTACAGAGCAAAATATTAACACGATGAAGGCAGAGGAAACGCTCCTGAGGCTAGAGGTTGTTTTCAGGACTACTCGATGGACACTCTAGGCGCATCTCAGCGATCAGGTCAGTCATCACACCAGAACTTTTGTGATTCATTTTCCACTGGAAACTAGCGTCAGTATTTCAGCGCTTATCCGTCTTGAAAGTCAGACGCATCTCCGGCAGCATTTGTGGCAAGGCTGGCGAGCTAACTTGAAGCATTGGCGGCTGGATCGTGACTGCGCAGCCAGCCATAGGAGGTTTGTAATACCTATTTCAAGACCATCACCAATAACACATCGATAACGTGATGGCTTAGCTAACCCGAAATGGCATGTCCCGATTCGGATTAAGTCATGCGATGTGATACACCAGTCCTTCTTCTCAGCTAGAGAGAGGGAAATACAGGCGGATCATGTATCCCGGTTGTATTTAGCCGTTGTGATCATTCGAGTACCAGCCTTGTCGCCACCCCACATGCGCACTGGTTTAGTCCATGATACTATTCTGTGTGGTAGGCAAGGGTGACCATGATAAGAGCTTGCATCTTGACCAGTGTTTCTGATGATGCTGAGTTAGAGAGCTACGATGGTGGACTGAGGCAGCCATTTTATCCCTTAGGGAATATATTTAGAGTTCTCTTTTTATATTAAATATAATTATTATTAGATAGGCTTATAAAGCTTATTTTAGGTAATTATATTAAGTAGTTAGTATATTGCCTAAACTGACTTTAATTAGAGTGTTATTTTAAGTTAATAGACCCTATAGCTGATAGCTTATATCACGCGCCTTACACGTGACTATGATAAAAGGGTTTCGCTTGGACGATCTAGAATTACAAGCCCCATGTGCCCCGTTGATACTAACTCGGTATACGAGGTAAGCAGATGAAAGGCTGACAATGTAAGGCCAAACATAGAGTCTGAAGGGGGCACAAGAGACATATTGTGTGTAGCGGGATAATTTATATATTCCGGCCAACTTATATGGTATCCTTGGGAAGTGACCAATCTGTTATAAGCTTTTGGGTAAAGGCTTATATTGGGGAAAGTAATATCGTCTTTTCATTCGTAACCTGGGTTTGCAGCCTAAAACCTAACCTAGTGGGCCGGCAAAGTCCATTGGGCAACCCCTTCCTCTAGATTTCCAGCAGCACCCAAATGTAGCTGTCTTTCTGACGTGAGATGTGGGATTATTCAGTATATGAAAGACGTTTTCAGCAAGTCCTCTAGCAGGAGCGTAGACTGGCTGACGTTGGTATGCACCTTGAATGAGACGTGCGTCGAGAGTTGCATTAAGAGTGCTTCGAAATCCAGGGTTCCAGGTATCATCACAGTAGATTAAAAGGTCCTTGATATTCTGTGGAACTTGTATACCGTATAATTTGTAATCGAATGGTGGCTTGATAATTTCCTCGAGGGCGTATTGGAGCGATGACGCCCTATTAGTAATATTCTCAGTTGCAGTATAAAGATGATAATTGTGGCGGAGAACATCTACCCAGCCGTCTTCCTGGTGGATCAAAGCGAGTTGAAAGCCATATTCACTTTTATCGATGACAAGAACGAGGCTTTCAGGTAGGCCGGAATCGCCTTTGTCCAACCACTTGCTAAAAAGAGCAAATATAGGAGCTGCAGGTCGTCCAGCCCAGACTTCTACAAGCCCACTCTGTCGGACTGCTCCGGCAACAATGTCAGCGAGGTAGCCATTGTTCATCTCTCTTGGAGAGAAAGCGACTTTGACGAAACATATAGAGTTGCCAAGATATGCCTCAACCGCTGCCCTCAGACCTTTCAGTACCGGCTCCACTGCGGATTTATCAATGTCTTCCACGGTTTTTGGCTGTTTCCAGAACCTTTCTTTGAGGCCCCAGAGCTGAGAAACCGATGTTTTCAAATTGCTCGGATTGTCGGTTGCTGTAAAAGTCGTATTTTGTCGTAGCATGAGGCCTTTATAGGCTTGAGTCCCTTCGACCCTCGCGACAGCTACAGATGTCCCATTTCCGAAGAAGATCGCCGCGGTTCTATGGAGGATTGCCACTCAATCGACTGTCGGACTACGGCTGGCTGAGAGTGAATGGACTTACCCATGGTCAGGAGTCAAAGCAAACGCTACACCAGGAGCATTAACGTCGCTGTATGACTTTATGTCACGCACAACGGATACCAACGGTATCACAGCAACACTGCTAATGATTGTGATCGTCAAGATGAGGGTGAGACGCTGGAATGTGTGAAACATGGTGGCTTTCATCTCAGTATCGGAGGGCGGATAGTTGAGATAGAAATAATGCAGCAAGACATCTGATGTAGCGTGAGGATTGCATTTGATAGAGAAGGATAAGTGGACAGATGGCAGTAGGCCGGCGTTTAAATAGGTAGTTCGCATCACAGGGAAACATGTGACCGTAGTTGATAGAGTTTTCACAATTGCAAAACAGTAAAACTTGTCCGCTTTTGATGGGCTGCTTTGATGCAACTCGCCGAGGTGTTGATAAAGTTTACGCAAAGCTGAACTTGACTGGCAACAGGCCGTTCCCGTATTGGGTGGCACTGACAGTGTAGTTGACTGACTGCTGCCTATAAAGTTAAGCTTTAGGCTGCAAACACAAATGAGGAACAAAAGTAGATATTTCATCCGCCTAAATAAATCTTTGCCCAGAAGCTTTCAGGAGACAGCGACAGCGGTTGGATTGTAAACCGCCAGTGGCTGACCATTTCATCAGCCCTGTTCGCCAGCTAAGCATATTAGGGACACATAATAGAGTGATCAACATACGGTTGCTAAAAAGTCTAGACCAAACTACGGAGACCTCTGGCTGCTGCAATGGGGGAATGTAACAAAAGGCTTAATTCATGCATGGTCGAGGCTAAGGAATAAGCATAAATGTCTTAAACTGGGGCGCAGAGGGGCGCTCTTTATTTCTTCAGCTGACGTCGACATAGCCAATTAGAGCCCTGAGCGAGCACAATGTGTCACCCTCCCTTCAGCAGCACAGCCAGAGCTCCGTAACCACACGGAGCTGAAAGTCGTGATGGTGGAAAGGCAAAAGTTACCAAACGGTCTCATTTGTCATTTATCTCATCCTAAACCAAGTCACTAGGAACTACACTTCACTTTACGACCAACCATAATTGAGTCTGCCAGCTCGTCATACAATTATCGGACCACTGTAGCAAATTTTAAAATTACTACCGGATCAGTAAAACCACTATTCTTATGTATAATACTACCGTAAACATAACGATAAACTAGCGTAAAGCAAGGCCTACTATGGGAAATGATAGCGCAAACAATATGTGCTGTCAGATATCACATTTCATTCGCATCAGGGGAGTTTTGTGGCTGGCTGAATGACTGGAATGTAGGGCAGTTCAGCCTTTCACACTACTACTTTGTCGCCCAAGGCATATCCATCGATCGAAAACAGTCACACCTCTTTTTCACTATATATACCTGTCGTATCACTACATATTTAACAAAGGGTCATCACAGACAACTCCATTCACAACACTCAACCTTTTGACTCTTATTCTTCTTATTTCCACGTTTTCAGCCAGTAAAATGGTCAAAGACTACGGCGTCTGGCGTGCGAAGCCCGTCCGCTACACTTTTGAGGACAGAATCGCAGATCCACATTCACCTCACCTCTCGCTCTACTTCGATGATGGCCTAGGCGCAGTCGGTCGAGCTGCCATCAATATCAAGTCAGGAAATAAAGAAGAGTCCCGCCTTGCCTACTGGACAGTTCCTGACTTTACCCATGCTGTCACCACCAAGTTGGCTCAACTGAGCAACGGTTTCCGCCCTCTTTCCGGTACAACGGAGCAGACATTGAATGGTCTTGCACTGGACTATATCCGCAACAACCTCTTCAGCCGCGCCAGTGGCCGCATCCTACCTCATGACGTTGACGGGGCAGACAATGACATCCTTGATCAGTTGAGGCCCATCATCGATAGGGCTATCTCAGCTCGAGCTACAGTTTACATCTACGGCTCAGAATTCAATGATGGCAAGGGTATACACAACGTCCACATGAATCAGGGAAATTCCGGGCGCTGGGTCAAGGACAATGGAGTCTTCGAGGACGGTGGTCTCATTTTTCAATTTGAAGATCACTGGGAAGCGGTTTTCATTGGCTTCGCCTCTCAGGCTGTGCATACTGAAGACGGCCCCAAACGCGCTGGTTACCCACTGCCCGACCAGGACTTCTTGACTTGGGCGGAATTTCTTGCTCCTGAGCGGTCTGATGACGAAAGAGAGAGAGTCGATATTGAAGACTCGCCTGTGTTCATTGTCCAGGCTCTTGTCAACCCACCTGGTCCGGATCATCAGCCAGGTACTGCCCCAGAGACAATTAGTCTCAGGAACAGATCCGGGGCTGAGATTGATCTCAGTGGCTGGAAAATTCGTATCAAGACTGGAGATACTCAAGTTCTACCGTCGGGTATACGCATTGGTCCTGCTGAGACTAAGACTATTGAAACTAGTGTCCCGCTTTCTAACAACGGGGGCATTATCACTCTCCTTAACCCAGAGGGATTCAAGGTTCATGGTGTTAGCTATACAAGAGCTGAAGCAAACGGCGCTGTTATTGTCTTCTGATAGTTATTAAATGATCTCAGAGATAGCATATCACAAAGAACTCTTTAGTATTAGTTCTCTATATATTGACTCCCCGAAACTAGTATACCTGACATTCTATCGCTGGCATGCTTCATCAGAAGGCACTGAAAGCTGTAACCACAAAAGGCGTGCAGTAGTAGATCCCTGTCTAGCGCCATTAAACTCTAATTGACTCTTATCAATATATCTAAATGATGACAGTCCTTGAAAAGGCAGGTTCTTATTCATTGAATCCCTAGTCACATTGGCCTCACATGTTACATGACGCACAGCGGATGTTATTTAAAGTCCGCCCATAAGCTTCAACTCTAACCTATGGCCGCGCGACAGGCGCTAGACCAAGTTCCGCTGCTAAGCCTCAATACACACTAAGCACCATCGTGTTCCTTTTGCCCTTTCCATGAAGCTTGGTATCAAGGGTTAGCTCCTCTTATACAGTGGAAATCTATAAAAGCCATGCCTTTCTGGAGATGAATCACAGGTAGCATCAAACAATAGTAATCGCATCTCGAGCCTCATATCCAATCAAAAAATCACATCATATCTACTATGAAGTTACTCGCTCTCTCATTTGCCATGGTGGCCTTTGTGGCTTCCAAGACAGTCCCTTTGTCCCCCCCGACGGCTGATACTCTCATCGGTCAAGCTTTGGTCGCGCTCGGCGGCGAGAAGGCAATTGCTGGCATCAAAGGAATCACCTATCACTCTCCAAAGTAGGTCCTTCACTTACATCTGTCAGTTGACTACTCTCTGAATCATCCAGTGTCTATCATTCACGGAGTCTTATGCAGAGCTACAACCTGGACAAAGCAGACACAGCTGTAGCAATTTCTGGATCCCAGAATATATCCTTCAGCTATGCTTCGGATCAGTTAACTCAGCGAATTGATCGTGTTTTCAAGCCTAGTGGTATGTGATATTATCTCCATCTCTAGTGTGACGAAAGGCTTACACCGTATGAGAGTACTGGTATTGGGCATCTGCTAGACTTGATGAGTTCGACTACTCTCTCGTTGTTCGCGGCGGCAAAGATGGATTCGCTTGCTATGTTCGTGGAAATAATCAGATCTGGCTTCCTGCAAATCTTACATCCGGATACGTTGATGGTAAGTTGAGACTTCTGTTCCTGCTCCTGGAGTCGGGTGATGACTGATTCACTGTTCTAGCTGCCCTTGCAGAATTTCTCGTCCTGCAAGGAAAAGTCTTTTCTCCGAAGCTTCTGTTGGAGGTGCGTAGTGGACATTTTGTTGGTAATCATCAACTGCAGAGTTTGCTGACATTTCCAGATGAAAAATCATCATGATACCGAGGCTATTGAGGTTTTGATCAATGGAATCAAAACACCTGCTGGTGGGTTACCAGCCTCGAACCTGGTCATCTCGATCTAACCTAGATAGTTTATGATCCCATTCTTGAAATCACCATGGTCTTCGATGCGTCTAGCCATCTGCCTCACATCATACGCACCGACGAGAATCACATGATCTATGGACCTTCGACAAACGACCTTTATGTTTCTCAATACAAAGCCATCGAGGGCATCAAATTTCCTCACACGTTTCTGACCGTCTATAACTCCACTACGCAGAAGCTAGATGCGACACTCGAAGAGTTCATCGTCGAAGAAATTACTATCAATCCCAAGTTTCCCAAAGACTTCTTTAGTGGCCTGTCGAAAGGGAAAGGATTTTTCCCCAGGGAGGCACCAAAGAGGACCGAGGGTCTCAGTCATGCGCATATTCTCGAATTCAGTAGCAACATGCTTTGGTCTGGTCCTGGATCCGGCATTAGCAACAACTCTGTCGACAGTATCAAGCACAAAAACATCATCCCTGGTCTACCCAATGTTTATTGGCTAATCGTCAACGACGAGTTTTTAGGAGTTAAGCAATTCGTGATCGAGTTCGAGGACCACGTCATCGTCGGTGATGCACCTCCCCAGTGGACCAAGCAAGTAATCGAATGGATTGACAAGAAAATTGGGAAGCCTATTAAATATCTTTGGGTATGCTCCCAAAGTTTAGGATGAACCAAGCTTTGGTGATGGGAAGCTAACTCTCCTGCAATAGCCTACCCACCATCACCGTGATCACAGTGGAGGAGCTGCTGAGTATGTCCAACTTGGGGCCAAGTTGATTATCCCCGAAATTGCAACGAGCTACTGGTCAAGCATTCCCGGTGCCGAGCTCATCACCTTCAAGTATGATTTTGTGCATCAATCAACTAAGAAATACCATCTAATCATCTACTAGCGAAACGCACCCCTATATCCATAGCGATAACAAGCACCAAGCCTGGTTCATCTGGGAGGAGCAAGCCACACACTCCATCGACTGGTCATATGCATTTATCACTAACAAGTGCCCTACCAACGAATCAGGTATTGCTATCATTGAGGCCGACGCATGGCACCCTGGTATGCCTGATGCCAACAATGACAGGTGGGAAATGAGAGAGTGGCTCGGTCAGCTTTATAGGGATGGTGTTCCTGAAAGGGCCTAGTAAGTACTTCATAGTACAAGATACAAAAACGAAAGCAAAGAACTGACGAGGTTCCAGTGTTCTCCCAACCCATGGTCAGATCAGTCAAGTCTCGGAACTCATTGAGCATACTGACTATGTCTATGCCGCAAAATCTATTGGTGACTGGAAGAATGGAGGAGCTCTGTGCCAGGCATGAGCGGACTACGGCCCTCATGTCGTATGATGGTGTATACTTTATATATTGTGGCGAGGCATCGACTGCATATTGCGATAGACCCAGCTGAGTGGTAATATACAGGTAGATTCACATTTATGCTCTATAAGTCGCAGTACTTGGATACATATTGAGTAGGTAGAATGTCTATAAGAATTCCACATTTCTGTTTTGTAAAATTCGTTTATTAGGTCGCTATAGCAAATATAATGATATTTGCTTGCCAGTTTAACTTTTAGCTTCTTGAACTGCTGAAGCTTTCTCTCTCGATTTTAAATATTAGATCGACTGACGGGAAAATATAGTCTTGATTTGTTTTCTGTCTTCTGGCGGATACCTACCTGGATGATAGTTTCCTTGTAATCATATCAATGGTAAGCTGGCGCCATGCATAATCACAATGCCTTTCTTTAAAAGCTCTCGCAGACTACATTTTGAATTGAGAGTAAGCGGAGTAACAATGCGTAAGCACTAAAGGAGGCTTATCACCACTAAGCACGGGTCATTCGTCCCATGTTCATTGTCTTACGTAGACTAGCGCGCGTCTGTATCGGCATGCGGTACTTTATTATGTTCCGCCCATGCCTCGAAAAAGTGCTTTCAGAGCGGGCTCGAATTTCCAAGCCGCGACCGTAACTCGTCGTTCATTCCGCTTTCATGACACGAACGTATACACCAACGGATACAGTATGAGTGCGTCTGAAGTTACCACGGAGGCTCGCCTCAATAGGACTTGCGAGGCATGATGAACAAATCCCTGTCAGTGCCATTGCTAATGCAAGTCAAAGGGCTGTCGGAAAAGGAAGATCAGGTGCATCTCAGAACCTTCGATTTCACACCCTTCGCAAGAAAAGTGCAACCGCTGCAGAAAGCTAGACATCGAATGCATCTTTAAAGTTCCAGTCACAAGAAAAAGACGGAAACGAAATGAAACAAGGATCCATGAACTTGAGCAAAAGCTCGAGGAAGTCCAGCGCACGGTCGCCACAGGACGCCAAAGAGACCTGTACATACCACCAACCTCAGAAGCCTCCATAACGCCCGCGACTACAAATTACCCATTCCCATCAATTATGTACGACCCAAGCACTTCTTCCGGTCAATCTACATCTTATGAGACTCCCAGCGAATCCCCCACTAAGGGAGACCCCGTATCTCGAGGAATTATTGAAGAACCAGTTGCAGAAGAATTATACATCAAGTTCTTCACCGAGCTTCTACCGCAATACCCTTTAATCCTTCCCGACGCGCCTCTCTCGTGGCGGACTTTGCAACAAGATCGGCCAGCACTGTTCCGGGCTGCGCTAGCAACTTCATCAAGCTGTTTCAGGCCAGATCTCTGGACACCACTCTTTCGAGATGTAGAGCGATATGTCATGGAGCAAGCCATGATTTACGGCCGGAAATCACTAGATCTGATACAAGCTGCTCTGGTTCTTGTTACGTGGAGTCACCCACCGGATAAGTTCGAGCATTTGAACTTTAGCCAATTTATTAATATCGCAGCAGCTATGGTGATTGACCTGCGATGCTCAAATGACGAGCGATACGAAATCCCGCCATCTAATCTTGGGGTCCTATATACGAAAGAACAGTTGGAAGCAGTTAGGGCGTTCTCAGCTTGCTACTTTCTATGCTCAAGGTTCAGCACCTTTGCCTCGTCTGATGTCCAGCAGTTATGCTAATACATCTCCAGTATCGCTATGTCATTCCGGCGGCCGAGCACGCTACGCTATGGCACCTAGGTGCAAGAGTGTATAAATATCTTAGATTCTCCAGCGAGCACACATATCGGTGATCGACGGTTGGCAGCATGGATCAGACTCCAACGGCTTGCAGAGGAGTCTCTTTCCATGGCCAGAGCCAGGCCAAATGGGAACTCATTTGATCACCCCGACCAACGGAACCATTTTGTTCTGCAAAGCTGTCTCGAACGCCTCAAAGATTGGCGGCGAAATACCCCGGAAGAAATTATGACCGGTAAGACTGCTGCCACCGTCTCTGTCTCAAGTAACTAATATTTAAAGTAACCATCGATATACACTACCATGTCGTCCTTCTTAACCTTTATGAACCAGGCCTTTACTACAATCACGAATCTCAAGATTTCCGCCCTCCTTATGCAATACAGACTTTACTGTCTACGACTGCATTCGATCCAGATACGCCACAGTATATTGATGCGCGTATAAAGTGCCTAAATGTGGCTCGGAACCTAATACAGTTGTTCCTGCACTTCTCCTCAAAGGCTCTACAACAAGTTCCTGTTATCATCTTTACCAGGATGATGTATGCTGTTGTCATGATCATCAAGCTCGAAGTTTTGAATGGGCCGACCATTGATAGAAAGGATGTGTCTGAGGCTGAACAGGTTTCTGCTCTGGATTTGATAAGTCTTGTGATCGAAAAGCTCAAACTGGCATCAGACATGGGACGCTTCTCCATTCCAGCAACTTTCCATGCTGTGTTAGGGAGACTGCACAGCCGTTGTGTCGATAGCTATTGGTGTTTTGTTATGGGACAGAATGAGATCAATGAGACAGTCAAACCTCTCATGAACCTCCAAGTTCAAGATTCGAGCAAGGAGAAAGAAGGCACACTTCCAGAAGGCACACTTCCAGAAGGCACACTTCCAGAGGTACACTCAGGGCCTACAACGCCCCAGGAACAGATCTTTGAAGTTGAATATCTGTCTCAGCAGACAGAATACGGTGTTTCCTCAGACACTTCCATATCGCTAGATGATTGCTTCCCAAATGTCGCAGCAAATGCTGGTCTGGAAGTGTTTTGGAATAGTTTCTTCAGCAAAGAAATTTCACCAACAGTTGCAGAACAGGGCTTTGATATGAGACTCATATACACCGAGTAAAATAAATGTTACTGTAGTCATTGCCGCGAGCTATATCACAGACCTGTATGACAAGGGGTGGCCTGTGTTCCTGCACTAGGTACTTTGCTTTTCCTTTGCTGCCCAGTCAAATCCTGATCAACGGGCTTCATCCTGCACATCGTCATCTATGACTTCGAGGTCGAGCAGGTCAACCATTCTCATGATACTCTGCTGTACCATATCACCGATAGAACTTGGTCTTGTATAAAAGGCCATCACTGGCGGAAACACCACAGCCCCGGACTTCGTCACTTCAAGCATATTCTCCGAGTAAATACTCATCAACGGCGTTTCCCTAGCCACTAGGACTAGCTTTCTTCTCTCCTCCCAATGTCACACTTGCCGCTCGCACGATGAGGTCATTATCATAGCCCATTCGTATGCCTGCTAATGTCTTCATACTGCATGTAACTACAATCATGCCATCCGTGCGAAAGAAGCCAGAGGATAGTGAGGCTGAGACATCTATCGCTGATTCCGTGACAGAAGCAAGAGACTCAAGGTACAAAGCTGTGTTATTTCGAGTCTCAAGTTCGTATTTGAGTGTTGCCCCTCCCCATTTTGACATGATGAGATGCGTCTCGACCTAAAGTACCGAAAACGTTTGAGGAGAGCAACTGCCAAGGGCGAACCAGTTGCTCCTGACAGCAACGATGGTGCGTTTCCGACGGCCATTGGGCCTAGCAAAGGATGACTGGTAGCGCGTTCAAACTGGCAAATGATGATCCAGTGATGAGTTCCATTTTGAAGATGTCCCTGATTACCCAATTGTGCCATATATGTCGCATGGACTTGAGTCAAAGCTTACAGGAGGAAACGTCGTGGCCAACTGCCTATTGCCCGGAGAGTATGAAGCGAAATAAGGCTGGGTTACTTGTGACTTTGAGAAGGAATATCCTGAAGATGTTAAGGAGAGAATTCTGAGTAGAAGTCGGTAGTCGTATGAATAGCAGCTAGAGAAGGCGATATCTGGCAATCTTCTGGGATCAACACACATCTACGTCAGGACACCACCTTTGCGCTTATTTTATGCAGCCAAACACCGAATACGCCATGCTGCAGATTACTCGGTTGCGTGACACCTCATCTGACATAATCTGGATCCTTTGTACACTGTACTCTTGGCTCTTTGCGATCCACAGCATAACCTGAGGGTTATCGTTAATGCCTCATACTCCTCCCAAATGCTCCTACATACCAAGCCCGACACTGCCATCGACCAAGAGTGAAACTATAGGTTACCCCTCATCTACCATAGCATGACGGCATTTACTCACCGCGACGTGAAAATGGGGACTTGAACCTCAGCACTTATGCCAGATTAGGTGAGTGTGCAAATGAGGTGCACTCTTGTTACATTAATTGTCAGGCTATAGACTATAGTGTGTATTTGAAGTCAGGTCGCAGGTCACCTTGAACCCACTTCTGTTCATCTGACAAACTGTCCCATTTGGCATCCATCTTGCCAAGGCTGCGATCTCTGTTCATCTTGCGAAGTCCAAGATGCATCAAGATAGATCCCCCGAGCAAGAAAACCACCAGATAGCCAAAGACAACCCCATGCCCCGTATAGTATCGGGGCTTTTCCCGAAGCAAGTAGATGTTTGATGACACCACGCCATTCAAATTGCCCCAGCCTACCACTACTCCCAGCACAAAGGCACGCTTTAGTGACCCCTCAGTATTATTGTTCAGCCAGGAGAGAGTGTTGGGGACGGTAGGGTAAATGCCTGCTGCCCCGAGGAATACACCCACATACTGCACTGTCGGGTTAGACGTCGCTATAAGCATAGCAAAACCAGCAATGCCCAGCAAAACAATGGCTATGTTGCAGTAACCTCGCTGCCGGGTCCTGTCGCCGTAAAATCCCACACAGATAGTGAGAGCCGCTGCAACTGCATAAGGAGGCACAGAGAGAAGCTGGGCCTTGGTACCTGCATGCCCCATGCCGGCAATGATAGTCGGGAGAAACAGGGAGAAGGCATATAGAGGAGTAAGACAGCCCATATAGATAAGCATATATCCATATGTCTTCCAGTCCTTGAGTGCAGCAAACATATGTCTCTTATCGAAATCCTCTGCCGTTCGGCCTTGTCGGTCCATAATTAAGCGACGTTGTACTCGGATCTGGTCATCAGCGCTGAGGAAGCTTGCTGTTGCTGGCCAATCAAAGACGAGCCACCAGCACGCCAGTCCGGCTACAACAGTTGCAAGGCCCTCCAAGATGAAGATCCAAGCCCAACCAGGTTTCCCGCCGATTCCATCCATTTTTGCAATGACTGCTGCGAGCAAGCCGCCGAAGGAGCCCGCTAGTGCAGCTGCTGAGAAAAAGATAGAAGACCGGATGCCGATTTCAGAGCTCTTATACCAACAAGAGAGATAATAGTTGACTCCAGGGAAGAGTCCGGCTTCGGCCATACCGAGGAAGAAGCGAGCTGCTAGCAGGCCCTTGACGTTGGTAACAAGCCCCATAAGAGTCATTATAAGTCCCCATGTCAGAATGATAAGGGTAAAGAATAATCGAGGCGTGATCTTCTTGAGTAGGGCATTTGTTGCAGGTTCGACGACAGCATACGAGACGAAGAAGATCGTCAATGCATTATTGTAGTCCCCTTTAACCATTCCAAGATCAACTTCGAGACCAGCGAGGCGAGCGTTTCCGATATTGGTACGGTCGAGGAAGGATAAGAGATATAGAAAGGATAGCCATGGGATAAGGGCCAGATCAACCTTCCACATCAGCTTCTTTTCCTGTTTTGATCCATTAGCTTGGTCGTTCCTTGGTATCGGTGCGCTGTTGATTATACTTACAATAGCTTGACGCTCTTCCACCGTCTTTCCGGCATCAGGGTCTGGTAGATGAGCCAAAAGCTGGGCTCGCTCGTATTCGATGGTCGTGTTGTCGACCTTTTCAGTCTCAACGGGGAACGGCTTCTCAATATCAGCCATGACGATTGTAATTGACTTTCCCTGGACTAGATATCGAAGGAGCTTGTGACTGAAAGGTGATACCACTGCCTCTGAGATAGGTAGAGAGGTAGCTGGGGTGAGAGAATCTCCAACAAGTTGTGCAGGGACCTTTTTATCTGTGCTTTTCGGTGAACTTAGTCGCAATTATAATGCCGATGGTCGGTCTCCAGTATTGCATCCGTCTGGACCTCCAAGGTCTTCATGGTGGCCCGGTTCATGCAAGGCTCCATCATTCCTCCACCTTTCTACCCCACGGGGCAATAGACTTGTACGAAGCTGGATGCTGCCCACGAGGTTAAGGTTTAGGCTGTCAACCCACTTACGAGGACGCGAAACAGTGGACTTTGAACTCCGTGTTTTCCCGTGCGCCATTGTGAAGATGTCATACTTCAGTAGACTTTTGTTGATCCATTGGAGAGACCTCGGACTTCCGAGCTTCGATGCAAGCCCCGAGGCGCAGGGAGACAACGGCCGCAGCAATACGCTAGAACAATTAGTCTGGGTCTAGAAAGGTTATCCGGGACCTTCGGTAACGAATAACAATTCTTCATTTGGTCACTCCGTCAAGTAAACAGCCGTGCACCAGAAATAAGGTTTTGGTTCTGTAATAACCTTGAATTAAGGTCAAGCGGAGAAGTGCGGGGTTTTCGTCTCGACCTTTGTGGACTCCAAATGATGTCTTGCTACCCCAACAAACCCCATTCCTGTGCGCCATTTTGCAATACGGAGCCTCTCATATTGGCGGAGTATGATCTCCTCAGCTGGAGAGTGCTAGTAATTCCCTCAATGCCAAGTCTTTCTAGACCATCTTAGTGTCATGTAACGGGCGTCAATTGAGCTCTGCCACGATACAGCAATGATCCATACGAATGACGTGAAGTGGGCAGAAAGAATCCCTAGTCGCCTTTAGGCAGGTCAGTAAAGTCCAAGTACGTGCACACCTGGTCTCGTCAGAGCGTTGGCAGTAGATCCTCGCCTAAGAATTACAAGGTCATGCAGTGCGGCATCATTTGCCACCAGCATGTGTCGCGAAGTTGCAGCACGTCTTTCTGCCGGCTGGCCTTAACTTTGGGATGTGGTCTTAAAGGGTCACACTCCACGAAAACTCTCAATCAGCTTTTCTTTTCCTTTCTCTTCTATTGTTTCCCACTTCTGCAGCTCTGCTCCTACTTCCCTTATATCCTTTGCCCCCTCATGCCATCTGTAATCGATTCTATCAGTCCAAGTTCATTCCAATTCCCTCTTTGACAATCTTGGGAGATTGGCCGTTTCATCGTTACCTATTCGCCGCCTCCGCCACCATCACCACCACCTCCTCCATCACAACCCCCAGACCCTCCATAATCGCCCGCTCCTCCACCACCCGATATATCGTCCCCTCGACCCCTTCTAATAACCCTTCTTTGTCTCCATGCATCGCGACCCAATAATAGAGTTCTTAGATCAGTCTTCTCCACGTTGGCAGCTGCATGCTTCACTGTATCAGGCACGTACTCCGTCAACGTCTCCTCCACTGATACCCCCCTTTCCAACTCTGGGGTATACTTCGATTTCCAAAGCTGCCTTGTATGTTGGAGTAGTGTACTTGCCGCTTGTGTATTCGCTGTGCGTTCTCTATCAAGGACCCAGTCTGCCTTCCCAGCCGACGAAACCCAGTAGCTCGCTGGGAATAAACGATGAGTATGCCATAGAAGATCAATCTCGAGCGTAGGGGGCATTATCCGAGAGGGTCGTGAACTTGGGTGATGAGGAGCTTTTGCTGTCTTTGGGTCTAGCTTTGACTTGTATGAGCCATCCCTCTCACTCTTTGGAAGTACACTACCCAGGAGGCCAAGGAAGTTTTCGTAGTCAACTACCGACTGCCTCAAACTGTCGATAAACCCAGGTACCGAATTCTTGACTCCAAGTATAACCTTCCAGAAAGACACTTGTTGCTTGAGGTCTGCTCGGAGGTCTTGCAAAGATGGCCATGGCTTCAGCATGCACGTTTCGTTGAACTGTTCATGCTGGCTTTGGCTTCTACATCTTTCTTCTACCCTACAAGTTCGCGTCGCTGCGTATGACTGGAGATCCCAGACCTTGTAGCCTTGCTCCGGTACACTTGTGCGGCAGCGATCCCATTGATGCATCAGAATCACTTTTCCTTGTTGGTCTTTCGGAATGTCTTCGGGCTTTTTATCAGTTGGTGTGATCCATTTTCTATCATGACATGGTGGTCGATTAGCTTTCCCTCCCAGAATGGAGAGTCTTTTCGGCTTCCATGGTGCAGACGGCCATAGCTGATATGGCAGGTTGGAGCCGCGGCACTCGGAGCCAGACCAGCTCATCTTACTACACTCATCCCAGGCCTTCTTTGTTCGTCTGGGACACCATTCGCCTGCCAATAATTTGGTCATAGGGAAATGCCGATGCTCCAAGCCAAAGATGCCACTGAAGTTGCGGTTACGGTTGTCGTAGATATAGTGATGAAAGCGCGAGGGCGACAGCATGTGCAGATACATAATAAGTGCGACATCCCTATTATCATCAGTCAGATGATCGAATGACAAAGATACAGAGCCTACCATGGAGGCGGGTGATCATTTGGGCAGAAGCCTCGTATGTCGATGAAACGAAGATAAATAGCATAACGCCATTCTGAATATGCCAATGTTTCGTCACTTACGCTACCATCTGCATCGCCGAGGTGTTGAAGGAGCTTTAGAAATGTCTCGATCAGTTCAAGGTGTTGCTATAGACAAGGAATGAGTTTTCGATCCATTGCACCAAATAACAGTTTATCAGCTCACAACAGCAGCGTGGCTCAAATCAGTCGGGGTCCTCGCCCAAGGATCTTCGTAGACGGTAGAAAACGGCATGGCTATGGACAAATTTATTTTATTATGTGAAGGCACACGTACAGACTTTGGACTGGGAAATCAATGATATTAACATGCTCCGCCTTTGGTTTATATATAGAACACAATCTGAGGCTGTGCGTCGATCTGATTCGCTTGGCAGCTGGATTTGGTTAGCCTAGCTATTCGCTTCCAGACTGGGGCATATGATTAGCCGAAGCGGAACCATTCCTTACTGCGGCTTGATGATGTAGGGTAAACACGCGACTTGGCGTCTTGTCAGGCTTTTCACAAGGCATTCTTTCATCGTCGAAGAATTAGACAGCTTTAAGTGATGAGACTCTTGTCCTATCTGAGATGATTTACATGATCGTTACCGAGATTAGCCCGACGGAGAGTTTCCTACAAGGAAGGATGATGACATTCTGTGATGTTTTCTAGCAAATGATAGTAGCACACATAGGACTACCCTCCCGTCACGTAGCGCAACATGAGCAGCCGAGCCCATGTCAGGTAATAAATAACAGCCGATTGAGTTGTACCAATAGCTAACTTAGTGATCTACAAATGGTGGTATGTGTAACAAAAAATTCCCTGTATGATACTACCGGGTATAAACAGCGCTTTTGCGGATGATAGACTTGCTCCAAACCCAAACCGGAATCACCAGAAGGTAACCAGCCCAAAGAAGAGCAGCCATAGTCGCGAACTGCTTCAGTGGGCCCATACCATTCATCCAACTGATAGCCGAGTAAGATACACCAAAGGCCAAGCAATTCTTCATGACATTTACAAGGACACCGATGTCTCCTGCTCGCGAAGGCATAGTGTTGACGGAATAAGTAAGCAGGACGTTTGCAGACCCTGTCAAACCAAATGCAAGGAGACTCCATCCGACACAGACAACGATCCAGTGAGCAGGGGTTTGAAGTCCATGGCCGAGGATAATGCAGCCAAGAGGGCTGGCTAGTCCTCCGATAAACATCATTGGCAGTCTACTCCTGGGATTAGGCTCCCGGGTGCGTCCCTTTGTTGAGCGGATGAAGAGAAGGTCTGCAAGGTAACCACCAACGGGGAGACCAATGAGAAGACCGATAAGAGAACCGACGTTGAGTAGACCAATCGAACGCGAATTCCACAGCAGAGGAGGTTGAGCATAGGTGACGGCGAGGAGAATGGAGATAATAACAGTCCAGCCAATGGTTAGCCCAAAAATGTACACGGTGACGAGGACTTGGGGTGCCATGAGAAGCTGCAGCGGCTGGACCAGTGACAGGCCCATTTCCTTCCACTTCATCGGCATAAACTCGCTACTGAACGACCTCGAAAGGTACTCTTTTCTGAAGTTGGCAGTAGAAATCTCTCCAGTTGTAGTTTCTGCCGGTGATGAGATGCAGATGTCCTCGACCGAGGTACTCGTAGGCTTCGGTTCGTTGACGGGCGAGCTTCCAGGTCTGGGTTGAGCCGCGTCCAGCTCTTCGATGTCGTGTGTCGTCTCAGGAAGCATCAAGATCGAACCAAAGAGATTTAGGCCAGTCGCGATTGTCAGAATCCTCAGGTACCATCTCCAGCTTCCGAAACTGACCCCAACTGCACCAGCGACCATGGGACCGACTGCGGAGCCAGCAGCGAGGAAGCCAACGTAGACGACCATGGCTCTTCCGAGCTGATGCGTGGGAAAGGTCTCAGCTACGATGATGGGACCAAGAGCCTCGACGAGACCACCAGCCAATCCACCAACGATGCGTGAGTTTCGAAGGGAGTAGTAGTCGGTGGCTTCGCCGGACCAAATGTTACAGGCGATAAAGATAACGAGCGAACCGAGGACGGTGTAGCGCTTTCCGATGAGTAATGATAACGGGAGTGCGAAGAGATTCTGTAAGGGTCAGCAAATCAAAAGATCCATGAAAGACAAGATTGTAAGTGACCCACAGAGAGTCCAAGAGCCAGCAGAGCATACGTTGGCAAGTTGGAGGCCTGGTCTTGCGTGCAGTGCAGCTCCTGAATGATCAACCCAAAAACGGGAGAAAGACCAGCGGCCCAGGCATTCCCGAGGAGATTGTAGAAGCTGACGTTCAGAAGAACGCATATACGCCACCAGAGCGGCCATTCCTATGAGTTGAGTCCCATTAGCATTCGTGG